GCTAGTATCAAAGCGCCCCTCCTGAGAATCATAAGTTATGGGAGAAATGGTAATCGTGATACAAAAGTCATTGAGCTGAAGCTTAACGTGAATTGATGACGTTTGCGCATGAAACTCATTGGATTTTTGGTTGTTTGCGGTATCATGTAAAGCAAAGCGTGATGTATGTGTGTTTGAGTATGAATAAGGAGTCTGCGTAGATATGACCGAGATAAGAGTCTCAATAACAGGTTCCATCAATGAGTAGTAACGCGCTGCCAAAGTCAATAGGTGTTCATCCACAACAATATTGAGAGACTTAGGACATATTAAAGTGATGCGAGAAACATCGTTGTTAAGTATTTCAAGTCCAAGGTCGGCGACGTTTGGTGCGCGAGAGTCGTCAAAGCAAAAGAGCTCGGTTTTGCTATCATTCCTTGATAGGCGTATTTTCGCAATGGAACCAAAAGAGAAAGAAACATTCTTCTGTTCGAAACGTATATCACTAAGTGATAAGCATGTGGTATTGTCGAGAGCAAAATTTCCGTCCTTCAAGAGTGCTGATTCAAAACTTACACAGATCTCGTCAATTTTTAAGGTATTCAGCAGAGTGGTGTTATCAGACTCGGGTTCCTTTTCTGTGTTTCCAGCTGTTTCATTGGTACTCATTGCTGAAAGCCTAACAAGGTTTCTAATCGATTGGATCACTGATGACAAACATTCGGGAATTGGAGAAGCCGCAATTTTAATACGCCCCAGGTTCACTTGCATATTCTCTATGTTTTGAAGTCCATCAAACTGAACGCTGCATTTGCTGACATAGGCGACACATACAGCGGATGGCTGGTGATTTTCGTAAGTAGACGCCCTAGGGGTGGTTGAAGAGAACACATTGGATGTTGCGCTCATGTACACTGATTCGGATGTTTGGGTTGCAAACATCATGCTCTCCATCAAAGAATTATGAATATCGTCCTTGTTGTCGGCCATAAACGAGGTTTGCATTAATTCATCGTCATAGTCCTCAGACTCTTCAGATTCGGTTTCATCTCTTTCTTCCGAGTTGTCCACATTATCCACCCCCTCTCCCGAATAAACTTCTGGTTTAATAGCATTCAAAGTCATTCCCTCAACTGTAATGTACCTGGTTCCCTCCTTTGATAACAAGGTGACCTTCTCAATGCACACCTCCATATGAGAGGTCTCGAGTATCATGGTGATTTTTACGTCACGTACCGTTAGCTGTAACCTTGATAAAGCCATATCTGCAGCCTTTGCCATCATGTTGCTCATTCGGTAATCTTTGATTTCTGGTGGAAGAGGGTTGGAATCAACTGAAGGGGTTTCTTTGATGTCTTCGTCCTCCACAACATTGTCTTCGAACATAACGCTGTTTGCCAAGTCTGCTGTGCTTTTTGCAAGGGAGAATTGATCTGTGCTGTTTGGCTTTCCAGGGGTTAGCGAGGGAGTGAGGGTAATATTTACCCCAGCGCAATCAACGTTGACACCATCGCTAATCGTAAGCGAGAGAGAAAGGGTTTCAATAGACCCACTTCTCATGTACATTCCTGGTATGCTGAACTTTTCGATGTCTAGCTCCAAATTTCGGAGATTGACCTTGGAGCTTGTGCCAAGTGAGACATCTAAATTAGGTAGATCAATCTCGGAAAATAAGGAGAGCTGCTGAAGGATATACTTGAGTAATCGCTTCTGTATATTTTGAGGCATCCATTGAGGCGCCATTTTTTGCAGATTTGCGTTCCACTCCTCAAAAGGATTCTATGAATACAAGTTCACTGGAGTAACCTCAACCTATAAATCAATAGTGTAGATTCGCCACTTTCTAGATTGTATAAATAAATATTCATGCTACAATTATATTTTTTGACATGATAACCAGCCTCCGCGGCGGTGCAATTTTTTTTTTATACTTACGTGGGGTCCCTCCCTAATCTTCTATTTCCACAACATCACTGTGCATGGCTTCATCTATAATAGTCCTCTTTTTCAGCTCAATTTCTTGTCCTTTGATATAACTAATAAGCGCAAGACCGGCTATGAATGTCAGCCCAACAAGTAGCGTGTTAGCAGGATTAGGGTTCATTTTGAATATGGTATGTGTGGCATTGTCGAGAGGAGCCTGTAGCACATTAAATAATCCAGAGATGCAATTGATGGACCCATAAACCGTTCCAAAAGTTCGATAGCCAAAAACTTTAGCGCAATAATCTGAAACAGCTGTGTAGTAGAATGGACGATAAACCACGAGCATCACAATACCCAAATACTGCACAATCTGTATAGGAACCATTCCGAACAATCCTATCAAGAGCGAAATTTGAAGCAAGATTGATAACACTGTCACAATTTTGAAATTGTCCAGCAAAACACCAATGAAAGGAATGGCAAATACGCCTCCAACTGGAAGAGCAACATCAAAGAACTTATTGATTTGGACGGCAATCGCTTCGTCCTGGAAATAGTATTCCATTTGGGACCGTATGGTTGCCACAAAATAATTGACCCTAAGCATTTGTATGGTGGCAAAACAAACCATAAGGGTGAACCAGGGAGATGTCATTTGTTCCTTCAAAGATTTGTTATGCAACACTCCAGAAACTCCTCCTGATTTCTCATATAGACGGTTCTCAGCAATCTCTTCATACACTGACTTGCTTGATCTATTAGATCTCACAGATTTGATGGATGGTCTACGCGTTCTTTGAGCATTGACCCGGTCCTGAGAATATCTCAGATCCTCAGGATCCATTGGCAGACCCGTTTCGTCGATTCCTGTTTCTCCAATTTTAGCCAAGGTTTCCACTGTTTTATAAGACTTTTTGGGCATCACCGTGAGCTGACACACCAATATAAAAATTGGCACGATAAGATAAGCAGTGAAAAACTTCTTGAGACTCAAGTCCTGAATCCAGTTGTGCTGGTACACAAGTCTGTACATCAGAAACAATGCTGAACTAGAATCAAATGCTCCAGTCAAGAAAGCTAACACAGTGCCCGATCTTCCAGGGAACGAGTTGGCTAGCTGGAACGAACTGATGAAGACGAACGGACCACCAAAAGCAAGTCCTATGTAGCCTGCAAGATAGGGATCAAATACAGTGATTGATTGTCCTTGCGAAAGACTTGTGCTAGCAAAGAATATCACAATTGCACCAATAATCCCTGTCACTCTTGGTCCGAAAGTGTCAAGCACTCGTCCAACTACCAAAGCTGTAGCGTTCGTGATAACTGCCGCGATGGTGAACATAAAGTTGAGTTTCAGGTCACGCTCAGCACACATAGCATTCTCTCCCGTATCTATGTTTTCTTTGCAATACTCGCGGTAAATGCCTTGATCGATCAAGATAGGTTTTAATGCAGCAAATCCAAATATCGGGCCTGCAGCAAACAAGCACCACGTCAATGCGCATCCAACTTGGAACAACCTCACCCTCAAAGAGGGGAGAGACTCCTTGATCGGATTAGTTGCAACAGGAATCAAGGGGCTCTCTTCCGTAGTAGGCATTACTAAATATTTGCACAACCGAGAAAAGACTAAAAAGACTAATCAACTTTTTTTGCTGGCAGCCAATAAATTTTGGAGCCCTGCTACTGATAAACGGAGAAAATAAGTCTGCTTGTCTGAATGCGATTTATTTATGCAACACCCATCTTTCCAACCTCTTCACTCAACGTCTCGAGTTCTTTGTCCTCGTCCTTCTTAGAGTCAGGATTTTCTTTAGACTCACTCAAAACGTTCTCCACCCAGGCAATTTCTTTTCTAATTAAATCCTTCGTATTTGGAACAAAGTGACCTCCAGGATGTTTCAAGACAGTAGCATTTTCACAGCTTTCAACAAGGGCCTCGGCTCTGTCGGGAGAAACCAGAGTATCAAGTTCTCCAAAAATATGAAGAGTCGGGAGCTTGATTTTGTTCTCGTAGTATTTTTGGTATTTCTGAGGCTTGAGCTTGAATCCAGCATAGAAAATTGCAAACTTGAGTTCCTCGCTAGCTTTTGGTTGTCCAACAATCTCGGCATATTTGTTACACACAACAGCGGCCAAGCCGGCACCTTGAGAGAATCCCATGATACCAATGAATGGTCCGTGTTCTTCGTAGTATTTCTTCACTGCATCTAGAGCTGGTTGGAGGTCATAGTCATCATTGGGTTGCCACCATCCACGGTAGTCAAATTCGTCCTCGGAATTTTCGCTTGGGGGTACCTCAAATGGCAAATCAGCTTTTTGAATCTTGAGAGATCCCTGAACGAAGACAGTGTGGTATCCGATTTTCTTCAAAGCTTTTCTGATACCTGAGGCTTTAGCTGAAAAGACTGGACCGTTTTGGGCATAACCATGCAAACAGAGAATCGTTCCTTTGATAGCTTTGGACATTTTTCATATACTTTTTTCGCACTAAGTTTTTAGGGGGTGCGAAATTAACTGAATTTATCATGGCTGTGCCGAAAAAAAAACCCGGTATTTTCGATTAGCATTTCATGGGTCTTTATTGGAAGATCTTTTTTACGTCACTTTCAAGATGTAGTGTACTTCACCATCTTTGGGGGAAGCCTGTCATCATCAGCTTGTTATTAAAATCTCTAACTTCCTAGTTGGGGTATATGTTGTACAAATCAAGTCTCTTACCTGACAATATGATCCGGGTGATATCCGAAATTGGCATAGCGAGCAACTAAAGTTACTGCATCTAGTACTTTATACGGATATTTCAGTTTCACGTCCCTTGCTGTGCACAGCCTCACAAAAAAACTTCATAGGCCTGAAAGCTGTAAAACTTGAAATTTATACACTTGTCTCTCATGACTGTCGAGGCAATTGAAAACGGGTGGTTCGAGCCACTCCCATTGCAAAAATACCAAGATTTGGTGATCAAATCTATTCCGGAAAATCTTTCAGGATGCCCTCCAGATAAAACAGTGGGTAATCCTGCAGTGCAAGTGGCTTGCGGGCCAAACCTAAGATTCCTAGGTTGCCTTGAAAACGGCCAAACCAATTACAGAGGAACGATCTTGCTTGTTCTTCGCGACACCCCGGAGACTGAAAGGATAGAGCCTTCTATTGAGTATTATATTGGGCCTGCTACCACTTCGACTGGCTCTCTCCAGTTGAGCAAGGGAGAGTTCCCAGGAACTCTATTTCACCAAGAACAGGGCCTGAGTTTTTGGAGATTTAGCATGGAATTACAATTACAAGAGTATGAGCAGAAAATAAAGTATTCTCTCAATGGCGAGTACAACGAGAACTTTCAATTTTACCTGCCTTCTGTCGAGCAATCGATGAATGTCATGTCTTACTCTTGTAACGGCTTTTCATTGAGTGTCAAGACTGCAGACTTCAAAAGCTCGCTGTGGTACGATGTTATGCGGAAACACAGTGAGTTGCCTTACCATGTGATGGTTGGAGGGGGTGATCAAATCTATTGCGACTCTGTGAAAAAGTCTTCCAAGCCTTTTGAGAAATGGCTAAAACATAAGAAGCTTCACTCTTACGATAAGCTCACTGATGAAATTGTTGACTCCCTCAAAGAATACTATCTGACCAATTACATACAATGGTTTGGTAAAGGGTACTGGGAAGGATTAGCAGGTGCTACTTTGCAGTGTATCTACCCCTTGGCCTTGCAACAAATTCCACAAATCAACATTTTCGACGACCATGACATCATTGATGGTTTTGGCTCGTACAGTCACCGTACCATGACCCAGGATATTTTTAAAGGCGTGGGTAACATTGCGTTCCAGTATTATTTATTATTCCAGCACCACACCTCTCCTACAGAAGACTATAAATCTGAACCGTCTTGGATTTTGGGAGCCTCTGTCGGCCCTTACATCAAACAGTTGTCGAGATCTCTTTATACAAGGCTAGGAAAAGAGGTTGCACTAGTTGGCTTGGATTGTAGAACGGAGAGAACGAAAAAGCAAGTTGTCACGAAAGAGACCTATGCCCGTGTGTTTGAAAGATTGAAACAAGAAATCACTGCATCTAATGGTGACATCAAACACCTTCTTGTCTTGCTTGGCGTCCCGATTTGCTACCCAAGAATGGTGTGGATTGAATCCTTTTTGGGGTCCGCTGCTCTGGGCCCTATCAAGTGGTTGGCCAGAAAAGGAATCATTGCCAAGGGTCTGGTTAATGAGTTCGATGGTGGTGTGGAATTGCTCGACGATTTGAACGATCACTGGTGTGCTGTTCACCATAAGAAGGAACGTAATTGGCTGATGGGAGAATTGACAAAATTTGCTGCAGCACATGGTGTCAGAATCACCATCCTTTCCGGTGACGTCCATCTAGGCTGTCTTTCACGAATGATGACAAAAATGCACAAACATCACATCTTCAGCAGCAGGATAGACGAGAACCGCAAGGAGATTTTGGAGCACCCAGAACACGATCCAAGGCTAATCTTCAATGTCATTTCCTCTGCTATCGTGAACACTCCGCCACCTAACGGTATGGCAACCCTACTGGAGAAGAGATCCAAAATCCACCACTTTGACTCGAATTGTGACGAAGACGTTGTGGACCTGTTTGTAAGAGATACCGACGGCTCTGCAAGGGCCAACCACTTGTTTTTGAATAAGCGCAACTATGCCGATCTTATTCCTTTCAAGAACCTCAAAAATACAGAGCGTTACAACAAATTCCGCCCAGGAGAGTTGATCCATCCAGGGCCATCTGAAGCATTGGAGAAAGCGGAAAGTGCTGGGGACGGAGGCTTTTCTACCAAGAAGATTGGCTATCCACTAGATCCAAATTCTCTCGTGACCACGTTCCATTTCGAGGTCGACATGAGGGACACAAACTCTCGAACTTACGACTACGAGGTTCTGATTCCTCAGTTAGAAGGAACTTACGATTTGAAAGACGTCGGTCTCAAATAGATTATGCTGTACTATTTTCTATGTATTGCGCACTTGTCAGGAATTCATTCTTTTTTCTCCACGAATATGGCCATCAGGGCAAACACAGAGTAGAACATCGCCAAAGGGTAGGCGACTAAGGGTCTGGCATTACTCAGGTTGAGCACACGAACGAAAAATCCCGATGAAGAGAATGTGCACCAGAAAATGGCCAAGCATGCTAAAACATAACCAAGAGTGTTGTCCAGCCTAATGAGAACAGCGATACCACTGAGAATAACAAGGGGAAGCAAACAGTATCCTATAACCGACGCGGTTCTTAAGAAGTCGAGATTATTGTCTGAGGTATTATTAGACATCAGCTTGAACAGCCAGTGCAGTGAAACTGTTCCAAACAAAGCAACCCCGTATATGTATCCAAAATGCGTTTTTCCTGAAAGCAGAAGCAGGGTACCAAACAGCAGACAGAATATCAGTGGTCCAGCCAAATCTGAGTCCTGGATAATATCTTCACTCAAACTACTAGACTTGAGATTCAGCACCGCTAGTGTTTTCGATTTAATATGATTAAAGTTAATCCCCAGTTCCTCCAACAATGGAGGCTCTCCAGGATAGCCACTGGTGGAGAACGCTGCGAGGACGCCTTTGCTCAAGGGTGGTTGATCTTGGTCTCCCCCAGCATAGGAATAGCTTGTTTGCATTGATCCGGTGGGAATCGACCCATTGTACAGGCTTTGTTGTGACGGACCGTTGTAGAAGCCGAGATTTTGTTGTTGGTAATAGGACATCTTGGTCGTCTGCTAATGTCGCGAACAGTTTCAAAAAAATACAAGCTCACAACTTTTTCGTACATCTTTGCACAGATTAGCCCGTAAACACCAGATGGAGTCCATGGTGACCGTGATATTGGAGGAATATGGCGATCTACATCGCTCAGTTCTCCAGTTCCTGATGGCAGTGAAGAGCATAGAATTCGAAGTTTTGTACACCGTTTTTGTGAAACTCGTGATAAAATGTTTGCTTGAGAAGCATCATCCTGAACCATCAAGTTCAGATCAAGAGGAGCAATTACGTGATTTGCTCCGGCAGGCTCGACCAGAGCTGCCAACCCTCAGCCCTGAAAGCTTGGTCAAAACAATCGCACTAATAAACCGAGAGCTTGCATCGCTTGATCTCGAAATAGTGGAGACCCTGGCTCAAGATGACGAGAAAAACATCAACGTTAGCTTTGTGAACACCAAATCGTCGCCCTCTATTAAGCTGTCTACAAGTTACACTGAAAAGGAGATTAGTGTGATTAATGAGTTGATCGATCAAATGTTCGAAAGCCCATTTGACGATGAGGATAACTTAACATATTCTCTTTCTTACACACAAGCACTCAATGTTGCGAAACGAAACATTCAAACGATCACTGACGCGCAGAAGTTTATCAACAAGTTGGAATCCTCAGGATGGCTTGAAACTGTGAAAGGAAAATACACCCTTAGTGCGCGCGCTCTCGCTGAGCTTAAGTCATACTTGATCTCCAAGTTCGAGACTAAGTCGGCCGAGAACCCAGATGGAACAGTTTCATTGTGTCATGGCTGTAAGGAACTCATAACAATGGGATATAGGTGCTCAAAGTCACGATGTTATGTCTGTTTTCACGAACACTGTCGCGACTTGTTTACCCAATCGCATCGCACCGAAACCTGCCCTGCTGACCAGTGTGACTCTTCGCTTGAGAATATGGTGAGCTTCTATTAGGTTTGAAGCATGCTCATGCGCTCTATGTCATCAAGATACTCGTTGGTCACCTCGTCCACAAGATCGTACACATATTCTTCTAGAACACGCTCCTCATATCTTTCATTGTATAATTTGACTTCTCCATTCGAAATTGCGTCTTTGAGATCTTCAGGAACAACAATGTTCGAAGTGGTATTCAGCTGGATTATTCCATGGTTGTAGCAGCTGATCATTGGATAATAACCTAGCGAACCATCATCTTTAGTTTCAGGAATCTTACCTTTCGCTTCCTTGCCTTGTTTCTGTTCGGAAGCAGGCGGCAGAAAAGCATTCAGATCCTTGAATGCAACTCCACAACACTTTCCATTTTTGTAGACTGTGATTGAAGAATTTGGAAGCTTGCATGGCTCAAACTTTACCGTGTCTCTCACAGCTTTTTCTCCAAACACGGTCACAGGGTTCAAAAGATGCTCCATTTCTTTTGATGCAGTGTAGTCATATTGTTCAAAGTATAGCTGATTTTTATATTTGATGGGGATTTGGTCGCGCACAATGTCTAACTCAATGGCTTTGTTAACAGGAATATTGATATCGGGTTGTCCAACTGTTTGCTGATTTACTTGCTGACTAGCCAGTCGCCTTTGTGTTTTCATATCAGGTAATGAGATGAGCAGTCCAACTACATCACCAGTCTGAAATTGATCGTTCTGCAGGAAGTTTCCCTGCTTACTTAAATGAACCGTCTGCCCATACTTGTCTCTAAATCCATATCCGTATCCATCAAACCCTACAGGGGCTTCCAGGCTAGCCTCTCTTCTAGCAACTCCAAATCTGACATGGCTCTCTCCATCATTAGACTTGATGAGTCTGTACTCGATATACCAAGTCCCTTCTCTTATAACGGCATTCGCTCGCGCGCTTCTCCATCCTTGAATAGCAGTAGCAGTGGTCAGATTCTCATCGACTAATATTCCTGGAGACTTATCAAAATATGAGAGTCGGCAATTGAACGGTGGGAAATCCGTAGTAGAATACATCATTGAGGTGAATGCAGGGTTTGGACGACATGGTTTATATTTGAATCCTCTTTTATTATTTGGATTGTCATCGTTAGAGTAGAATTCGATATTTTCGAGAGCCGCTTGCTTATTGAGAATTGGCTTTCGAAGCTCCAGCTGCAAATCCTGGGATGAATAAGGTAAAGGTTTCAATCGAGGCACCACTTTGATTTGACCCATCTTGAAATGTACAGCCAGATAGATATTTTTTTTTTTCAATGTTACCAAAGTTAAGCCTGAAGTACAACATATTTACGAGTATAGCACTCAACAACTTAGAGCGCAATTCAGCGGGGTCACTGGCAGCCACCTCGTATGCCTTAAAAGACAATATTGTTACTCGTGATGCGCCTACAACATGCTCCTCTAAAATTCTCGCCAATTATGTTTCTCCGTTTGAGTCCACGGTAAGCAGACTACTGACCGAAGAGGGTTCGCAACTAGTAGGGAAGACAAACATGGATGAATTTGGCATGGGAAATTCTTCTCTGAATTCTCACTTTGGGCCCACGCTAAATCCTTTGTACGAGCAAAAGTCGGACATAGTAGATCTTAGAGAAAGAGAGTTTTGGATAAGAGGTGAAAAAATAACCCAGGATATCACCTTCGAAAAGCAAGACACCGGCAGTTATATGCATCGAAAATACCTAGTTCCCGAAGTCAAATCTGATTACGAAATTGACCCTGAAATGAGGATTGTTGGTGGATCCTCAGGAGGATCTGCTGCCGCAGTTGCAGCTGATTTAGTAGACTACGCTATAGGAACAGATACCGGAGGGTCAGTCAGATTACCATCGTGCTATACGTCCATTTTTGGTTTCAAGCCATCCTACGGAAGAATCTCAAGATGGGGATTAATACCATACGCTCAATCGCTGGATACAGTTGGCATCATGTCCAAAAATATAAAGCTAATCAGGAAAGTATTTTCTATACTCGACAAACACGACAGTTCAGATCCAACGTCAATCTCCGAAGAGAACAGAATATATGACGACAAATTGGACTCGGTAATAAAAATTGGTATTCCTGCAGAGATGAGCTTGGACGGCCTGGACATTGAAGTGAAAGAAAAATGGAGAAACTTGCTTAAACGACTGCTAGAGATTCCCAACTTCAACCTCTTTCTGATCTCCTTGCCCTCACTATCGAAGAGCCTCCCTGCATATTATACACTGGTGACTTCTGAGGCATCTTCTAATTTAGCCCGATACGATGGAATCAGATACGGATATCGTACTGGCGAGTATAGAAGCCTCGAGCCAGAGTTTGCCAAAACACGATCCGAGGGATTCGGTGCCGAAGTCAAACGTCGGATAATTTTGGGTTCTTATTCGTTATCCTCTTATGGTTACAATAGTCATTTCATGAATGCTACCAATGTAAGGTCGAAGCTGATTCAAGAATTCAATAGCATTTTAAAAGGGCCACACATGCTAAACAAACACTGCAATCCTAATGGTCTCGACTTCATCTTGTGCCCAACCGCTACCTCCTTGCCACCTCTTGTGTCGCAATACCAAAAAATCACTCCTGTGGAATCATATATGAACGATATGCTGACTGTTCCATTTTCTCTTGCCGGACTTCCTGCAATTAACATCCCACTTGGAAGATCGATAGGTTTCCAACTTGCTGGACAATTAGGCCACGACTATAAAGTTTTGAAGCTGGCGCAAATGATGGATGAACTGCACATAAGATGAATAAGTCTTTATTAATTTCTATAATACAATCACACTGGCAGAACTCGAACACCTGCCAATCTATCCAGAACAGGTCCAATAATCGGGCTCGAGAGAATTGGGCCAATGTAAGGAAGGGATCTAAGGAACTGCACCACTGTAGCAAAGAACTCTCCAAATAATCCCATTATGCCGAAACTTTCCACTAAAAATCCCCAAAACGAATATTTCATCAATATGAGAAGAACCCCAAACAGGAAGCAAATGGACCCTCTGATCTTTTGTGGTCTGGTGAAAAAGTACACGGTTTTCTGCGGACCAATAATGAGCACCAATCCAATGATGAATAATAGGTTACTCATCGCAAGCAGAGCCGAATCAAAGAATGTGACAACGCCCAAGAAAAAAAGCAGGACTCCACCTGCAGTGAAGCCAACGCCGAATTCTGCATGTTAGCGATTGTTAAATTAAAACTCACTTTGTACTTCGGTCAGCCAAATCATTATTTACAGATGATTATTCTTTTTTCTCAACTAGGGGAAAAATGTTTACACAGCCTCTTGAGAAAAAAAGTCATGCGCCCTGCCTTTCGGGGCACAGCTCCCATGCATGGTTGTATATAAAAAGCCGGGTTCCGAGAGCTCGGTCTTGGCAAACTAAAAGCAGAACCGAAGACGCAATGAGTTTAGATTCCAAAGAACAACCCCCATCCTATTTTGAAGCAGTTGGCGAGACGTCCACTGCTACACACTCAACTCCGAGCGTTCAAAGAGAGAGACCTATACAGGAGATAGTTTCCAAGCAATGCCGATGCAGAGGCAGTCCAAGAGGTTTGCATAGAGGATGTCGTAGGAATCTTGGTGCCGGAACGGTCTATGGCCATCCTCGCCATGGGGGACTCGTTGGACTAGCGATCATGGGAGTCGGCTACGCGATTGATAAGATATCAGAAAAAAAGGCTCGGAATATTCTTCCTGGTGATCCTAAGCTAGGTGGTGTTTTATGTCCGAAGTGTAAAGGACAGGGTATTCGAGATGATGACTTAGTTTGTGTTACCTGCCAGGGGTATGGTAGAATAGGAAAATAATTAAGACGAGAGAGCTGAGCGATTGAGCGAATCTATTAATTATTTAAGTTCTAGTTATCATCAAATAGCTCATTGACTGCTTCATAGTTGATTTTCTTGCTCAGGGATTTGTTCTTCAGCATACTTTTCGCACTATCAGCAGCTGAAAGTTCCTGATTCAAGGCGGCCGTCAGGCCAAGGTGTGAAGACGCACCCGATAAGTACTCACCGTATTCGCTCTTGAGATCGTTGCCCTTATCTTCTGTTTTCGCGGCACGTTTTCTTCTCTTGGGATGCTGGTTGTGGCCCGCTATTCTGTCTGCATCTTCTTTGAGGCGTTTTGTTTCTTGAGCCAACAAGAACTCCTGATTTGAACCCACCCAAAGGCGCTCCTTCAGTTTACTTTCCTCCTCGGTCAGCAGAATATTGTTGATCTCATCATCGTCAGCATCGTCGAGATTGTCAGGGTCATCAGGGATTCTAGAAAGCAGAGCCTCCGTCTTGGGCAGTGCCTTCAAAAGATTTCGAGGCCGGTTTCGCTCAATCATTCGTTCAAATTCCAGATCTTGGACTGACGTCGCTTCCTCCTCCTCTTCGTTCTCTTCGCCTATAGTAGCATTCAGCTTGCGCAGTTTATCTCTTTTCTGTCGCTGGAGTACTCTTTTCACATGTTCCTGGATTTCCTTCTCCGAAAGTTTAGAGTCTTCCAGAATGGCAGCAAGTACAGGGTCGTTGGTAACATCCTCAGGGTTCGTTCTTTGCAACTGGCTTTTTAGTTTCTTCTCACTTTTCCGATTTTTCTGAAATGAGGGTGGAAGAGTAGATTTGACTTGGCCACGCTCACGGAACTCTTCAACAGTCAATCCTGATGCGTTTGTATTCTTAAATTCATTAAGTCTTTTTTGGATTGTAGATTCGCCGATATGTGTAACGGCAACAATTTCGGAATGCGTTCTCCTGAAGTTGTTCATTCGCGCAGCCAGAAGAATACATGCCCCCGCGATACCTGCAGGTCTTCTTCCCTCATGAATCCAATCTTCACTCATTCGATGTGCAAGCTTGATGGCATCGTTGATCACCTTTGGCAGCATGCGACCAAAATCTAATTTCTCTGCAAAGTTCTGGATGAAAAGCGATGGGTCAACCAGAGGCAAAGATGTGATGTGGAGAGCTTTCACCATCTTCAAAAAAGTAGCTCCAACAGCGTACACCGATATCTGTAAGCGAGAAGAAAAATCTATCAACATGTGATGCGTCTTCTCCTTTCTGCACGCAATATACAAACATGCTGCAACAACATTTTGCGAGCGTCGTCCTTGTACAAAGTTGTTGGTCAGAGCCAGCTGGAACCACTGGCAAGCCGCATCGGCTATATAATCTTTGATTTTGAGAGCCGCAGCAACGTTTCTTATCCGTTTCTTACCATTTTGTAGAGTTTGCTCACGCGAATCAAGAGATCCACGATTATTACCAAAGTTCGCTCTAGTCTGGTCCGCACCAACTATGGATCCTTGAAGCATGGCAGCTCCTGACGGAGCTTCCCCGAAGGTGACCTCAAGTACGATTGGGTTTTCCTCAATAACAGTACCACATCTGGCACATGCTAGGTCAGATGAAGCAGTCTTGTGATCGCGTTCAAATTCAGTACTTCCACAGTTTTTACACCTGGGCCCCATAATATATGAATGAAAACAATTTATCGAGAAGCCTAAACATAAAAAATCAAAATCGTAAAATCGCACTGCCACAAAAATATCTCATTTATAAATCCATTAGCCACACAGCTTACAACGATTCTAAACCGTCAAGCGTCTGCTTTGCAACAAAGAGCCAACTCTTCCACAAAGTGCTGTTTTGCAGTTTATCTAGCTTTCCTTCAATAACAGCAATCTCCTTCTGGAAGACTGAAACAGGCCAATATTTGTACCTTTTGGTAGCCAAGGCTATGATATTATAGGCGGTGATTATCAACGCGCGGGGGTCTGAATCGTCAAGGAGATCGATGTAGCGTTCGGGAATCTCCACTATGTAGCGCGACAGAGTACCATACATGTCATATTCCAGCTCATACGAAGGTCTGAAACTTCTCGCAACATTTTTTTCACCAACTAGAGGTGAAGTTGATGGCGCGCCGGTAGCAACGGATTCAATTGGAATATGTCGTGGTGTGTTTTTTGGTTCTGGAGGCAAAGTAAAGTTTGCATGAGCTCTATATTCTTTCTTCAGCCTATCGATCATTGCAACAATAAGGGCCTGCACTTCTTGATCCAAAGCGTGTACTTCTTTTTTGTTCGGTTCATTAGTGGTCGGATACTCCACGTTAACAAGGTCGTAAAGGAACTCTGGGAAATAGTGGCTCGCATCTTGTGACCATGAGTTGATGCAGTAGCGTGCACAGGCGTCGTTGAATAAAGTGTCATTTCTATAGAGTAGCACATAGTCTGTGAAAAGCAGCCCCAAATTTCGTCCTAGGCCAAAATAGCCTCGCGAACAGATCTCTTGATTCGGACTTGCAGTGGCATAAAATATATGCAGCATTGCAGTGATCATGAGCGCAACACTTTTCTTGATGCCCTCTTGCACTTTTACCTCTTCACTCATGGAATACATGGACTTGGTAAAATGGTAATCTCCAAGTTTCAAGTAGGTGATTTTATTGAGATTCAAAACATCATCATGGCCATACATCACTTGTTGGAAGTAAAGATCAAGGCAACTGGCAGCAATGAACGAGTGCCAGCAGAAATCGTAGAGCGGCGAGTACTTGAATGCCGAGCTCAGCATGTCTCTATTGATTGGATCCTCGCAAATCCTGAAAGGCAATGTGTTCATCGTGTAGAATTGAAGCTTGAGCAAGAATTCACTATAGAATGAGTAGTTGGAAATTTCTGGGGGAATATCCAAGTCAGCGATATGTGAAAAGGCGGTTTTAGGGGACAAGAATTCGGGCGACACGAAATTGTATCTTTTCTTGGATTCGATATCATCACACCCGTTCAAGTATTTGATCGGATATGAAAACCCAAACTTCCCATGTGGTTCCGACATTGTGGCTGACGAAACAGAAGACACAGGACTAGGGTTGATGCTTTTTGGCTGCGTGGTATTAGTGTTTTCTGAAGATATGGAAGAGCTCCCTTCATCAACAACGGAAATGGTCATGAGGTTGCCTCTGTGTCCAGATGAGTACACGTTACGCACGTCTCCTGCTTTTGAAACTGGGTCATTTTCGCTGACAGGATTTTTGAAATTGTCCGTCTCGCACAAAGATTGCGATTCAAAGCCAGGCTGGGGCCCATAAATGCAAACAAGCCCTCTTTTTCGGCAGCGCAAACATTCAGGCTTACCTTCGTCACACTAAGAAAATTAGTTAGATTGGCTTAATGAATACTCACTTTTAACCTTCTTCGTTTGCAAGAAAGACATCCTGTCTTGGTTTTTTTATGAGGTCTTCGCACAAACGACATGAAATTACGAGCTGTAGCCACCCTTATGCGGTAGTCAGGTATCAGTCGCAAACCACAACAATGGATATTTTTCCCAATAATACAGCAAAGAACAGGTAATCCCAGTTCTTTCGAGACGAAGTTGGACTAAAATTTCTCGAAGACCCTGCCTGTCCTGAGTGAAACGATTCGGAAAAAAAAGTTACTTAATTACTCGGTAGTGTAACCTGAAAAGTTCCGGGGCTGAAATAATTAGATTGCTTTATCTTAGACACCAGTTGCCTGATTTTGTACGCCCCATTTGGGATTCTCCGGTAGATGTAGTTTCAATTAGTATCGAGAGATAAAGCTTAAAAATTGGGCCCGCACTACGCCTTTTTTGGTGGGGCTATTTTTGTAGTATTCTCTTAGTCCTCTTATCAAAAGTCACGGCTGTGCCCTTTCTTTGTTTACGATTTTTGATTAAATTTATGACTTCGCCAATGACCAACGCGTCTTCAATTCAGGACTTGGCAGACAAGATACCCATTTTGCGCTCTGATGACACTTTCAAACAATATGTTGACGAGTCGACCTCCGTTAGAGGTCTAAAGCTTGACCCGGATATGTTAAAGGAAAATCCTGAAGCATTGGCCAACTTGACCAAGAATAACGAGAACTACCTCAATAAGCTCACATACCAATTTCTTGAGACTGAGTCCAAACAGATATTCTTAGGGTTCTTGAACGAGGGACACAAGCTGACTGCGGAAGAAATGGACACCACCAACCAGATGATCGCCGAATCTAAACAACGATACGAGGAAATGGAGGCAAACATAGCGAGACTCCGAACAGAGATCCATGTGGGGAGCAGGAAAGTTCTTAAATCTCTGGCAGAAGTTAATCGGCTCAATAAAAGCATCAACGAACTTAATAACACTAACGATAATTTGCAACAAGAAGTTGATGATCTAGAAAAACAGAGCACAGTTAACATTGGTTCTCGCCAGTTCCACTCATATGAGCAGCTGGAGCAGCTTGAAAGCCAGACCTTAGAGGAAAGTGCACAACTAGAGGAGGAGTTGGAACAGCTGAAACATTTCAAAGAAAACAGAAGCGAGCATTTGAAGCAATTGGAGAATGATCTGCAGAATACGCAAGCGTCTGCTAACAGAAATAAGGCAATCCTATCACAATCTGTGGAAAAACGCCAACAGGTTGAAGTGGATCCCAATCTAGATAGAGATTACAAGCACATGGTACAGCTCATCGAAATATGGAAATCCATAGCAGATGATTAAGCAAAAATTATATGACCATTACGCGCTTTCGTTATATATCGAGCTCTTTTTTGAGAAAAGCTCCCATACTTCCAAGGTATCCTTCGTGCCTCAGAAAGTAAGCCTTTTTCGAGCCTTCTGACCAGAAATTTATGGCATAGCTCAATGTTCTGATTGTCTGATAGTGATTTCTAATGTACGAGCCTGCGAAATATATTTTCTTCAGACCGTGTCTCTGGGCTTGGAGGTAAGCAATCTGACCAATATTATTGGAAACAGCGTATAAAAGCGAGCGGGCTATGTCCTCCTGGTTGAGTTTCTCCAACCTATCGAGACGAACATCAGAACTCGTGTTCTCGGACTCTTGATCTTTTTCAAACACTTTTTTGAAAACCTTTCCCATGGAAGATGCAATGTGGTTTGATTTGAGGCCAATCTTATTGTACCCTTTTCCATATATGTCACCGACCAGAAGGTCGACGTTCTCATTATTGCCGTGTGATGCCATTTCCAGCATCTCATCAAAATCTTTACACGTCGTCAGCACTGATAGCAAGCCCCACAATGTTCCTCCACCTAACGAAGAGCCTCCCACACGGATAAAATTGTCCGGACCAGGGCCGGTCACTTTGATAATCGAAACACCCGAACCAATGTTGACCAGCAAGTAGGGATATATGCTGTCAAGTTCCAGCTCTCCAGATGCCACCTCCACATATTTGTGATTCTCTTCGTCAAAATAAAATATCTCGTTCTCAATCTGGCTGATAAAGAAATCGAGTCCGATGATCAAACACTGCATTTCATCCTCTTTTTGTACTTTGCAATTAAGAGAATTTTTCAATTTGTCATAAAACTTATAGGATCCACCTCCAGTAGCAATCAAGGTCAAGTTTGGATTGATAAGATTCTTGCCATCATGATGGTAATATTTTTTCAATATGGTTTTGAGGTACTCAATGAACTCGTCGATTCTTGAAGTTTCAATTTTGTAGAAATTAAGTCTTCCACCTTCCTCCTTCTCATCTTTGGAAAAGTACACCAGTTTTGACAACGATCCCCCAATATCAATTGAGATTTCGTTCACTGTCTCGGTGTGATTAGGCAACGCGATGTCTCGAGTTTCTGGTAGAAGCCCATCTCTGTACTCAGTCTCATCGTGCACTATATAGGATCCTAAAGCATTGAGTGGTTTCGGGTTTTTACAGTGGTTATGCACGTAAACGCTCCCCGTTGGCGAGCCGGATCTTTGCTTTTGTATACCACTGACTTGTAACATATAGGCGATAATAGAGTGACGAGAGGAGATTATTAATGATGCGAAAGTGATGACAGATTTATATTATTTAGCGCCAATGTGTCAATCTGTCAATTTCAGGGTTGATAGATTAAATCTGTTGATTTAACATTAATATACCGACTCCTTGCTGACCTCCGTGACCCAACAATTGGCTATCCTTTTAACCTTGGGGAAAAAATTTAATCTCCCGTTAGTCGCGTCTATAGACGCAATATTCTGCCAAGTTATTCTGCAAGTTTAACAAGACATATCTCCCCCGAGTAACCGTTGTAATGGGCAACTATGGTTTCTCTTAGGAAGAAGAAGCATCAGAAATTGATCCTTAATATCACGGTATATGAAGCGAAAGATCTGTTACCACAGCCACAGCTCGTGCAAACTGTCGTTCGATGTAATCCGAGGTGTCATGTTAAGTTGCCGCCATTTGCCTCTTTCAAGACAGCTCGAATCAAGGACTTATCTAACCCACAATGGAATTCCACACAATTTATAAAGCTCAGGACTCCTCCGTCAAACGTGACTGAAAAGGATCTGGAAAAATTACCAGCAACGTCATTCCTGATCCTAGCTTTCGAGATAGTGGACCGAAAGGGGTCTAAGAGAAGCTATTTTGGAGAGCTTCGACTATCTGTTATTGACTTACTGGAACAATTGAGAAACAAATCGGAGATTGGACCCAAATGGTATAAGCTCTATTCTTCTGAACGAGAGCAGACTTTTGTTACGGGATCTGTGAGATGCAAGTTCACCTTGTCCAGTCAGCGCAAAAGATTTAGGAGAAGAACACAGGCTTGCCCAAAAGTGGTGATCGAATCGGAGAGTAACTCGAACGAAGTTGATTCCGAAGAAGAGTACGATGAGTCTGATGAGGAGCTTGTACCGACCACTCCCCCTTCACAACCTTCAGTGTCGCAGACCAATGAAGCACTCCTTGCATATATTAGAGAACTACAGGATTTTTACAACAGCCTTAAGAGCTTCGGAAAGGATCCTCTTAAACTGGTGAAGATAAGTGAGCAAAATTTCTATACCGACTATTCCTCAGATCTGATTCTTCCTTCACTCGACGGGTTTGCTAGTATAAATGTAGAGGACGAATCTAGTGATGAAGAACAGCAGGAATTGAAGTTTTTTACACAAGATCAACGTGCCTCGGAATTAACTGGCTCGATTTGCTCCTCAACAGAAGATTTGAGCAATTGCACATCTCCTGCTTCATTTTCTGATTTGCCATTAACCCCACCCACATCATCCTCCTTGGTCTCGGAACGGAGACGTAGGTTTGGGAAGCTACGAGGAGAACGACTCAAGCCGAACTATGAGTTTACTACCGGCAAGAATTTCGTTGGGATGCTTTTTGTTGAAATTATCTCTGCATCAGGATTACCACCGTTGAATAACTCAACTAGGACCGGCTATGACATGGACCCATTTGTTGTTATTTCTTTCGGTACCAAGGTTTATCGGACTTCTTGGAGAAAGCATACGCTGAGTCCCATTTTTAACGAAAGATTGGCATTTGACATATTAGAGCATGAAAAGACCTTCAATATAAATTTTAACATTTTGGATAAAGACTATTGGACTCTCAATGATCCAGTATGCGAAAGATCTATCCCTGTGAAACTTCTTATGACCGAACCAGTGTCCACTTCTGACATAAGATTAATAAAAAAGGAGGAGGAGGAAGACCTAAAGTACAAGAAAAGGCTATTTGGTCGAAACCCAAAAAGAAACTTGAGTAATATTTACGATGAGAGCTTGAAAACTTTGGAAGTCAAAATGACTCTGTATGCTCATTGGAAGGAAAAATACGGTAAAATCCAAAATGTTGACCCAAAGTTGAAAATAAGAGTAAAGTTTGAATCTTATGCCAACTTGAGACAACATTTGTTCAGACTTCTTCTCAAAGAGTATCAAACTGACGGTTCTGCAGAGATGGACATAATTGAGCTTGGATCCTTTCTTGAATCCATAGGATCCAACATCGAGGAAGAGGACGTGATAGAGTTTTTTGAAAGACACGGGAAAAAAGCCTGGCATGGTGACAAGCTCAGTTTTGACGAAATAATTGAGGACTTTGAAGCAATTTTTGAGAGAATGGAACCCCATGGATCCAACTCAAGCAAACACATTATCCAAATTGCGAGATGCCCGTCTTGCCTGAATAAAGCAAGAGTTCATGATGATTCTGATATCATCAAGCATCTGGCTATCTGCTGTTCGAAAGATTGGTCTTCAGTTACGCGAATATTGAAACCTTCTTTCACCACGCCTTCGTCGGCAACCAGAAGATGGTATACTAAAGCCCTGATCAAAATTGCATATGGGAAGATAGAACTAGGAAAGAATAACGCCAACATTTTGGTGCAAGATAGAAATACCGGTTTGATAATAGAGGAGAAAATGAACGTGTATGTGCGGTTGGGAATACGACTTCTATACAGGTCCTTCAAAGGCAAAAAAAATAGTGATAGAATCAAGAGAATTCTCAGGAATTTAAGCATTAAGCAAGGAGCCAAATTTGACAGTCCCTCCTCAAGAAGCAAAATTGAATCATTCATTAAGTTTCACAGTATAGATATGTCTGAATATCTGATTGAAGATTATACGAAGTATCAGACATTTAATGAGTTTTTTTATCGAAAACTCAAACCAAATTTGAGGCCTCTGCAAGGAGAGGACTCTCGGTATGCCGTCAGCGGCGCAGATTGTCGATGCTGTGTTTTTCCAACCGTTGAGAAATCAAAGGAAATCTGGATTAAAGGAAGAGATTTCACGTTGCAGAAGTTACTTGGTCCAAAATTTGATCACAATCTATATGAAGATGGGTCAATTGTCATATTTAGATTAGCTCCCCAAGACTATCATCGTTTTCATAGCTCTGTCGATGGGACTGTTACAAAAATTGAAAAAGTGGAAGGCGAATATTACACTGTGAATCCGATGGCGATTCGATCAAAATTGGACGTTTACGGAGAAAATTCAAGAGTCAACATCGAAATAGACTCTCCTGAATTTGGGAAGGTTATAATGAGCTGCGTAGGAGCCATGATGGTTGGATCCATCGTATTGACACGAAAAATAGGAGACATATTGAGGAGGGGAGAAGAAGTCGGATATTTCAAATTCGGAGGATCTACCGTATTATTATTGTTTCAGAGGGGCAGAATTGTTTTTGACTCTGATTTGGTGTCTAACTCTGAAAAGTCTACAGAAACCCTAATCAGGGTTGGTATGTCGATAGGACACACACCTGAAGTTAAAGAGTTTCCTCGTGAACATACAGATTTGGACAAAGAGCCAGAGGAAACAAGATTGCGCATTATCAGAACACTCACTGGAAAACCGGTTGGAGATTCTTCTGATTGTCTTGGCAATTGGGAAGTTCAAAATCTTGATCTTGACGACGCCGTTAGTATTGATTTGGAAGATGAAGTATCGGATGTCAGCTCATAATATTTTAGCATGGACATGAATATATTGCATTGCATACAACTAGTATTTAGTAGCAGCAACAGGCACGCCTTGGATCGCGGGATCATTGACAAACCATGTCACTGGAACAGGCCCCTTGTTCACGAGCTCACATGGTAATCCAGAATCTTTCTCTTCAAAGATCTGCGAAAGAACCGCAGCTTTACCTGCACCTTCTGCAACGAAGGCTATGTTTTTGCTATTGAATAAAACAGGAAATGTAAAAGTCACTCTCCTTGGTGGAGGCTTTGGAGAGTCTTGAAGGAAGGCAATTCTTCTGCGTTTCTCACTCAAAAGCTTGTGCCCTGGGAAAAGAGAGCAGGTGTGTCCATCTGGACCGCAACCAAGTAAGATCAGATCCAAAGATTCGGGAAGCTTCGCCTCATAATCAGAAGCAATTTTGTCATCTGTGGAGCCATCAGCGGCAAGGAGGGATTCGTCAATGGTGATGACCTTGGGTAATTCCACGCTACGTTGTCTCAGTGATTTGAGAACCATTTCATTGAAAAGACCATAATTGGAGTCTTCATGATTCAAGGGAACCAATCTTTCGTCGCTGAAATAAACCTCCCAATTGGACCACTTGACGTTTGCGAAGTTTTCCTTGTTGGCTATCAGACCTTCGTTAAGGACCTTGCCCAAAGATCCACCACTAATAGCTATTTTGAATTTGTGGCCTTTCTCCAAAGCATCATTTTGATGCTTGATCACATACCTTGCAACGGCATCTGCAACATCTCGGGAATTGGCGTAAGAGTGGACGCTAACCATATTATTTTAGTTAAGCAAAACTCTCGGATTATGTTCTTCCTTGGATTTTGAAACTTTAGCTGACATAATACGACTACTAAAAAATAATATAAATTTTACATTTATATCATGGTTCAAGGTAATTTGAAATTATCCAAAAAAAAGCCTGCTAGAGTCACGAAGCTACAAAAAAATCCTAAGGCAGCTGCTCCAAAGATACGCAAACCGAAGAAGGTGAATCGTAACGAGAAAAACCTTTTTAAGCTATCTCAGAAGCATACCGCAAACCTCGTTTCCAGCACAGAAAAGCTTATTGCATCTAAAGTGGGGCACTTAGAGCTGCTCAAGGGAACAAGGAGAGAAACCGAAAAGAAATCCAAGTGATGTCGCAGACTTCTACGAAATTTGAGGACATTAAGCGTAGTTGGTCAGTCACCAACGAGGTAATAACTATCTCTCCCAGCTACAAGTTTTTCAAAGAACGTGAGAGAGAAGCTACTGAAAAACGGGTACGTAGATAATTGGTTGGGAACGGTTTGTACTATAGTAATGGCTACGTACGTTTTATTGGAGCGTTCAAGAAGTGTATGAAGTGTAATTATTTTAGAGGCAAAGTTACAACATTCGACAATCACTAGCCCGTAATGTTCTCTGCTTTGAAACTCAATGTAACCATTGAAATGAAGACTCGCCAGCTTTGATATCATCTTATCTAACTAGACCCTCCGGTCTGCTACGTGATTTTTGACTACTTGCAGCTGTCAATGTAATATCGTGTCAATAGCAAAACCTCCATTTTTTACAGCAGATTATAGAAGTGTTGCAGAAGAAGTACAGACCGCTTTTTACAGTTTGAACTTTCGATGGTGAATTTCATTGAGTTTGCCACACTGGCAAGTTTGGCTGCCATGTGTGTCATGGCTGTCGAAAATACTGCAATATATCGCCTAGGCGAGCGAAACACCCATGATCAAACTGTCTTGCTCTCTCAAATGGATTCCATATATAACCTTGCAGATGAGTTCGATGTGTCTGATTTCTATGACTTAGACAAGTTGGAAAACGTTCAAGCATTAGGCATTGGAAAAACTATGGCTTGTGACAGAATGGATAGTAACCAGTTGGTGATTATAGTAAACGGAGTCGATGAACCACAAACATTCTTTGAACATATAAAGCCAGTCATTTTGGTTGAAGGAAAGGATGATCATTCATCATATGAGTTTAGAAGTTTCCTTTCCAGTCTCCCATCTCTGATGAAAGAACTGAACTCAAATCTCAAGCTGAGCAAGCTGTCAAGTCACATCTCAATTCTTGGCCAGAACCTTAACAAGGCGCTTTCTGAAACATGGTCCAAGGTCTTCGACGACAAGGAACACGATTCAATATCCTTGATTTGGCGGGAAATATCTAGCAATTACGAAGGCTCGCCTTTTACCAAAAGGTCGCTTTCCATCAGTGACGAAGAATTCATCAATGAGTTGACTCAGCTAGAGTTCTTGCTGAAAAAGGAGCTCCTGACATCAGGCGACAAAATTGTTGTCAATCTCCAGTCTTTGACAAACATTTTCAAGAAAACAGGAGAGAATTCACAGGTGTACCAAAAATGCAAGAAACTTATGAGCAAGCTGATAATGTCACTGTTGGAAAACAACGCGAAATACGATTCAACGGTTGTGGTTATACCATTGCAACAACAAATCATAACTATGAAGAGCAAGGATGACGCCAAACAAGGTATTTCTTTAGCAAAAAGAGATTCTTCAATTGTGTTCGCTACCGGAAATGGATGTTTCAGCTCCCAGGAAGATTGTTTGGATTCTACATCGACATGTTCAGGTCATGGATTGTGCTCAAAAGTGGGTAAGTGCTGGAAGTGTGTTTGTTCTGCTACTCAGGACTCATCAACCGGTAAATCTACCAAATGGACGGGTATTTCGTGCCAGAAAAAGGACGTCAGCGCAGAGATGAACCTGTTTTTGTGGACAACAGTGGTCCTTCTTTTCGTATTTGCTGCTGGTATCAAACTACTTGTCAGCTGTGGCAATGAGGAGTTACCTGGAGTGCTGATTGCTGCTACTGTTCCTACTAAGAAAACGATTTAAGCTATAAAACTACCGGTTTTCCATAGAATTACAGTTGTAGGATCTACCAGCCCCGTTCAATAGGAAATAAACTCTATTGAACGAAAGGGCATTAAGATGATCCATAAAATCAATCTCACCAAGTACTTGACGCCTAGCTATCTCTCGGATGAGATAATTAAGCAACACGGTTTGCTAGTACTGGTTGTCCGCACTGAAAAAAAAATTCTTTTACTTGGATCCCGTTTAAATATGGGAAGCTTAGGGGAGGACCGGGTAATATCTGTGTGAGAACACAAGGATAATAATTATAATTATCTCGATAAAGCGATGTCTAACATTCTCCCTTTGAACAATTCCGATCTTCAGACGGCTGCAAGACCGCTTCATTTCATCATACGGTTTGCGAATGGCGCGCCAGATGTTACGATCCCGGCAGGAACGGTCGCCAATATGGGAGATATATCCACAAAATATATACGACAGCAGATCAGGCTCAAGGATAGATCTCTTGCCAATAAGCGTTTGAAACTCATTCACAACGGAAAGGTTCTCTTGAATCATACGGATTTCAAAAAGAAGATGCATTACCTACTGGATGAAGAGTCAGAAGGGTCAGAGCCCGTAAAGATTTACGTGCATTGCATAGTTGGAGAAGAGCTGTCGCAGAAAGAATTAGCCCAGGAGGAGGCGCTCGATCGCCAGCCGGAGAAAAGCACATCTGAAGCCCCGAAAGGGTTCGACAGATTGCTTTCCCAGGGGTTTTCCGCTCAGGACATTCAAGAATTGCGTCAACAATTTCAGCAAATACACGGAGCAAACTTAGATAATCAGTCGCCAGAGGCTCTTCGGGAATTAGAGGACAGATGGATCGATAGTACAGTTAACAATGAGATCGATGAGTTTCCGGCGAATATAGGGCCAATACGAGGCGGAGGAGCTGGAGGCGTGGGCCCTGTATCACGAGATGGGGATGCACATAAGGATCTTTTGATGGGGGTAGCTATAGGGTATTTCTTAGGTATTTTCGCATTATTTCTGATCAAATTGGAGGTTGGGGGTATACTGAATAAGCGGACGAAAATGGCTGTCTTTGCGGGGGTATTTGTGAATTTAAGTTTTGGCTTTGTTAAGGCATGGTCATAACTTTCATATCTTGATAATTTATTTACTGGCTTAATTCGCGATACCAAGAATTAAAGGCAAAAGGGAGAAGAAATATTTGTTACAAATTAATATTTCACATACCATGAGCACTATTGACAAAATTTCTGAATCCGCCAATCCCGAACGCGATGATACATCCACTGACAGCTCTCTGCGATATGCTGCATATGCGAATAGATTTAGAACCATTGCACTAGCTTCTCACAGATATGTCGCATATACCTCTGACATTGGAGAGTCCTTCCGTCCGGTGGTCAATCCTAACTTTGTCAGATTCTGCTACGGTGTCTCGTGGTCTTACGTTCTTGGAGATGTGTCTCTCGAAGCTTGGAAGGCCAAAATGAGACAAGAAGGAAGATATACTCCGGGATTGCTTCCTTGGCACAAGATTCCGGAAGCAGATCCTATCGCAGCTGCGTCATACACCGGAATGGACTGGAAATGGGTCGGAATTCAAAGAGGTGTTTTCCAGTCCATTGCCTCAATGGGTTTGCCCGCATTTACTATACATTCGGCAGTTAGATACTCTTCTCTTCTGTTTAAGAACACTTCAAACAAATCCCTTAAAACTTATGGACCCGTTGGAATTGGTTTGGCTGTTGTTCCATTGCTCCCTTACCTGTTTGATGAACCTGTGGAGCATGCTACAGAGTACATTTTTGAGCAGGCGTACAAGAGCTTGGGCTCCAAATAGTGATATATATAGTCATCTGTGCACCAGAAATCTAGCAGCAAAAAGAAAAACTTTTTAGCAGATCTTGATATGTTCGGCTTCGGTAAGAAGTCTAGAGTCCCGGAAAAGGAGTGGATAGTCGACAGTGACAGACCCATTTCGACTAAGCCCTTTGAGGTGCCATCGGACTCCATCCAGAAGCCCAGCTTGCAAGATGCAGAAACTGAGGAACAGAGAACCAAATATAACATAGTACTAAAGCACTTTCAATCCACAGAAAAGTATCCTGTGCTTGAAAAAAATTGTAATGCCAGTGATTATGTGGAACTAAACGACTTTGAAAAAGCTTGGCTGAGTAAGGAATGTCTTTTGAGGTATCTTCGCGCGTGCGGATGGAATGTGGACGAAACGATCAAACGATTGACGAATTCAATTGCATGGAGACGTGAATTTGGAATTGCGGGAGGAGAGTTTGAAAAGGTCACTGAAGATGTAGTGGAGGAGGAAAACGAAACCGGGAAGCATCTAGTCTACGGCTTTGACAACGAGGGTAGACCTTGCTTAATACTCTTGAACGGCCGACAAAATACTAAAACTTCTTTCAGACAAATTCAGCATCTGATATACATGTTGGAGACTAGCATTGATTTCATGCCGCAAGGACAAGACAAACTGGCGCTCTGTGTGGACTTTAAGAAATACCCTGAGGCTTCACTAGTGGAGCCAAAGGTACCGGCAGTTTCTGTGGGGAAGCAGGTTCTGCATATTCTACAGTACCACTATCCAGAAAGGCTGGGTAGAGCTCTTTTCATTAATATTCCTCTCATTGTTTGGGGCTTTTTAAAACTATGCTGGCCATTTGTGGATAGCTTTACCAAACAGAAATGCAAGTTTGACGAGCCATTTGGAGAATTTATCCCTCCTGAACAACTGGCTGTGAATTATGGTGGAGATGTTAATTTCGAATATGTTCATGATGAATACTGGCCAGCAATGGTGGAACTTCGCAACAAAAAACGAGAAGTTTACATTGAGAACTACCATAGATTGGGAGGGGGGATTGGTCTCAGTGAGACGGACCTAAGACAGGGTTTGTGAGGAATAAATTGCATATAAGACACATCAAGTGAATGTTCTAATTTTTGCGTATTATACAATGTGATGATTAATGTCTGATGAGAATGTACAGATTTTCCTGTTTGAGCGACGAAAGAGATCTGTAGTTTCCTTCCAAGCACATTAAAAGTCCACCAAATGAGACGTAGACGGAGATATTATCATCTTTCCCTTCTTCAAACTTATAAACCGTTCCGTGCATAACGTAATCGTATTCGTCCATCAAAGACCTTTGACCTGGCTTTGGTGGTCTCCAAGAACCATTGGTGGAGAACATACTTTGATCATCCTCCGCCCCTTCGAGAGCAAGGCTTTTTGCCAAAGTCACAGATAGCGAATCGCCTGTGGAAACTGGAAATAATTCTGTATTAATATCGAGAGTAAGTTTAGTATCGGCTGAGCTAGTGGAGTTGGCAATTATTCTTGACACTTTGTCATATCTAGCGCTGTCCACCGACTGGACACTAAAAATATCATCGAAAAGAGTGCTCGACATGCTCTTTAAATGCGGAATGAATCAATATCTATGGAAAATTTTTGGGTATTTTTGATATTAATTTTGTTACAGGTCCGGGTAAAATGGCTCGAGCTGATCTAATTTGTACATTCTGTTCTAATTCATCCGACGATAGTGATAGCTTTCCTATATTTTAAAGTGGCTCAACTTCTCAGACTCGAGCGTAAATAATCATCACGCACTAGATTATATGGCAAGAAACTCGGATATAGGTCGGCTAGATGCCGATATAGAACTTCAAAATCAGACATCAAGACGAAACTCGTTCCAGTTGGAAGAATTAAACAATTTTGCTATCGACAATGATGATGCAGATCTTGTCTATCATCCAACTTCTTATAAGGGATTAAATGTGGTCAGTGGTGACCTATCAGGGATGTCATTTTACCAAAGACTTCACCACTTTCTGAGTCTCCCTAAAACCAGGAGAAAAATAACAATCCTTGGTATAGTACTCTTCATCGTGTGGATCGTGCTCTTGATATCTTTTGCCCACACTGGAGCTTTTCAAAATGGTAACAAAACGGTTTACCCTGGTCAGAACTCGACTTCACCAGTGTCTACCGACGAATCTGCACTAAAAGACCCGCAAGAACGCATACCGATGACACTACAAGATAGCAGGAATGGTGCCTTTTCAGTATTTTCCTATGATCTTGAGTTTGTCAGCATCCCAGTCATGAGTTATGACGAAGATCAAGGATACTATTTGCATCGCTCAGGCTCGTATCACTTCCTCAAAAAAGCATCCGATAGCCAATTCAGTAAGAAGCTGTATGATCGACCAGAGTTTGAATACAATGGCCAATCGCACAGATTTTCCCTTTTATCTTTAAATATGGAACTCAACAAGGCCCTGTTGGTGTCCGAAGTTGAGGCACAGTGGAGGTATTCGAGCTATGGTGTTTATTGGGTTCTGGACATTGATTCAGGAGCTGTCAGTCCAGTGTTTGAGAAGGACAGCAAGCTTCCAAAAATCAGTTTTGCAGAGTTCTCTCCTAAAGGTAGGTATGTGACGTTTGTTTTTGAAAACAACGTCTACTTATTGGATCTCCAAACCAATGAACAAATTCAGATCACACATGACGGCAGTTCCTCAATTTCGAACGGTAAGCCCGATTGGGTATACGAGGAAGAGGTTCTCTCCAGTGACCGCGCAATTTACTGGTGCCAAGATGAAAGCCATTTCTCGTTTATCAGGTTTGATGATACGGATGTTCCCGCTTATGACCTTGAAATTTTCAGCGACAACCCGTATCCTGTCACTGAGAAGTTGAAATATCCGAAACCAGGATACAATAATCCCATTGTTTCTGTGCACGTTTACTCGGTGGAAGGCAAAACTACGCATGAAGTTACACATGACAATTCTCGTCTCGGCTCGGATTATGTGGTGTACCAGATGGCTTGGACGTCTGGAAAAAAACTCATAATCAAAGAAACTGACAGGACCAGCAGGCTTGTTGACATCAGAGTTTATGATAGCGAGACCACAAAATCCACAGTTGTGCGTTCATTCGACACAAAGGAGTATGATGGATGGTATACCAACAACGGAGATATTTTTGTTGTGCCAGGAGGGGGCTACATTGATACTGTGGTTTATGACTATCACGACCATCTAGCTTACTTTGAGTCTGCCACAGATTCTGAGCCTAAAATGATAACAAAGGGCGACTGGGATGTTGTTGATGGTGTAGCCGGTTACAACCCTACAGCCAAATTACTGTACTTCATCGGGACGGCAGGAAACGCTCTTGAAAGGCACATATTTACTGTTAAGCTTGATGGCCAAGACCTCAGAAATCTCACCAATACTGAAAATGTCAGCACTTATCGATTGTCCGTCTCCAGTGGAGGCAAATATGGTTTTGTGCAGTATAAAGGACCAGCTAGTCCAACAGATAAAATCATTGAAATGGACAAGTTCTCAGAGGACAGAGATGAGTATGTGCAAGCAAAGAATTTAAACACAGCAAACATGGTCGAAGAAGCTCTCAATCGCTATCAAGTACCCTCCAAGGAGTACAAGACTGTGACTCTCGAAGATGGTACCAAGATTGATGTTATAGAAGTGAAACCATTCGATTTCAACCCAGAAAATAAATACCCGCTGTTTGTGAGTGTTTATGGAGGCCCTGGAGCGCAAAAGTTATCATCTGTGTTCAATTATGGATTTGAAGAAGTGCTTGTTTCAAATTTGGAGATCATTGTCTGGTATATCGATCCTAGGGGAACTGGAGGCAGAGGATGGAAATACAAATCATTCGCAAAAGACAAAATAGGTTATTGGGAACCGCGAGACATTGTTGAGGCCACCCAACGGCTCATTGAAATGACCGATTACATCGATATGGATTTGACAGCCATCTGGGGATGGTCATACGGTGGCTTCACCACTTTGAAGACGCTGGAATATGACTCTGGCACCACTTTCAAATACGGTATGGCAGTTGCTCCTGTGACCAATTGGTTGCTCTACGATTCGATTTACACAGAGAGGTACATGGACAAACCCGAAAACAATGAAAACTACCAAAGCGTGTCGAAAATTAGCGATGTCGACAAATTCAAGCAGGTCACTAGATTCCTCATCATGCACGGCACGGCCGACGATAACGTGCATTTCCAAAACACGCTGCAACTTCTGGATGCGTTTGACAGAGAAGGAGTCGAAAATTACGATATGCATGTCTTCCCAGATTCTAACCATAATATCAATCATAATAATGCCAATATGGTTGTTTATGATAAGCTCTTCAAATGGTTGGAAGCCGCTTTTGACAAGAAATGGGTGAACATTTGAACGTCTATACTCATGACTACATAAATCGCATAAATCGCAATAATCCGAACTCGTATCACTGAGGTTTTGAGTAATTTAGAGAGCCGCATTTCTTGCAAACTCTGAGGTCCTTGTCTTTATCGAACGCAAGGATTGCCTCTTTAACTTGTGTTCCAAGGTCAACACAGTGGAACTGAGCCTCATGGCAAATAGCCTTGCAGTTTGAGCAGTACCACCTCATTTTGTCAACCATATCTTTGGGCCTATCCTGTTCCAGGACCAGCCCAATGGTGTTTGCAAATCTGACAGGGTTGTGAGGAGTGTTTGGAGGCAACAAAAATGATTCTCCTTCCTTAATGGGGATATCCTTGAATTCGCCATCATCCACTACCTTCAGTAGCATGTCTCCCTTGTACATGTAAAACCACTCCGGAGTTTGATTAATATGGTAATCGGTTCTCTCGTTTGGTCCACCCACGATCATCACCGTGAACCCACCTCTGTGTAGGCAGTAGTTATTCACAGGTGGTTGAAGCAGGTGCTCATTCTCTGCAATCCATTTGGTGATATTGATAGGTTGCGGCAACATTGTATAAAGTGAGTTACTTCCGTGATGTTGAAAAATGATCCAACCTTCACAGCCTTGAAGTTTTCCGGTCGATCGACCCAATTCGACTTTCGGGGCTGATATCAGTTTGATCAATAAAGTACCCGATTCAGGACACAAGCTGAGTTAACCCGTAGCTTACATGAGAAAGCACTTTGTAGCTGCTATAGAAAATATAGCAACCCTACTTCCTTACCTTTTCCTGTAACGCTCTTCACATGTGGATGTCCAAAAACATTGGGCTCCCATCCCAGTGTAACTGATTAGCTGTAAAAAAACACTTGAATACAAAATTCCTTCACGGTAATTTCTTATTACTAGAATGGCGGTCAGTACGTCTTCAACTGCTGGCATTATTGGTGGCAGCAACCCTTTGGAGTATTCCAAATCGCAGCCGTATACCTTGTTTATATTCCAGACAATACTCATAGTGGTCCTAGCTCAGTTGGTTTACCGTCCTTTATCTCTCATCAAGCAGCCCAAAGTTATTGCGGAAGTGATAACTGGAATTCTGCTTGGACCAAGTGTGATGGGTCACATTCCGAATTTCACTTCAACTGTGTTCCCTACAGATTCTATTCCTGGTTTGACATTGGTCGCCAATGTCGGTGTTTGCCTTTTGCTATTCATGGTCGGATGTGAAGTTGATGTGGTGTTCATCAAAAAGAATCTCAAGATCGCAGTTTCTGTTGGCCTGTTTAACATGGCTGTACCTTTTGGCCTCGGATGTGCCATTGCAGTCGGTCTTTGGAACGAGTATAGAGTTCATGATGATAGCTTGCAACCAATCAAATTCACCACCTTCATGGTTTTCATTGCCGTTGCAATGTGTATTACGGCATTTCCTGTGCTTGCACGTATTATCACTGAGCTTGGGCTGGTTAAGGATCGTGTGGGTGTCATAGTGTTAGCAGCGGGGATCACAAACGACTTGGTTGGGTGGATACTTCTTGCTCTCAGTATCACATTGGCGAACTCTACAAAGTCAGAAGTTACGGCATATATATGTTTGGTCACAATTGGGTGGTGTTTATTTGTGGTATATCCAGTTCGCTATGCATTGAGAAAGGTGCTATTATATTTGGACGACATCTCAAGTGGACCATCGCAACTAGGTACCACAATCATTCTTATGCTGATGTTTGCATCAGCTTTCTTCACAGATATAATTGGCGTTCACCCTATTTTTGGAGCATTCGTCGTGGGAACGATTGTACCTAGGGAGAACAATTATGTCATCGTTGTGACAGAAAAGATCGAAGACCTTGTGAATATCGTTTTCGTCCCGCTTTACTTTGCACTTGCCGGCCTTAGTGTCAACTTGGGTTTACTTAACAGGGGAATTGACTGGGCTTATATTGTTTGCATTATTGTGGTAGCAATGTTGGGTAAGATTCTTGGAGGATTTGTGGCTGCTCGCTTCTTTGGACTCTTCAAAAGAGAAAGTCTCAGTGTTGGTGTCTTGATGTCCTGTAAAGGAATTGTTGAGATTGTTGTGCTTAACACAGGTCTGAACGCAGGAATAATATCTCAGAAGACATTTTCGATGTTCATTGTTATGGCATTGGTGGCGACTTTTGTTACCACGCCATTGACTTTGCTGTGCTATCCCCAATCGTACAGAGACTCAGTCCAACGAAGACTCGCCGAACAGGAAGAGAAGTCTGCTTCTTTGACAACAAAAGCATCGACCACCAATGAATACGAAGAGATTGTTTTCAAAAGGTTGGTGTTGAATGCTAACAATGTTGAAAATATCTCTACCGATTTGGTCTTCCTTGATCATCTGGCAATTCCAGAGCGTATTCCTGTTCATGCTGTGAATGTCAAGTCATTAACCGAGCGGACAGCAGATTTGCTCTATGCTTCGATGTTGAAAGGTGAACAGACTGGTGATAATTTCCAACTGAATGCAATTCTCAACATCCTCAAGATTTTTACCGAAATGAACTCGCAACAATTCACATCTGAGATTCTGTACAGCCTTCCACAGGATCTGTTTAAAACAATACTTTACGGCGTGTCATACTTCAAACATGACCTGCTCATTGTGACTATGAGCTTCAAAGAATTTCAAAGAAACTTGCCATTGGTCGGCGAAATGAGCAGGTTCGACAGCAAGGACAACTACAAATGCTTGTTCATCAACAATAATCAAGATGTGAGCCTCAAAACTGATACTCAAGAGCCTATTACTGATACGAAGTCGCAATATTCAGTCGATACCTATTTAAACCCCAATTCTTTTGAAATCCGCACGGTTACGCTTACCATATCTAATTCCACTGTTTCGCGCCCGGACCTAATAGCGCTCAAACTATTCAGTATATTTGTTCAGCACAAGGGAATTGAGGGCACACGTATAATCGTTCACAAAGACAATGCGATTCTTGCTACCATAAAAGAAGATGCTACGTTGGCAAAAAATCCGAAAGTTTCCATCATCGTCGGTGAGTTTGATCACGAGCTTACTGATGAACACATCAGCAAATCAGCGAACGAAATGTCAATCATCACCTATAACGAAGGATGTGAAAAGCTGATTGACCGTTTATTGGCCGAGAATAACAAAGTTTTGATTGTGTACTAAAATTAAAAATTCTGCCATTCTCGACCGATAATTACGATAATCTTAAAAATCGGACTAAATGGGGAAGTTTTGACAAAAAGTGGCTCGAGGCACAATACCAACACAATGCAGTGCATAATTGAGGATCCGAGACTAGTTGAGGGGGGTTCTTTTCTCGAAACAGCCAGTTGAATTCAAAACAGGCCGAAAAGGCCATCATCTAAACTTTTGACTTCTTGGTCAAATATACAATTTCGCCAAATGATAGACACCTTGCCAAGTGAACTTGTACTTCAGGTCTGTCAGAATCTGCATCAATCGGATTGCTTTCATTTGATGCTATGTACCAAGTTCTTGAGCCAGTGTTGTCTTAAAAGATTATATCAATCTATCATAGTGGATGATGAAAGCCTCTATCTTGACCAAATTTTGGAGGATAGTTATTATCTTCGTGATATATGTGGTGTCAAAGTATATTCTAGCAGAGTGAAAACCTCCTATGGCCTGAAGCAGTTGATTCGAACACTTACTGAAACTGACTTGGTGTGCCTAGTACAACGAATTGAAGTCAACCAAGATCTTGGCCTTCTCCGGCATTGTATACCCAGAATGACGAATCTTAAGTGTGCTCAGCTGCCGGAATCAGGCGTCTTGAGTGCCCCTGGTCTTCGGTCACTACGAACAAAAAAATTAGAAGGCTTTAATTATGATCTTCATGAACTGGAATTGACCCAGAGTTGCAAGCTAACTATCTCCGACTTTAAGCATCTCAAGAAACTCTCAGTGACTGCTATCGCGAGAAATAGCCTAAAGCAATATCGAGTTCCATTATCGTCGCTCCTCAACACCAATGGCCACAAACTAAAGCTGCATGAACTTACCATAAAATCAGCATTGATCTATCCACAAGAACCACAGATTCTGCTTGAGGCGCTAGACTTTACGAAAATGCGAGTGCTTCGTCTGATAGATTTGTTTGAGTATCCCACTTTGAGTTTCCCGGAGACGGATATTAAGTGGGAGGAATTGCGCGTCTCAGAGTTTCGGCAATGGATGTCTCGATTGTCTCGATTGTCAGAAGGTATTCGGCTTCTTCAGAGCACAAAAACGCTATTAGAGGCATTGTCACCACAAGTCAAAGGGTTGAAGGTGTTAGAGTTGCACGTATGCAACTTTTTGGCCGACCACGGTCCCCAATTTATTTCATCAATTACAGACTTGAGGACTCTCAAAGTCAACATTCCCTCACAGCAATGTGTGGATCATGACCCGGACTCTCGAATTAGGGCATATTTAGAGAGTATTTCTTTGCATTCAAACCTCCGTCATCTCGTCATTGAATCACCGCCAATAGAGATCTTGTTGCTCGAACAATATTTGTCGCAAATGAGAAACTTGAAATGTCTCAAATTATGTGTTAAATCAATTGAACCGGCTCGTTTTATTTCATTCATTCGAAACTTCCCCGAATTGGAGTTTTTGGATGTAGCTTTTGATCCAATTCCTTTGAAAGACATCCAGGAGAAGTATATTGTTGAAGCGCTAACTCATGGACCACTACAATATGCTAAATTTTCTAGCTCAATCTATGACATGAGTAAAGGAATGATCAAAGGCAAACATATCATGCGCTGGTTCGATGACAAGCTTATAAATTTGTAATACAACAAATATTCATGACTTTCTCGATGTTATTGTCTTCGTAGACAAAACTAATGCTACTAAAAAACACTATAAAAAAAAATGTATCTCATAGACTCATAAAATGCACAAATCTTTACATTCGGTATCAAACTTGCACATAAGCAAACATCTATTGCTTTACAGGAAATCGGTATTAAATCATATATATGGTACTAATGGTATTACCGCATCCTATCTTTCATACTATACTCACCCTGAACAATGCAAAATAATATATCGAAATCTGATAAGGCTCGTTCCCTACCTTAATGTCCCAGGCCATTTCAAGCGAGTATACACACTTTATATCCAAATGAGGTTCAGAGAGGACTATGAGTATAAACGCAAATTACTTATCAATGTTACCGATAAATTGACCAGTGAACAGTTGACTAACAGATTAATCAACACGATAAATTTTGTTTCTAATGCCTGCTCAGAACCGTTCTCCGAAGAGAACGTAGAGTTTCGTATTCTACGTGGAATACTGCAACACGAATCATCTAAGTATAATTACAAAGGTGAACTTGCCGAATCATATTCATTACGTGCTTTCAGCGAGTTAAGATCGACTGCAAAAGCCACCGATATAAATCCAACATTACCTAACAACTGGTTTTCATGGTTAGAGAAATCACGGGACTCTCTAATTCCAAAGCTAGACTACAATCGGCCAACCAAGAAAGATCTGATAGAAGACACGCTGTTTGCGGTCTTTCGCTTCGAAAGAAACAAAGAAATGCTCAATGAGTCAGCCAAGCTATTGTTATAGCATCAGGAATAAAAATTAGAACAACTATATTCGAAAAGAGCTCTATGTAGTTCCATTTTTCGATAATTCAACTTAGAATTGTAAGCGAGTTTACACCGGCGATCACCAACCCAACGAGTTTTTCACATTGGTAGGATTGGAAATGGAAGGCATGTATCTGGTTGATCCCAGCTCGACATTGGAGTTAGAGTTTCTTGTGAACATTCGAGTAAAGGATGCGCCGGAAGAAGAGTTTGTGAGGCGGATGGCGCCTTCGTCAGAATAGTCAGAATGGTATTGCTCGGCATCAACCGGTGAACCGCTGGACAACATTAGCGAGCGGAAATCACTCGAGCCATGAAGATTTGCATGTTTTTCGGATTCGTATTGTTCTTGAAGCTTCTTCTTTCTTCTTTTGTAGATTAGCATCATCACCGCCGCGTAGGCTGTGGCACCTGCAGCAGAGCCAGCAACAATACCGGCTATTCTACCACCTTGTACCTTTGTTGATCCGGTAGAAGTCAGGCTGGAGGAATCCATAGATCCTAAAGAAAGAGAATCATCCTCGTCATCATCTTCATCATTTCCTGTACCGGAAAGATCGCCTCCAATAGTTGCAGACCCCATTGAAGTTGCATCCAGCAGCCCATCTATAGGGACTCGACTGTCAATGTATCCGGCTAGCGACTTTTGAATTGCATTTGGATTCGTGTAGAGTGTTGACGAGGTATTACTGATTTCATTCTGTAACACAGTGATGTAATCTTGGTCAAAGTAAACTTCTGCAACAGTGATGATATAGTCAACGTTCGCAGAAGAATAAGGAACCAATTGTTTGACAAAAACAGCAGACTCATTCACATCAGGATTTGGGTATGTGAGGACCTTGGGCAGATACTCGAAAATCTGATTCGAAGAGTAGGAATTTTCACAAACAAACGTGTATTTCAGTTCCTGTTTGAATCCAACTGTAATCAATCTATAATTAGGAGAAACTGCCGCAGTCGCAACAGGGGAAATCGCTTTTGGTAATGCTGATTCTGCAATCGACGAGGTACTAGACTGTTGTGATCCTGATGCAGTCGATGGATCTTGGTACACAATACTAGTAGGAAGCCAATTTGCTGTTGGAGTTGTAGGCACAGAGGACGTAATTCCAAAAGCAGTGCTTGATGGTTGTTGTGATTGGTAAGTTGTAGGACCTGCGGTACCCAGACCCGGGCTGCTGCTCGAATATTCTGTGAGTGAATTTTCAGTACCTTCAGGAGTTGTTCCAGACAAACTCACTGAAGAAGAGGTACTGGACTCGGGCGAATGTGCTGGCACTTCCGTAGAGCTAGTAGAACCGGATTCAGACGTTGATTGAACACTAGAGACTGTCAAAGGACCAGTAGACGTGGTACCTTTGTCAGCTGTCGAATCAGACGATAAAAGAACCTGAGTTTCACTTGACGTCTGTGAGACCTGGGATGCTTCGCTGTCAGTACTGATCATTGAAAGATGCTGGAGTGCTGATTGAATCGAAGAGAGCGATGAAGTCAAAGCCTGTTGAGTAGTCATGCTCGTACTAGAAGAACTGACACCAATTGTAGCTGGAGAGTTAGTGACTGAGGACTCTTCTATGGTAGTTGCCGCGTTCGCGGTTGAGCTGAGAGGATTCAAGATACTTGACAAACTCCAAGTCGAAGAGACAGCAATTATAGGACTTGATGGAGAAGAAACTGAATATGATGTATCTGCATTTGATGCGACACTTGAAAATGTCGTGGCAGCGTTCACTTGGGAACTAGTAGAGTATTCGGAAATACTTTGTGAAGAAATGCTAGTACTGATTCCCGAAATGTTGTCAGAGCTCAATGATGAAGTCTCTAGATATGTGTTTTCAGTACTGGATGCCCCTAAGTGTGATGATTCTGGCTCGGCGGCTGATGAGCTCGAAAGTGTGGTTTTCGATAAAAGGGAGGTGGTTGTGGCTGCATTTCCTGTAAAAGAGCTTGATGGCGTTCCCGTGGATAAGTTGCTGCTCAAGTTTGCAGTTTCAGTTGAAACAGTCTCTTCGCTCGTCGGTGACGAGGTCCACGACGATGATCCTGTTGACGTATTTTCTGGTAATGGTATGGGAGCCGTGACACTTAGAGAGCTCGAGCTCTGACTAATGGTGATTCTAACAATTCCTGAGTGCCCTCCATAAACACTAGATGCCCTTGGTGTAGGACCCGATATCTCGGAACTGGGAGAAATCTTAGATGGTAGCGGGGAGTCCGTCTCCGGTTCATTGGAAGAGGTGGGTGGAAGTGGCTGTGGCACCGCCCCTGATTCGCTAGTTTCGCTAGTTGAATGGAGGGCCTCCGGCGAAGACGACGCAGAAATTGAAGGGGTCTCGTAGTCCGTCGTAATCGCCGTGGATTGAGCTTCTGCCGCAGAAGACGACGTAGATTCCAACTGATCTGAAGATACTATTTTCAAATCTTCTTGAGGGATTGATGACCCGGTGGTCTCTGATGGTAGTGGCAATTCTGTTTCAGAATTGGAGGACTCGGGATTTGTTGAAGAAGGCAGAGGCGAATCCGTTTCCGATGCCGTGGACTCTGTACCACTTGCAGATGACGACAAGGAAGTTTCACTAGAAACTGTTGTCGAGGTTGTACTGCCAGCGACTTTGAAACGCAAATCAGGACTCCTAGATGTACTTAGAGAATTTGTAGCAGAAGCTGATGAGGAGCTATATTGTTCTGCTGTTCCTTCCGATGATGCTGTGGTAGATGAAGTTGAGCTTGTAGCTTCCGGATCGCTGAGACTTTCGCTTGATGAGAGTCCAAGAGAGTCGGTTGAAGAAACATATGAGGAAGCCAGTGCTGAAGACTCAGATTGCTGCTGTGAGTTTGTTGCGTAAAATGTAGCCTTTGCTTTTGTAGCGCCAGTGTAGCTCGCACTCGACAACGAACTCAAAGATGAGTCCGAAGAGCTTCCAGGATTACTCACGTTCTCAGTGCTTTCAATGTTGCTTCTTGAGCTTTCTAAGCTGGAACTAGAAGAAGCCGTGGAAAAAGACGTCGTATCCTGCAAGCTGGAACCTTGAGAAGTTTCGGTTTCGGTTTCAAGGGAAGAGGATGGAGTAGATTGCGATGTAGCGGAAGATGGCAAATCCAAATGGGTTTCAGAAGATTGACTGGAGGAACTTAGCAAGTCTGATGTTGGAGAGTACAACCAGTTTGTTGGATCCAAAAGCTCTTCGATATTTTCAGAGGGCGATGATGTTGAGGATATGGATGATGTTGCTGAAGCCGAACTCTCAAACTCTGTTAAACTCGAGTTCGAATATAAACCATCTCGAGCGACCGCCTCTTTCTCATGATTTTCTCGTTTTATGACTTTCTTCATCTCCAGGTGAGGAAACATCGAGGGAAGGTATAAACCATTCACCATGGTGAACACCAAATTGAGAAGGATCAGGTTGTTGAATTTGACCATTGGCGGGACTTAGAAGCGTGTCTCAATACTTTTCAAAACGAGTGGAAGGGTATCAACTGTGTTGTAATATACTAGTGAATGACAAAAATGTAGCTGTTTTCTTGCGGTGAAAGAGTCTGTGTTTGAAACAGAGTGTATTTATTTGATGTTGAAGAAGTGTGCGTGATTAATATCCATACACGCAGATTCTGTGGATTCGCAAAGCTGTTTCTTTCAAAGAAACCACCCCAAATTGCAATGCAAGAAATCTCTAAACAAAACTCAAAAGCATTTACAAAGTTTGACCCCTCTGGGAACTGCCCAGCGGATGGTCGTGGCATACACAGCGTCCCTTTGTTGTCGTAAGATTTTCAAGCGCGGAACTGAATAACAATTGTTCTAAAAAAAAAAAGACATCAATAGCCTTGGTTGCAGAAAAGTAAGATCTCGGCATTCATGACTTACTCCATAAACTGTTACGGCCAAGGATACAGCTTGTAATGCAGTACCCTGGTAGTTCAAACAAGGGTTTTTCTTTTGAGTCTGTGCGCCTAAGAGTCCAGATTCCGGCTTGCTAAACGTATTGTTCTATTGTTATGGTTGGTACACGACAATAATTTTGTATCAGATCTGGAATTATAGCATGTTCGTAATGGTGGTAGGAAGATATGAAACACTCATGGCAAAAGAAGCAGTCATGCTACCGGCAGTAGAGCCACTTTCTACGCTATTACAGACAAGTTAAATCGAGTGCGGTCCGCATAAGCCAATGAGGCTTTTATGAACTCATAACCTCTACCCTCAATTTCGATGTATGACGCGTCTTTATCATTCCGAGTTGATTCCGTTCTTGGCACGATGAATTGTCTTTTACGTGCACGTAAAAAAAGCTGTTTCAAAAAAGGCAAGACTAATTGAATTCTGCCGTTGGACGACAGTGTCGTTCGACGCGTCGAATTCCCCAAAAATTAGTTAATACGTGGTTAGCATTAGACATGTCAAATTACACCTCCCTAAAACCTCAGCCGCCAGTTCCTGAGCCTTTTGAGGATGATGATGTGTTTATTCAGCCGGATAGCGGCGTGTCAGAAGTGCACGAAGCAGACTTAGGTTCCCCGGCAAATCCAAAACCGACTCTCGCTCCGTCAACAGCAAATACAACATTCTCGAGCTCAAAGTCTAAAAAGACCTATTCGGGTGGGATATTCACTCTCAACTATTACAGGCAATTCTTTGATCTTGAATCAAGCGATTTTTTCCGCAATTGCTACAGAAGCTTGAATCCTTTAGTGAGACTTCCCGAGGAGGAATTCAGGGAAGTTGGGGACCTTTACGGATCAGTGTGGATAACAGCGACCTTGGTTTATCTTTTATTCTTTTGTAACTCATTTGCTGAACTATTAAGCGAGTGGTTTCTACACAATGACAAACTAGGCATCAACTATTTTAAAATGATCATCACCTCCATCAACCTACTATATGGATACATCGCAATAATCCCAGCGCTCTTATATTTGGCTTTACGCTTCTATTTTAAAGTTGTCCTGCTTATTCCCTTGACCAAGCTCATTTCAATATACTCATACTCTAACATCATGTGGATCCCAGCTGCGCTTTTAAGTATATTCCGTGGATTGCTTATCAATCACCACGTTTTGGATACAGCTCTTAAATGGAGCTGTATTGGTATCGGAGCTATTCTGAGTGGATGGAGTATTGTGGTCAAAATTTCCCAGTACTTCGGAACTATTTTCGGGCAGGAAGACAAAAAGTTCTCCATGCTGGTTCTGGGGCTACTGATTTTGGCCCATGTGGGTTTCTCTTTGGGAGTGAAGATGTGTTTTTTTGGGGATTTATAGAGACTATGCGGTTCAATTGATGTGTTAAATAATACCCATAAACGAACATTGGTGTCTACTATAGTATACCATCATACGGTTTCCGATAAGTTTTGACCTACTTGCCTGTTCTCATAGCAGTAAAAAGTCGTGTACCAAACACAATTAATTACCTCGAGATCGAAAATTGTTGTTGGAAGTGTTGAAAAATTAAAGCTCGACAGGTTTCCAATCTCCCTCAGAGACTTAGAGTACCAAGTGTTTCAAGTTTACCATCTTCTACTTTATAGAGTTAGTTGCTGGACTTAGATTTGTTATCTGTGTAAATATTTGATATCCAAAAGAACTGATAAGCAGAAAGATGTCTGACGAAGTGCCAGCGATCAAAGCTCCTAGAAACAAACGGTTCATCAAAAAGCCTGACGTTAAAGCTAGAAACGCCAAGCTTGCTGAACTCAACAAGGAGTTGGACAAGTACAACAAAGAGATTGCTGATTTGAACAAGCAGATCGAGGTCACTGTGACTCCAAAAGATGTTCTGGAAGAGAGAAAGAGGTTGACCTCTGAGCTCAACACGATCATCAAGCAACAGAGTGAGATCAAAAACAAGAGAAACTTGTTGAATGAGCAGATTCGAGCTATAGACGGCCAAATGAAGAAAAAAATTGGTGATTTGCAGGCCCAAAACTCCAAGAACAGCTTCAAAAATGTCGAGGAGATTGATAAAAAGATTAACCAGTTGGAAGATCTTATTGGTTCTGGTACTTTGAAGCTTGTTGATGAGAGAAGATATGTCAAGGAGATTACTTCTTTGAGAAAACTGAAAAAGGACTTTGGTTCCATTGAGCAACTGCAGAAGTCCATTGACAATGACAAGCTCAAGATCCAAGAGCTGAAGAAAAAGCAGTCTGCTGTTTCCAACAAGGAAATCCAAGCTAAATTTGAAGAAGTTACCAAGAGCTTAGATTCATTGAGCTTGAAAAATAAGGGCGTTCAAGACAAGAGGCAATCGTTGTTTGACAAGAGAAAGGCTCTTTACTCCAAGAAGGATGGAATTTATGCCGAGATCAACAAGGTGAGATCAGAATTTGATGCTCAGCACAAGAAATTTGTTGCCGACATGGAGGCTGAACGTAAAAGAAGGGAAGAAGAGGAAAGGATTTACAACCTGACCTTGAAAAAACAAGAGTTGCAAGCTGAAATCGAACTTCTGAAGGAGACCTCCAAAAGACCTGCGTTCACTCGCGAGATCACCTTAGTGGAGACTTTGCTTGGCCACTTCGATCCTACCTATGTTAGAACCGACAAGGAGCCATTGGAAGAATCAAAAGCTCCTTCAAACACCGCATCTACTAGTCGTAAGATTGAAATGCCAGCGGATGCTGTCATCATCAAGAAGGAGCAGGAAAACTTCTTCGCCGGTAATAAGTCCAAGAAAGAAAAAAAGACTCAGAAGAAACAATCTTCTAAGTTTGTCATCGAGCCTGATGTCATTGCTCAGTTGTCCGAGCTGTCCATCGCTTTGCCATCGAAAGCCGACGAGATTCCAAATACGATTAGCAGCTTGAAGGCCAAGCTGGAGGAGTTCAAGTCAAAGCAAGAGGAACAGACCAAGGAGAACATTGCCAAAGCTGACGAAAAGGCAGCCAAGCTTGAAGCTGAGATTGCCAAGATTGATGCCGAAATCGAGGAGGAGGCAAAAACCAAAGTTGTGAAAGCAAGTGAGGAGGCCGAGTAAACCTTAATGTTGAATAATTAGCAATATTTTTCTCTTTATACAGAAGAATAGATCCAATTAAATTAACCTAGATCGAGACGAAATCCGGACTTTGAGAATTTCAGCCAGATGAAATTTCAAATTTCATCTGACAAGAAAAAAAAAAACGTAGAATCAGGCTGTGTCATGCTCCATAGTACTAAAGCACCGCTGGGCCCTGCAAAAGGAAAAAGAAAAAAATAAGATAAGCTTGTCCCAACTAACAAATCTTACTACGGTTTGGATGAACGCCAGATTTGTTCGGATTGTACTGCATCATCACACAATATAATAACATCTGGGGTGTGAGCCTTGGTTGGGAGCACAGTCCGTTTCAAAATATAAAACTCACACATTTACATCGAACCTGGTAGATTCTTCTCTAGCAGTGTCATTGAGGTTATTGGGTATATCCCATTACCGACATCATTGGTTTAGCGCTCTCGACATTGAACATAAACCAAAATACATTCCATGAACGAAGGTTGTCGGGAAGTCGTTTTAGATGGGCACGGTTCACAAATATTGCGATCTCCTTCAAATACAGGACCTTTAGACAAGCTCTCGCTATCCCTTGACTCCCCTGAAGAGTCTGAAACCACACAGTTACCAGATGATTACCAAGAAGAGGCAAGTGCCTTTTCAAAACCTAGATCAAAATGTTTCGGCCTCACGATCAAGGAATCTTCACAAATGTCTAACTTTTACTACCATGGATTGAAGGTCCCGATAATGATGTATAGGTGCTTCACATATTTGGACCATGAGATAGGATATGACAAAGTTGGTATTTTCAGATTATCATCTGTGAAATCCGAGATCAATAGATTGGAGGAAATGTTTAACAACTTGGGCGATGTCGATTTGGTGAACCTGAACCCGAAACCTAGCATTCATGCCGTCACGACACTTTTCAAGCGATGGCTTCGCTCTGGAGAGAGAATTTTGAATGAGGAAGACTGCATGCAACTTAAACTACTGCTTCGACTTTCAAATGTTTCCATTAGAATACGCGAGTTTAATTCCGTTCTAAGAGCGCTCCCGTCTGAAAACTACCAAATACTAAAATGCTTATTTATCTATCTTGATAAGGTTCTCGAATACCGGGATCAGAACAAAAATTCGATTGAGAGCTTGGCGATGCTATTCAGTGCGAACGTCTCCTACGACCCAACAGGCAAACATGTTCCTATATTCACTGAGCTATTGGTTAATAGAAAGTCATATTTCCTCGATTGATGGGCGCCTAGACTTTATAATAATGTACTGTTTACCTTCAACGTTTATTGCGTAAGTTAAATATTACTTATAATTTCCTTGGACACGAAAACATCGTCTCCAACCTCTACCTCACGAGATACACCCACGTTACGTCTTCGTTTTCTGATCACATTCTCGATGAACGCCTCTCCAGCCTTATAAGAGGACCTCACCAGCGGCCCTGATGCACAATAAAGGAATCCCATGTCCAAGGCAACGTTCTTCCAGTACTCAAATTTCTCTGGAGTAACGTATTCAACAACCTTCATGTGTCTCTTGGTAGGTCTCATGTATTGCCCAAAAGTCACCACGTCCACGTTATTCTCTCTCAGATCTTTCAAAGTCTGCAAGATCTGTCCATCAGTTTCTCCAAATCCAAGCATCAAAGAAGTCTTCGTAACCAGATCAACGTTCGTTTCTTTTGCCGTGCGCAACACTGCAAGTGACTGTCTGTACGTAGCACGTCTATCTCTGATATGTGGCGTCAAATCTTCCACTGTTTCTAGATTGTGAGCGAAAACATCTAGCGGTGAAGATGCAAGGACCTTGACCATCTCCAAATCTCCACGGAAATCTCCTGACAGACACTCCACTAAAATTTGAGGAGCTTTTTCTTTTATTTTCTCAACAGTAGAGCGCAGGTGATGAGAACCTCCGTCAGGAAGATCGTCTCTGTCCACAGTAGTCAGAACCACGTATCCAAGCCCCCATCTACTTATTGCCTCTGCTGTATTTTCCGGCTCGTTTGGATCTAGTGGCCCCGGGTTTCTATTGGTTTTCACTGAGCAAAATCGACAGCCTCTCGTGCAAGTATCTCCCATCAACATGATTGTGGCAGTAGCTTCTGACTTCTTACCTCCCCAGCACTCTCCGATATTTGGACACTTGGCTTCCTCGCACACAGTTGCTAGTTTCAACTCCCGGACATCTTTCTTCAGCGAATGAAATGATTTACCTTTAGGAATTGGGACTTTGAGCCACGAGGGCAACCTGGCATCAGGGTCTTTCCGTGCTAACTCTAGAGGATCCACCAACAAATCCTTAGCCTTGCCGCTGATAAAGTCTTCGAAAGAAGGCCCTTTATTCAGCTTGTCAGTGAACTGAGTGACTTTTCGTCTTCTTCTAGGCTTGGGGACAATATTCTCTTCTGCGCGTTGCTCCCCCATTTGACTAGTACCTGGAACTGATGCAAGTCCTCTAATTCCCACAATACCAGGCCTGACATTGGCGGAGATCAAATTCCTGCATAAAACCATAGTTGGGTATATCAAATCGTCTCAAAGTATTTTTTTGACCTTGAACTCTCTCCTTACCTGATTACGTAATAGCACCTTCATTGGACACTTATAGTCCGAAGATAGAGAGATTCGAGTCCGACTAAGTAAAATCATTAAAAATATGCTGATATAATAATCAATGATAATGATAGTATGTAACAGTGTCTACCTATTTAGCTGTGTTTTATGCAATGGCGGCATGACGTGAGGCTCCGAAGTATTAGGAGAACTTTCGTTTTGTTCGCGTTTCCTCTCTAAGGCGTCCGCAACAACTTCCGCCATGAGTTGTTGGCATGCAGCATCATCATACTTGTTTAGCCATGGATGCGACAAAAGCTCAGCATAGACAGGACGTTTATTTGGATTCTTGTTTAAGCATAGATTCACGAAATCACGTGCCTCTTTGGAAAAGCGATCGTCAGGCAATGTTGGTGGTTCGCCATCAACAATTGCACTCAGTTGCGAAAAGATATTGTCGTAGGTTTCTTGTGGATAAGGGTAGCTGCCCTTTGCAATCTCAAGTATTGATAATCCCAATGACCAAATGTCCGATTGGACTGTATAGGTAGCGTCGTCTGGTGTTGATGATTTAATTCGTTCTGGTGCCATATACGACTGGCATCCAATATTGGTCCTGGCCAACGAAGCGACTAAATTACCACTAACACCAAAATCACATAGTTTCACTTTCCCAGAGTCCCCAACCAAAATGTTTGTCGGCTTGACGTCTCTGTGGATTATGTTGTGATCATCTTTCAGTTGCTTGAGCCCCTTGACAACGCATTTGGTAACATAAGCTAACTCAGGTTCATTCAGCCCATTTCCATATATCTTGTCAAGTGAGCCGCCTTGCATGTATTCCATGCACATATAAACTGCACCTTCAATGAAAAATGCGCCGTAGAAGTCCACAATGCAATCACTCACACAACTATGGAGCACTTCCAGTTCCATTAAGATTTGTCTGAACTTGGAATCGTCCAGCTCCAGCCGGACTTCCTTCATTGCCATAATAATCCCAGTAGGTCTATGCAAAACTTTGGATACTATTCCATAGTTTCCGCGTCCCAGTTCCTCCAGAAACTGTAAATCGTCATGTGATATTCTAAAAGAAGAGCCATTCGAAAAATCAACACCTTTGGAATGCACAGAAGCCTTACCAGCAAAATTAAGAGAACCCGATTTGATGTCCACATATTTCGCATAATTAGCAAACATGCCTGCGGGTTTGGGTTGGGCCTGGGGAAGACGAAGATTTGGTTTGGACCTTGCTCCTCCGATAGGAGCAGGCGCGCTATTATGCGGAACACTTGGAACTCCTCTCTGAGGCAGCATATTGAGTTTGAGTTTGTCCATTGACTTGTTGGAGGATGCTCGATTTTGAGGGTCGGTCAAGGAGTTGAAATCAAGTTTCATTCCTCTTCTTTGAGATAAAGACTGTTTTCTTTGAGGGGGTTTGGCCTCGGTAGAGGGCGCTTGATTGATCTCGTTTCGGACGATCGCATCCAACTTATCCGACAACACAATGTCTGGTAATTCTGGTAGAGGCTTATCCTGACTGGGAACAGCATCAGAAGATTTGGTGGCGTGTCCGCCAAAAGGGCGCTCCACGGAGTCTTTCATGGTTTTGAAACTATGACTGCGGCTTCGTGAATCTGACAAGGCCTTCTCATCGGTTTCGGACTGTTTCTTTGGAATTCTAAAGGATGTTCGCCTCATCAGACCTTCTGCAGATTGGGCATCGGTCTTCTCTTCCGCATCAAGATTTGGGGTTCCCGGGGCGCCAGCGTCCTCGGTGCGCGGAGTCGACGGCGAGCTCAAGATTGGAGAAGCATTTCGGGCCGGGCTGAAAAGCTCCTCACTCGAATGTTGTTGTTGCCTCTTGGCCTGAAAGGCTAACAGCTTGGCCTGTGCGTTAGGATTAAGGCCTCGATTATGGATGCTAAGATCTTGTAGTTTTGAAGATAGGTCGTTATTGTCCCCCATCTTGTGAAAGCAGATTCAAAGTAAGGAATGTAGTGGTTATGAGAATCTGATTGTCCAAACGGTGTATGTCTTGAAATAACGCCTGACTAAAACAGTTTGGGTTAAAGTGGCGAATGTCACTCTATCTTTTGCCGTTAGGCTTTGCTCTAGCTGGAATGGTGCGTCCAGTAAAATAACAAGTTGAGGGAATGAGTCGAAATGTATGTCTTGGATCTTTTTTTATGTGGACCTTTGTATTCGCACTTCAATCACTGCAGCTAAGCTCACCAGATTTTGACTGCTTGCGATTTTTTGTATTTTTTGTATTTTTTTTCAACCCGGCAAATTTCAGCCCTCTACAAATAGTCGCGTCGAAGTTTGGGTCGACAAGATCGAATACTACTCCAATTTCTTCGCTTGAAAGCAGGATTGTTTTTTCGTAGATGTGACACGCACTTGCAGGGTTCACTAAATAATAACGGAGCTAGTAAAACATTTATATAAGGCTTCTGGCGGTCTTTTCTATAAATAATTAGGGTCGATGACGACACACCACAGAGCCGCTTTATTGACCTCCACCAAAAGGTTACAGTTGTCCCCTACATTAAGTGGTTCTAAAACTGCAATATCTGAATGATTCTAAAAATAACTGGAAGCGGGTCTTACGACTATTGCAGATGAACTTTGGTTTTCCTTGATTGTCGCACCCCTTGGATCTAATGTCCCAGCAGATCCCGCATCGATTTCTATTGATGATTGCAGAACATGTTTGTCTCCAATAAATAAAGAACTTAGATTACTCGATTCATTAAGAAACTTTGTAACTTGCAGTCCCAATAATAGGGTCATGTACGGTTCCTTGCAAGAAATCGAATAACATTTCTCCATTGGGAATAACAACACGGGTGCCTTATTATTGTTTAGGTTTTGTGCCGTTTCAGCCCACATGATAACTCCTTAGTATCCGCATGCGACGGTTAAAATTGATTCTAAAAGTGTCCGACTTTTTATTTTTATGCCTTTTCAGTTCGAAAACCTGCCTCCAGAACAGCTTGAGCTGCAGGTACCTGTTTACATCCTAAAAGGGCGAACGTCGGCACGCCGCAAGGGATTGCTTGCAGTGTTCAACGACAAGTTCAGCGTGCAATATTACGAGATAGTGGATGGCTACTTCAAAGCAATGGTCCATCTCGGAGACGGGATGAACTGTCTCACCTTGCAGCATGTGGATGGCTTATGGATGAATGGGCAGCCTGCTTTTCCCAAAGATGGCCCAGCTGTTTTAGATCAAACACAAGTCAAATTGAATTACAGTCCGATAAGCGACGAGTCTCTTGTTCCAAAAATACATTTGTGTGTTTTGGTTGGCAAAGACTCCCCTCAACTATTTGATTGTCCGCAGGCTAAAAGGTACGAGGGGAATAATCTTGATGCGGCAGTACGCAAGCTGCGCATGGGCGGAAGATTGATGCAGGCGTTCACGCAGGATGATATGTATTTAGAGAAGTTCGGGTCGAGAAGCTTCCGATTCGTGGAAGAAAAAACCCGGAGCACCATCAGCTATGTTGAGGAGGCAAAAGGTATCCTGCGCAACGAGATTAAAATACACGTTATTCGGTCGGACCGCACTGTTGCTGAACTCCGAAGCCCTGATTATGCACAACAAAACCCAAAGGCGAAAAAAGCTGGCGAGCTCTTCGGCATTGCAATGGATGCTTTGACCAAATATGGTGGCCCGTTTGCGGAATCGGCAACATCTCGCGTACCAGCTATGGCGGCTGTCATGATTTTGGATGCTCACTGGGATAAGAGGCAGAACTTAATTTTAGGACATGCCGCACTAGGTGGTGGAAATGATAGGATCAAGCTTGCGATCTTTGGGTCCCACGGACTTCACTCTTGGCCAATGAATATGGAGTCCTTGCATAGAGCATTAACTGACACCACGCCGATCAGCACCAATGAGGTGGCAAATGATTGCAACCAATGTGGTACTGCTTGGGAGTGCTTCACATTGACTTTAGGAGCATTTATGCACGAAATAGGACACTTGCTTGGTTGTCCTCATCAAAGAAATGGAGTCATGCTTCGTGACTATTTAACATTGAACCGCAAGTTCTTAGCGAAAGAGGCGTATTGTCAGCGAACAAAGAAATCCGACTGGGGCCCCGTGCTCACTAGCGCAGAACCTGGATGGCACAGATTGGACAAAATAAGGTTTCTCTATCATCCAGCCTTTGCTGTGCCCGCTGATTTCTACGTGGAATCATTTAGACCAACTGCATTTAGATGCAACCAAGGAATGAAACTGCCTACAGATGCAGTGTGTGAAATATCCGTTCTGGCGATCGATATAGATACCTTGGATTTGGTGGCACCTTCAGGAATCTATCTGGTTGAGTTCATGACAGGTGAATTTCCGGACTTGCAATACGAGTTCTTGCCAGTGTTCTTGAAGGGTCGGGGCTGCCTCCCAGTCGTCCGCTTATCCGTCTCCCAAATTGAGTCTCAACTAAAATCCAAGAAACCCATTCATGTTCGAGTTCTTGCAAGAGGGTTTCTACAAAAAGACATTAGTGATTTGCGGAAATTACTTATTGAGTTGAGTTCTCCCGTGTTGGTCAATGGTGGTGCATTGTCTCTTACGAAAAGCGAGGTTTACGGAGGGGATCAGGGCAGTGACTTGATGGTCACTTTTCCTGATAAGCGAGTCATCGGGCTACAAGTTACACATGGTTTGGCATTGGACGGAATCAGAGTCCTTTTCAATGATCGAAGCTATCTGGATTTCGGAAACTTCAAAAGTCATCATTCAGATTTTTATTTGGAGGAAGATGAAATTATAACAGGATTCAACATTCGTTGTGGAGCTTGGGTTGATGCTATTCAGATTTTGACCAACAAGAAATCGAGTCCAATGCTAGGCGGAACAGGGGGAGGTGTGCGTCAGTTTTTTGTGCCTCGAGGCAAGAATTTGTATGGATTCTATGGGAAGATGTCCAATTGGTGCATCGGAATAGGATTTTTGTATGGCTAAGTTTACTTAAAAGTAAACATCTTGAACGTTAGGGGCTTCCGCCAGACACGTTGGAATGAAATGATTGATATCCTCCAGCGGTACTTGAAGTCCCGACGGCAAGTCTGCAGAATCAAATAGGTATCTCTGTTTCACTTCTTCAAGGGAAGGCACTTCCTGAAAGTTGATACTATTGTTGAGTTTCTCATACTTGGCATTCATAATGCGCAATATATCAACGACAGTAGAGATATTATGCCGAAATGCAGCTGGAAATGCTGAGTTTTGGTATTCCTTCATAAGCCTTATTTCTTCCCTCCAAAGGTGCTTGTCTTTAACATTGTAATTTTTCGCCTTGATATGCAACTTGGATCTGATTTTGGATTGATCGATGCTGTTCGCAAGGCCATATCTGCTGATACTGAGGGCTATCCCTAACTCATTCTTGTGATAATAGAAGAGGCTTCTATAGTATGAGAATAGAATTTCCACAAATCTTTTCAAAGTCCCAACTTGCGAGGACTTTCTCAGTTGTTCCAAAACTGCACATTCATTGTAAACAAATATCAGTATGCGAACATAAGTATTCAGTCTCTCTGGAACCTGATCAAAAACACCAAATTTAGCCTTGATTTCTCTGTGTGTAACGTAAATGTTCTTGAAAATGATCAGGAGTTGCACCAATATCTGGTTCAGATGATAAATGTAATCGAAGTGGGGTCGATGCAATTCGGACACCTGATCCCGGAATTCATTTGCAAGCCCAAATGCGCTCTTAAGCATATTAGATATTTTTCTCCATACTTCGTCAGCGAAATCGTTTGAGTTGTATTGTTTTTCGAGTGCTTCCAATGTTAATAGATGATATATCTGCATGATTGAAATGGATGAAGCAACAATTTCATCATAAGCAGTCCAGTCCAGTGTTTTGACGGCCTTGTAATTGGACCAGGGACATCCCTCGAATATCTTGATTTCCTTGCCAGTCTTTAGAAGGTCTTGGATGCTAGCTACATCGGTACTTCGGCTATTTTTGACGAAACTAAACAATTGATCGATTAACTCGTGCAAGTTGTGGGCAGAATTCATCAGATGATTGGGGCTGATGGTATGTCGCAGCTCATTGATTCTCGAGGGGGTGTCCAATGGAAGGTTGGCACACGGAACAATGACATCGTCGCGAGCAAAACTCATTAAATTCTTTGCGACTACTTGAGCAGTTGTATACTATGATTATTTGTAACATCCTTACACCGCGACGTTATTGTTGTTGTGGGATGTGGCCCTTTTTTTTGTCTTGTTCTTACTTACATGCATGATAGTATAAATGCCACCATCTCCCCTTTTTTGACCCAACTCAGAATATTTGTCCCTCTTTTCTAATGGTTTCTCTATCTTCTTCCTCCTCTACTGCCAGATATGCCCAGCTGATCCTTGGGGTAATCCTTCTTGGCTTATCAGGAAAAATCATTAACGACCGGAGTTCTTTGACTTCTCTGGCAGATGAGCTAGCGGAAATCTATAACAGCACCTCATCAGAGGCTTCATTCTCATTGGCAAAAAGAGACTTTAGTGAGCCGTCCCTATACATTGATCCCTCATGGAAAAAGTCTGCAGTTGTGATTTCTTCAGCTTGTACCAGTATCAGCTCCAACTCCTTGAACTACGCTTTACCAAAATTATTTACTAAAAAAAATACAAATTCAAACACTCAAGCCCTCTTGTGGAAATCATCTGTCTTTAGAACCTTATCAACAAGTGCCTCAGAGTTTGTTTCCAAAACTGCATTAGGTGTCTCCCTGAAGCAGGCTGGTTATGCCTCATCATTGTTTGGATCTGAGGCGATTTCGCAAGCATTGTGGATTACCAGTATAATCATTCAAGTCAGTCAATATGGTTCTCAATCCTGCTCCAGTGTCGAAGGCTTGATCAGCAGCTATAATCTGACCTCTGATCTTTCAGAGGTTATACTGTCTAATTACTACAATGAGGATGAGTCTAATAACTCTACATCGTCTGACAACCAGCTTTACGACGAAATTGAGAGCCTTTTTTCTCAATCGAATTCCTCCAATCTTTCGGGATCTCTTTCCAGCTTGCTTGACTCCTACAATTCCAATAATCTTACAACTTTGGAGAAACAATCGGCTTTATTACTTCAACTTGCAAGCAATTGCCAGCTGAAGAAATCTTCTATGGCTCTTTCCATCATCACTTTTGCAACGTACCTTTTTAGTAGTACTTTTCTGGCCTCAAGCGCTGTGTCTTTTGTCAACCAATATCGAAAGCAAAAAGAACAAGCTGCCAAAGCAATCCAAACTACGCCAGAAAGGAGTGAAAACGAGGCAACAGAAGTACCAGAACCTCAAGTCCATTTTGTTTATAGATCCGACTGGCTCCTACCAGATATTCTAAGTGATGAGGAACTTATTTCGGTCTCCCCTGTATGAATGAATCTCACTTTTTCGAGGATCGATATGCGCTAGGGAATTAAAGAGTTGCTAGATTTTATTTAATATCATATTTAATTATGCAATGCAGAGGGTTTCTGAATGAAATTGAGCAAAGTAGCCATAATCTAGAGTATGCAATTCTCGATTAGCGTTATTGGTTATTAGATGAATAAAGTTATCGCAAACCAGGCAATCATAGTGATCCAAAGAGCCACCCCTGTTCTATCTTTACTTTTCCTTCCCTCATTGGCCACAGCTTGGACTGCGGGCGAGCTCTGGATCTGAATATCAGCAGGATCCACAGTCCATGAAGTCGCGCTGTTAGCCCAAACAAGACACGAACTTTCAGAAGCACTGATCACTGAGGTGACGGTAAAGTAAGAAGATTCAGTAACGGTAGGCAGGATGGTTGCAGAAGTAGTCTGAGCAGAAGTCTGAGCAGTGGATATAGTTGAAGACGCAATGGTGGAAACCACTGTGGTTGGATATAGAGTTGAAATTAGCGTTTGGTAGCCAGTGGTCAAGCTATAAGATTCGATAACTCTTGTATCCCAAGCGATATAGGTTTCTGTCACCACCTTTTCTGTGGTAGTCGTAAAGTAGCTGGTAAAGTACTGTGTTTTATAATCTGTGTAAAGAGAGTAAGAAGAACCATAGAGAATGGAAGTGACGGTCTCATACTCAATACTATTGGTGGAATGATTGAAGTACCCGAGGAAACTTGTTGTGGACACAGGATATGTGTAAATTGATGTTGCTGTTGCTTCAACAATCAAAGACGATTCGGGAATAGTTTGCGTTGAAGTGGAAACCTGCGAATTCACATACGTAAGTGCTTCTGTATGGGTCACAAGCAACACAATGGCCGAGCTGGTAGATATAACATACGTATTAGTTGACAGCTTGCCAATCACTGTTGTGACTACCTCATTTGTATTTGTTGGAGAAGTCGAAGAGGGACCTTCGGTGAGCACTGTGGTGGCAGGTGTTGTTTGCAGGGTGCTCGTGGCTGTAGTGGAAGTGTATGGCGTAGTAAGTGCAACAGTAGAGGTAATAGTTGATGACAAGGAGCTAGAAGAGGTTGTGGCTTCAGCAGTGGTTGTTGTCTCCTGAGTCGTGGGAGAAGAGGTAGTCGGGGAGGAAGAAGAAGAGGAGGTGGGTTGCTCCACCGAGGACGATGTGGAGGGAGAGGAGGTGGTAGAGGTTGGCTCAGAAGTATCAGTGTTGATAGTTCCTTGCAAAGAAGAAGGGGTAGTGATTAGGATACAACCATCACATGAGAAATCCGGGTTCCACTAAAAGGGGTTAGTTTGATACAAAAGGTTTTCTTCACTTGGTGAGGTGAGAGTCCACTTACTCTAGTAGTGTACCCAGAAACAATCTGGGCAAAGGTTAAGGCTAAGTAAGCGACTAGGAATTGAAGCTTCATTTGGATGGAATTAGGTTGAGACCGATTCTGGTATAAATACAACTTGACAAAGGGGAAAAAAGGGGATCAAGTTTCACCCTAAAATTTCACCGTCATAAAGTGTCAAATATAGTACATTTTATTGCTATCTCCTAGAGTGATTTTTTGTTTCCTCCAACGCCTTATCTAGATCTTTCAATAAAGTGCTCCACCTTGGTGCACTTTTAACCTGACTGGAGGCCAAGTTAGAGTCACTGCCTGCTGGCTTCAGGCGCTCGTCATCGTCACTTTCGTCAGAGGTTTCTTCGAAGTCACTGTCGTCAAATTCTAGTCCAGTATAGCTGCATATAGCTTCCATAGCATCCTCCCAACCAGTAACGTTGAAAACACTCGATCTTCTAGGGGACGGATTCAGGTTTGGGGGCGTACTTATTTCAACAAAAATATTCTTCGACGTAGGAAGCCGGTTCAGTTCGCTCAGCGGAGTAACCGACAACACCACGGTAGCGAGATCGTCAAGTTCAGAATAAGGACTTTTGTCCCGAAAGCTCTGTAAAACTGCGGAGAGAGTGTCGTCCGTCCCCCAGTGGAGCTTGTTCTCGTCGGCAGTTGGAGTCACATCGCTCAGCAGCTTCTGGTACTCGTCAATCTTACTGAAGAGATCCTCCTTCTCATCGTCGTCGGCCACATCAAAATTCAGCGTACTCAACACCTGAGACTCCGGACGCAACTGCAAAGAAGAAGTAAATATCATGCATATCTGAATCTTGACCATCAATAAACTGCGCACGATGTTTTTTATGGATACTAATGAATGGTGTGAGGGAGTGAGTTGGTTGATAACAATAATCATTGCGGTCGGCTTACGACTAAACACCAGCGAATTAATGGTAGCTTCGTAGAATTTTGGGTCCACGCCTGGCGGAAGTTGTTGGGGTGTTTCGGTTTCGTTGAATTTGAGCATTTCGTAGAATTCGTCCTCTTTCACTGTTGTGGTAATCAAACCGCTCGGAAACTCCGTGTTGAGGTTGGTCAACGCCACCCCCCATTTTTCCAGCACCTCCTCCTCCGAACAGCTCAAATACAGTAGTTGGGAGCCAAACTGAGCCTTCACCACTGTTGGTGAAGGAATTTGAGATTTTAGGGAGTGGTCGATTGAATACGTTTTGATCGTGCTAGCGCACAAATCCACAAGCACAAGCATGCGTTCAAACAAGTAACAGTAGCATTCATCCCACAGCACAAGGTCATCGCTTATCTCCAACTTGTCAAAGAGGCGCAAATCACCGAATGAGTCCACGGCCAACTGATTAAGTCTAACGGTATCAAATTTTTGGGACTGGAGCATGATCAGCTCCCCTATAAATTTTGACCGCAGAAGATAGATTGGAAAGTCGCTTGTCCACGAACTCTTCATCCTTGAGGAATCCAAGGGCAAAGTTGTCGTGCTGCCTGATTCCGGTACTGCTTGGACGGATACCGATGATATAATGGAAGATACAGCAGAAATTGATGACCCACGCGAAGGCTTTTTGGCGTGTCTTTGATGCACCCATTGATCTGCTCTATTGCGCTGTGCGATCAGTGGAGAGGATCCGTTGGAGCCCGGTTGAGAATTTGGCTGGCGATAATGAAAACTATGTGCTGGCTCCGGTTTTCTGACAGGCACTGTCAAGGTGTTAGTGATCATTTGGTCGGCAACTGCCTGGGATGCAGGAACTGCTCGCACGTTTTGATGACACTTGGGACAATGAGGGAAATATACAGTCGCCACTGAAGCCGCCAACGGTACTTTTGAAATATTGACGAATTCCATCTCCAACAGGAGACATTTCTCATGGCAGCTATGTTGACACCTAAGCTCTATTATACCTTCAGGGTCCATTTTCTCAGACTTGTACAGTAGCATGGACTGCAGAGGAAGATCACAGAATATACACGAGTCTGGTATCGAATTCTTGCGCTTTGATTCAGGTGAGCTTTGTTGCGACGAGGTTGTTGTACCCCTTATATTGGGAGACTTGTATGGTTCTTGGAGCCTAGGAGAGGTGATTTTAGTACTCTTCAAAGGCCTGGATTGATTATTCTGAGACGGAAGTGAATTTCCCGAGTTACTAACTGCGCTCCGCGGCGAGCCAAAGCTGAATTTCTCTGTAAACTTGCCAAACTTCTTCGAGATTTCGTGCGCAGCAGGACTGAACACCGTTGGGCTTTGTGATTGAGGATGTGTCCCTGAAGATGGTGATATTTGTGTTTCTTTGCGAGTTTTGCGTGGTCTTGATGGAGAAGTACGTGGTGAGGCCGAAAAGGACTTTTCCAGCGAGCTAGTCAAATTTTCCAGCGACTCTGCGCCCAGCAAGCCACTTGAGTTCACATGGAATTTTTTGCTCGAGTCTCCTACCTTACTCATATCGCTTGAGGTAGGGTTGGAGCCATCCGATGTATTGATATACGTGTGAAACAATTGATAAAAGGTGTGTGTTTCAAAATTTCAAGGTGTGAAAAATGTTAACACTGCCTGATAAACGGTTTTCAAGGTACGGGAAAAAAAATTAATACTGTATTTACTCGTACATAGACTAGGTGGCCTCCTGAAGACTAATGATTCGGGACAGATGTTGCGAGTCGTCGGGACCAGGCTCTGTGGCTGGAGCGTCGCCGCCTCCAGTAAATTGTGCCGTACGCTCAATGGCGTTTTGACTAGGCATAAAGATCACTTTGGCATTTGAGCTCTCGGCCATTTTTTGCATAGCATCCAAGTACCGGATTTGCATAGCAGCTTTAGATGCCAAAACATCTGCGGCTTTTCTCATCAATTTGGCGCTTTCGACCTCTGCTCTGGCCTGAATAATCTTGGATTCTCCAATTCTCTTGGCCTCTGCTGCCATGGAAAGCGAGTTGGAGACTCCTGGTGGCAGGCTGAAATCTTTGATAAGAAGACTCTCCACCTTAACACCCCAGCTGGCTGCAGGCTCCGCGATTATCTCCTCGATCGACTGAGCGATTTCTTCTCGTCTCTCGATAGCGTCCTGCAAGTTTCTGGCACCTAAAACTTGACGTAAAGTAGTTTGCGTTCGTTCTCTCAGCGAGTCCTCAATGTCATAAACAGTGAAAAATGCGGTGTGAGGCTCAACCACTTGGTAGTACAGTACACTCGACAAAGTAATAGAAACATTATCTTTAGTGTAGCAAGACAGTGTCGGGATCTGCATTGTCTTGAGCATCACATTAGACTGATGAAGCTTCTCGCTCAAAGGATTAACTTTGACGAGACCAGGGTCCACTGCTTTATACAATTGACCGAACTTAGTAATTAATCCGACATGTCCTTGATCCACATCCTTGTACGGATTAGGGAAGCAGAAGCAGCAGGGAATGGTTCCCAGGGCTCCAAAACAGGATCCAACCCCGTCGATGAACGAACCGTACCAGCCATTATCGGGCGTATCCCATTCGAAAGCATAAGACACCTGGAAATCCTCTCTCGCTCTTGGTTGCTGAGTAACGATAGGCCTTGAGGTGTCTCGACCAGGATGTTTCTTCAGGTCGAAAGTGTCAGGGTAATTGCTTTCATAGTCGTTGGTTCCTATTTGGGTCGGTTCAGAGTTAGACGTCATGTTAGTCGATAAAGGGGCAGAGTACTGTTCTTATATAGATTACTGATATAGTGCCTATTGTTCTCGGCTGTGCATACGGAGCCTGATTTTTTGTGGAGACTGGTGACCTATCATGTTGGGCTGCATGACGCAATCTGATAGCTAACAGATGACGTCATTCTATTTATTCAAAAGCTATTACCTCGGCTATTATGAGTAGCCGAGAGGTAGTTGGTGAAATCGTTCGAGTCGTTGGAGTTGAATCTTGAATTTTTGGGCCGTACGGTCAGCGGCGCGTCGCTGTCCGAATCTTTTTCATGATCTACCGGGGCTGAGTAGTTGAAATTGGAAGGGTTTTGAATAAAAAAGGGGTCGCTTAGATCAAAGCCCAGTAGTGGATCTACAGTCACAGATGAATCAAGCTGGTCAACGCCCGAGTATTGGTCATCCGTGGTTTTGGTTTGTTGCGGCAATGGAAACAGCTGCTGTTTCGGATCATAGTAATCCAAATTGTAATTTCCAAGACTGATCTGGGATAACGAGTTGCCACTATTGCTCATGTAAAAGGGAACACGTTCCGGAGAGTCTTGACCTGGAAGGTTGGTCACTCTGGTATGATCCTGCGATAGATGCTCAGGCACATTGTGAACTTGTATCTTGGAGTTTGAGGAAATCGGGATATTGTCCTCTTGGATGGGCGTCATTGCAAGCTGGAACAATCCCGAGGCTCGAGATTGTGGCCCCAGTTCAGCCTTGTGTTCAGAGTTCCTCAGATTCAAAGATGAATTTTGCTTTTGTACCTCTGCGTGCATCTTGAAGTAATTGTCGCACATTTCGTTGATGTACTGCATGATACGAACGACGTTAGGCCTCCAGTAATCAAGATCCACAATCTCAAAGAGATGCGATAGTTGTCGGCGTACTGCACCGATGGCATCAGAGTACATGTATAGCTTGCTGTACCCCAAATGCATCACAGTATACATCACGACCAGGGTTTGGTAGAAGAAAGTGTAGAAGAAGGGATATATGTCATGGAATGATGGTTTGTGGAAGAAGTTGTTGCGTAACTCAACTAGCAGCTGAGCGTGCTCCAAAACCTTCAAGACCGAGTCTAAACAGCTCTCTAGCGATTTCTGGTAGCTTGACATGAAATGCTGGTGGAATTTAGCTCTATTACCGTACAGCATGATAAGATCATTAAGTGTATCGCAATCGGTATCCAGAAGACAGAATTTTTCTTCAGGTTCAGTTTCGCAAGGTCGCAATATCGTGAAACGGATGTCCAAAGGACAGCTATTGAGGAGCTCGCTCAGATTTAGCTGACTCAATGATTTGAATGAGTTTTTCCTTCTCGCTTTCTTGTCAATGACTGGCAATGTGATATAGCTTGGTTTGGATCTGTCTCGTCCCTTATAATTTCGCACTTCTCGTGTATCAGCTAGAATTTTTTCGTAAATTAGAACCTCGCTAACAAAGGCTTCGTCTATTTCCATAATGGTGTCGAAATTAATGTTGACTTTGTACGAGTCAATGAGAATGTTGGTGGACCTTTTCACCAGCTCTGCCAATCCAATTTTATAGTTGAGTCTAATCTCATAGTTTCTCAGTAAAGGTTGGAACGTGAAAGTGACAGGATTCGGGCGACCTAAGACAGAGCAAAGTGTGGCAGACACGAAATTAATCACAAACCACAAAGAGGCCCGTTGATTTTTTTTCACAATGTCGAGAGCAGCTTCGCTATTTTCTTTTTTGAGTGTATCGGCAATGGTCTCATCGTAGACATGTAGCCCAAGAGAGTACGCCGCACTAACAATGCGGAAAAGTAGATTCCAGGACCTTTCTATCTGGTTGTTGAAATATAGATCTTCACACTCCAGAATGTAAGCACGCAGACTGGTGGTAGTTTCCACCTGAATGCCTGATTTCAAGTTCCTGTACTGCTTGTACAACAGCGGCCTCGTGCGCTCGTAGGTAATATTGTATTCCTGAAAGAGCGGATCGCTCGCGGGCACAGAACGCAACACAACAATAAGCACCATGATGATGAGCAGCAAGGTATCATCATCGTCCTTCCAGGTTTTGGCGTTCTTGTAATTATCGAGGAACGATAACAACGGGGCCTGTTCAAGATAGTTGATGTAATGGAATCGAAGGTGGAAAAACTTGCACACAAGCTTGCGAATAAGTGAGATGTTTTCTTGTGTCTTTTGTTTGGCGGTCATTGATTTGGCCTTTTCCGGGTCAACCTGGTATAGAATTGGTAGCTGTCGTTTCTGCTTCATTTGCCTCTTGACATTAATAAAATCGTCAAACTCTCCGACATCTGCGTTGGATAGAGCTCTCGAAATCATAAACCGTGTCGAATTAGGCCCATAGTACATGGGGCCGGCCGGCTTGGAATTCCCTGAATCCTCTGCAGCATTGTCCTCATCGTACTCTTTCAGTTTATCACGTTTGTACTTCAGCTTGAGCTCTTTGATTTTGAGTTTCAATGCTTCGTTGTCTTTCCGCAAGTTTTGTATTATCTCGTCCTTGTCGTTTCCTGCGTCTCCGACTATCGCAGGATCATCTTCGGGTCCTCGTTTCGCAGGAATGGCCGGAGGCTCAGACTTGACAGTGCCACTGGTAGGCGACACTAAACCTGAGCTGAGCGAGTCTGCTTTCTCATCTTCTGGAGCATCTATTATGAATTGATCAACGCGAATGGAGCGGAACTTTTCTGGATAAGAACACTGTCGATTCCGTACTAAACACTGGTTGCAAGGTACCTGCTTGTTGCACTTGACTTTGCGCCTCCGGCACTCAACACAACTAATTGGCATCAACATGGCGGAAACCGTTGGAAGTGCAGAATGGGGAAAAACAGATCTACAGGTCCGCTATAATCTTTTTTTCGGCGCGGACAGGGCTGTGCAGTGTGGGGGTAAAAACCGAGGTTCTGGAGCAGAGTTATTCTTTGTATGTACTTCGAAGCCTGAGGAGGCAGTATGACTAGCATAGAGGGCCGTATTGATGGTTGGTAGTTGTCTCCGAAAATTTTGGCTGCTTTGTTTCCCAAACCCTTTGCCGTTATCGGGTTGCGAAATTGCCAACTACTGAGCCGAGAAACACCCGTGAACGCGTAATGTGAGAACACAATAAAAAAAAATAAACTCGACCTGGATTCGAGCTACTGACTCTGGTCACGTGAGATAGCGTAGTTGCTCTTCTAATCTTAAATAAAGCCGAGAAGTGAAAAAAGTTCCAATCAATTCCAACACCATGTTTTCCAGACAATTGCTGAGATTCGCAACCAGAGCCACTCCAGCTTTCAGAAGATTCATCACTTTCGATGCCGCAAGCCAGCCAAGAATCAGAATTGGCTCTACTGTTCCAAATTTCACTGCTCCAACCACTCACGGTGACATCGACTTCCACAAATACATTGGTGACTCTTGGACCGTGTTGTTTTCCCACCCAGCTGACTTCACCCCTGTGTGCACTACCGAGTTGGGTGCATTTGCCAAATTGAAACCAGAGTTCGATGCCAGAAACGTCAAGCTCATTGGTCTCTCTGCTGAGGGTGTTGAGAAGCACAAGTCTTGGGTTAAGGACATTGAAGAAGTTGCTTTGGACAACAAGCCATTCTCCTACCCAATCATTGGTGATGAATCCAAGGAAGTTGCTTACTTGTTCGACATGGTTGACGAGGAAGGCTTCAAGAACTTGGGCAACGGCCCTGTGCAAACCATTAGATCCGTCTTCATCATCGATCCTGCTAAGAAAGTTAGACTGATCATGACTTATCCTGCTTCTTGCGGTAGAAACAGTGCTGAGGTTTTGAGAGTCATTGATGCTTTGCAAACTGGCGACAAGAATGGCGTCGTTACACCTATTGACTGGACTGTTGGTCAGGATGTGATCATCCCTCCTTCCGTGTCAAACGAGGCTGCTAAGGAGAAATTTGGTGACTTCAAGGAGGTTAAGCCATACCTTAGATTCACCAAGCTCTAAATGCGTATTCAGTATCCAATACAGAACTATACTATTCACCCGTACACCACCACGCTGACGTAACCTGATATTTTTTTGTACTTGTTCCCAATTGGTTTACTCCGTTCCGAGAATAGCTGACAATTTACCTGGCCATAACCCTAATTGTGTCCCACACCAAATATTATATATCCGGTAGAACCGGCCAATTAAAGTTACATAATTATCTAGCACTGTCTTAGAATTATAGGCTTACGTACATTTTGTGGGGGAAAAGTGTCGTTCTCGACTTAACTTGGTGTAAAGAAGCCTGGACACAAGATAGTTTTTTTTTTAAGGACTTTGCTTAAAACATTACCATCCACCGTTCATCTGCCTCAGAGTGAATATTCCGTTTCAAAGCCTGTTCACGGTTATCTAGAGCTATAATTCGCTATTCATTGGTTTGTCGAATCTAAATTCGATGCGCGAGACCTGTTGATCATATCATGTCCAATATTTCGATAAGTGGATCAGTCAACAGACCAGAGGTGCCGATGATCGCACCAAAAGTTGAAACCGACGACGAATCAGTGCTAGCCGACTCCCCATATGCTCCAAGACTTAAAAGAGCGTTTTCCTCAGCAGAAAGCGCTAGCAATCCGAAAAGGACCAAAGATGAGGAAAATTCACCCTCATCTTCCGGCCATGCCGCTGGCCACCGCCCAGTGACCTCATGTACTCACTGTCGCCAGCACAAGATCAAATGTAATGCTTCCGAACGCTTTCCTGTTCCTTGTTCTCGCTGTGAGCGCATGGACTTGAAATGCGAGATAGACCCCCAGTTCAGGCCCAAAAAAGGCTCTCAACTTCAGTCTCTTCGTAATGATGTGGACGAACTGCGAAAGAAAATTGAGTTCCTGACGAAAAATGAATCACTGATCTCCAATGTCCTCCAGTCCTCAAACCCAGATCTTTTACAAGAACTGAAGGAAAAGAAACCAGTACAGAATTTCCAACCTTCACATGCACCGTCTACCGTCGAACAAAGTCAGGGCCCTCCAAGACCCGCAGTGACGGAGCTAAACCCCCTTCCTGTTTCCCAGACAAACTCGGTGAAGAGCAACGGTTCGGTATCCGAATTCATATTGGGTGACGTGAAAATCTCGTATGAGAAAGCCACAGAATTACATCAAAGGTTCATCGTTCACTATCTGCCTTATCTACCCATTATGATATCGAATGATTGTGTTCAGCTGTATCAGCAATCACAACTTCTATTCTGGACCGTTATGCTCACTGCATGTCTTTCTGACCCTGAGCCATCTTTATACATTTCTTTGGCGTCTCTCATCAAACAGCTTGCCATCGAGACATGCTGGATCAAGACTCCCAGAAGTACTCACATTGTGCAGGCGCTTCTGATACTGGGAACCTGGCCATTACCTAACCAGAAAGTTTTGGATGACTGCTCCTACAGATTTGTTGGACTGGCGAAAAGTTTGTCACTTCAGCTGGGGTTGCACAGAGGCAAATTCATCAGCGAGTTCTCTAGAACCCAGGTGGCTCTCCCGGATGCGGAAAAATGGCGCACAAGAACATGGTTGGCCGTGTTTTTTGCTGACCAGTTTTGGGCATCAAACCTGGGTCTCCCGTCATCGATGCAGACAGATTTTCTGCTCGAGCAGGCCCGTATTGACCAGTCGCTGCCGAAGAATTTCCGATGCTTAATTTCGTTGGCCATATTCCAGGCAAAACTCGTGAGTGTGATGGGATCGAGCGTGACAAGTCCTGACGGTCTCATGGACCCGCGGAACAGAGCAGGGGCTCTGGCAATTTTGGAAAGAGAGCTTGAACGGTTGGCGTACAAACTGCAAATTAATGATATCGTGGTAGAAAGCTACTATCTTTATGTCCAGCTGATGGTGTGCTGCTTTGCTTTTCTTCCAGAGACGCCCAGCGAAGATCAAACCAAATATGTCACGCAAGCTTACCTTTCTGCAACTAGAATTATTACAATAGTTTCAAAACTGACTGAGTCCAGGCAACTCACCGAATATCCTATCTATGTGCGACAGTCGGTTTCCATGGCTGCTTTTGTACTATTCAGGCTCCATTTGACACCATATTTATTACCGAAGTACATCGACTCCGCCAGACAGTCAATCGTCACCGTTCACCGGCTGTTCCGCAATATGCTCGCTGCTTGGAAGGATGTTGAGAATGATATCAGCCGAACTGCCACTGTGCTCGAAAAGCTCAATTTCGTCATCATCACACATCCTGAGCTTTTCACAGACACAGATGGTATTATCGCAAGAATGCGGTCCCACTTAACAGGCTCGTTGTTCTACGATCTGGTTTGGTGTATCCATGAGGCTAGAAGAAGGTTGATCGCTGAACAAAACGCGCCGGTCAAGGAAAGTAAACCGAAAAGCAGTCGCAAAGTGCTCCCATTACCTTTTTACAATCAAATCACGAAAGACGACTTCAGAGCAATTACTACCACAACACCAAATGGAACGACAGTGACTACATTGGTGCCTACTCACCAAGCAATTTCCAATGCGCGGGCGAACGCATCTGCTGCCGGATTGTCAGATCCTACCGAAATCAACGGGATTCCTCTTGCCATGCTCGAGGCCACTGGCTCTCTACCTGACAAAAGCAAAAACACTGGAAATGGCACGCATTCTGATTCAATGGACCCTCCAAAAGTTCAACTACATAACAAGATGGCCACGAAAGCACGGAAGAGAAGCAAAAGTACAAATGCTGCCGGTGTCCCAGCAAGACCTATTGCCCCAGCGCCTCCTAAAACACCATCTGGAACTCCTCTGCCGATGGAACAGTCGCTCTTTGGCCCTCCTGTAGATGCCCCAGTGATGTCTCAATTGCCACCACAGGTAGTGTCGCAAACACCCTCTGCTTCCAACTCCAGAAGCAACTCGAATGAGCAATCGCCAAACTCCGATGTGCTAACCAACAATCTGTTCATTGATTCCATATTTCAACAACAAGGCGGTGCTAATTGGATGGACAACACGGATGATTTCTTGGGCTGGTTTGACATAAATATGGCTCCTGAATTTTAATGTACGTACGTTCGTAATAGCTAATAGGTATATTCTTAACAGTTTTATTCATCTTCCGCGGCCTCAGTCTCGTCTGAAGGATCGATGACTCCGCCCTGGCCCAATGCAAACACAGTCTCGCTCTCTGCCAAACATGGACTATCGTAAATCTTGCAAATTCTGTTTGCACCCTTCGCTTTTTTGAAGTACAATCTCGTTGTCGAAGAATGTGCAACAATATTTCCCCCGATAGGCTTTTTTGGATCTGGGTTGAAGATCGCTCCTCCGTCAACTTGCGCAACAACTTGGTTTGTGATCACCACGGCAATACCAAATTCGTCCGCGAGTCTTTGAAGCGTACGCATAAACTTGGCAACGTGCATCTGTCTGGCACTTAATTCCCCTCTTCCACTATAGTCGGTTCTGTAAAGTGCCATTATAGAGTCCACAATCAATAAGGAGAAGCGCGACTCCGTCATCATGCTGGCAGCCTGGTGCAACAGTTGCAATTGGTGGTCTGCGTTGTAAGCCCTTGCATAGGCGACATTATCTAAGGTCTCATTCTCGTCAAGTCCAAACCGTCTAGCTATGGCAACCAGTCGAATAGGTCTAAAAGTGCCTTCGGTGTCAATGTACAAACATTTTCCCTCTCCTCCTCCATTGTCAATAGGAAGTTGGCAAGTAACGGCAAGCGTGTGGCAAAGCTGCGACTTTCCAGTTCTGAACTCTCCGAATACCTCTGTGATTGCTCCTGTCTCAATACCACCCCCCAAAAGGGTATCCAACTGTTTCGAGCCTGTGGTCAAACAAATCAGCTCTGATCTTCTTTGATGAAATTCTGTTGCGGTAGTAAACCCAAGAGGCACTAGCTTCGACGCTTCCATGAGCAGTTTGTCTGCCTTTTGCTCAGAAATCCCTTTGACTGTAACAATGTGTCTCTTGGGAGTATACGCAATGGATTCCACAGTGTGAAAACCCGCCTCTTTCAGCTTCTTTATATCTTGGGGCGTGATCCCATTGCCAACTAGTTGCTGGATCGGGACGGGCCCAGCAGAGTAGTCTTCATCGTCTTCCGCAACCATGCTCTCATGGTACCCCGCGGATAGCTCTTGTTCGCCAACGCTGCCTTGCTGCTCGTTGGACGTGATGTGATTAACTTCAGCGACTTGGGTCATTGCGAACTTAGTTTTTACCCCCAGCGAAAAATAAACAACGCGAAAAATGCACACTCGGCAATCGACGCGTCGATGAATTTTAAAGAGTCGGTCCACCAGCGGAACTGTGCATGCTCACACAAGTAATCCAAACGGTAGATGCCGCAAATAGTATAACACTAAAAACGTAGCTTATGTCATATATAGGGGATGCAGGTCTCAACTTAGTTCTAAGAGAAACACCGTGCTGGTGTGTTCCACCATCGCATTGCTAAAACACAGAAGCCAGCTTTGAGCAAAAGCGTCTCCAGTTGAGGCAAGTATGGTCTCTGTCTTAAAGTCTAGGTTGGTACTATGCTAAGATATTGAGGCGAATCATTTTCATGGTCCTGCTGACTATCAATGCATAACATCAAGTTTGTTTTGTCTGTACAATAATAAAGTACAATCACAATTTATAGGCATTGTACAAGGGAAATTTTTCTTATTGTCGCTGTGATATTCGGATTTGTGCAGTTTTCGCGTTGCCAAATTACGCGTACATTTTTTATTTCACTCGTCAAAGAGTTCAACACCAATAGCCCTGACGGACCGTAAACATGCTCATTTAAAGGCTTTTGGTACTCGTATGGATATCTACGATCTGGAAATATCCTCTCTCATTCCATAAAAGCGATCATCCACGTTACTGGTTATTACTGTAGTTAAACCCCTGTCATCGTAATAATGCTTCTTATTTATCTCAATCTGGTAATCGCAGGACCTCCCCTGTTCAGCCCTCTCTTCGTAAGCGTTATTGGTCTGCATTTACCTTGCATTAGCAATATCTCACACAGGTAATCGATGCAGGCAGTTACGTCCAAAAAGGGAAACACCAGAGTGAAATCCAAGATTTGAACCCATCGTGTGCGCATCTCCTTTTTCTACTTCTCTTTCATTTTTCGAAATACATGAGTGAAGACTGCGAGATTGTGAGACAGAAGCTTTACAATTTGCCAACGAAAAACGCTACGGAGCTTGCACACGAGTTTCAGGGAAGTAAGCAAAGTACTAATCAGCTCGACACCAAAGGAATCGATCCTTTGTTGATGTCCAGATTACGGGATCCATCTTGTTCTCTTAATATCATTTTAACCAAAAACAAATTGCTAGGAACTGCTTCTGATCAAAGACTTGCGGAACTGTATGATGTCGCCAAAGAGCTTTTTGAGCTAACTTACCACAGAATTCCAGAGAAACACTACCTTGCGTTTCTTGGGGGAGCTTTTAGAGACCAGGACGAGTCAGATACGGATATCGACATTGTTCGATGCTTCTACATGAGTATGTTCACATGGAACACAGACTTATTAGACTCTTTACGAGTCTTGTGTCGTAAACTATTTTTCAAAGGTGAGTCGCAATTCATTGACAAGATCCTCGACTCTTTTGCTGATAGTTGGTTTTACAATGCGGGCAGCACGAAGCCCAAAAAACTATATGGGAACTCAAATGGAGTGTACTTAACTGCCTATTCCTTGATCCTGTCCAACACTGATCTTCATACCGCGGAAATTGCAAAAACAAAGAAGATCAGCCGCTCTAAGTTTGTCAAAAACACCTTCGAGGCATTACAACAGAACCAAATTCCGATTGAAGATATTGACGGGTTGCGCTATGAGCTTAAGAAGTTCTACGAAAGAATCTCAGAGCGGAAGTTAAGCTTGTTTGAACCTTCAAATTCGCACTCCAGAACCGACTCCATTGCATCCCATGATACAGAAGTCACAATATTCCAAAATAGATCGTCACAAAGTGATCAGACTTCTGTCTACATTTCCGACACAGATAACGCTACTCCAGCAAGCTCAGAGAATGCCACAAAGTCATTTGGTTTTGCAAAAGTCATTATGATGGAGAACAATTTGAAGAATAAGCCAAGTCACAACAGGAAACTTTCGCTTAGCTCCAACTCGCAGCACTTGGATGAGAACTATGAGCCTCTCAAGGATGAACAAACACTGGGGTCTGGCCCGATAGTCAATCATATTACAGAGAACGACAACCTACAATTAGAGCTCGTAGGGCCACCTTGGTCTAAGGAAGGTATCCAAAGTGTTATTTTACCAGAAAAACTTCTAAATAGCCTTACTGGAATGCTATCTTTGTCGGCATTCAAGCCCTCTTGGAAAAGCCTTTTTGTCGTCATTTTTGAAGGGGAGCTGAAGTTTTTTAGATTCGATCAGTCTGGTTCAAATGCAGGGAACTTTGGTGATGGTCAATGGTGGAAGTTTGCAACCTGTGTGAATACAATCAACCTCTGCTCTTGTTTTGCTCAAGTTGTTGACAAAAAGTCCCTTGTTTATACATCGATGATCAAACATCATGGATATGCTCGCAGAAGAACTGGGCTTGAAACTTACTGGATTTTGAAAATACCTGTACCAGACATGATTACCAGTGCTGATCACTGCCAGGGTTACCAGAGTGCTTACTTCTGCGCTGGGACCCCGGAGACTGCTCAGGAGTTTGTTGATACATGCAATTTTTGGGCAGGAAGGTCGACTTCTATACCTCCAGCAGAAACTCTGTCGTCTTTAGATTTTGGCTGGTCCAAAAAGACAATGTCAGTTTTAAAGGCAAACAATGCACGTGAAGCCGAGGAGCATCTTTCTAGATTCAAGATCGCAAGCTGGATACCCATCACTAATGGTCTTGTGCCAAGCAACCTTGAATTGTCGGAACAACTTGCAAAAGTTGAGACACACTGTAAGGAATTACGTTTGGCTTTAAAACAGCTAAAGGAAATGGAAAGAGTGATTCCGCAGCTAGACTCGTTGACTGCGAAAAACGCGGGGACGATCAGTATACTGTCTAAAATTTTCAACGGGTCAGATAAGGTAGACAAGCATTTGGTGGCGAGAAATGTAAGTGTGATGAGAGCTAATTACGTGAACAAACAGAATTACCTTGCTAACGAGCTTCTCAGATTCAAATACTATGCAGATATTCTTGAGAAGGCCGTCACATTACGCCACAAAATGTTTAATGACCAAATTGTATAATGTTATTGTAGTGATAGGAGCGACTTATTTTTTTTAATTGGATCGACGCGACTTTTTCCCAGTCTTTTGGTGGCGAAATAAACTGTAAAACATCGAGAAATAAGTTATACCAGACATGTCTGATCCTTCGTCGATAAATGGTAAGTGTGCAATGAACAAGGTAAATAACTAACCGTTTAGGTGGCACTGCGGTGGCCATGGTGGGCAAAGATTGTGTTGCAATTGCGTGTGATCTTAGACTTGGTAACCAGTCATTGGGGGTCGCCAACAACTTTGAGAAAATCTTCCAGCTGGGTCATGTCTTCTTGGGACTTACAGGGTTGGCAACAGATGTGACCACTGTGTATGAGAACTTCAGAATGAAAACCAATCTGTATAAAATGAGAGAAGAAAGAGAAATCGAACCAGAAAGCTTCGCTAACCTTGTGTCATCATCCTTATATGAGCGTCGATTTGGCCCATGGTTCGTGGGGCCTTTGGTGGCAGGAATAAATTCCAAAACTGGCAAGCCATTCATTTGTGGGTTTGACTTCATTGGATGCATAGATTACGCTAAAGATTTCGTTGTTTCGGGCACTGCAACAGACCAGCTTTACGGAATGTGCGAGTCGCTATACGAGCCAGATCTCGAACCAGAAGACTTGTTCGAAACGATCTCACAAGCTCTGTTGAACGCTGCCGATAGAGATGCTCTTTCAGGATGGGGAGCTGTGGTGTACGTGATCACGAAAGACAAGGTGATCAAAAGGTATCTTAAATCGAGACAGGATTAATAAAGATGGAGTAAATGGTATGAACTATATATACAAATTCCGCTAGTGACCAGCTTTGGTCCTCTTCTCGTATTCAATCTCAATAACTTTCTTGAGATATGCGTTCTTACCGTACTCTTCTTCTTCGAGTTTCTTCTTCTTCATCTCAAACTCTTTTGCCTTCTTGCGCTTTTCCTTTATCTTTTCTCGCTCAGCTGCTAGGCGACTTTCATGCAAACAGTTGGTCAAGTCCTGTTTAACGATATTGCATTTCCCAAAGGCCTTCTCCAAAAAATTCGTTCTATGACATTCTTCTAGAGCGTCTATCAAGTCCTCGCATTCTTCCAAGTTAGTTCCACAAATCAGACCGCACAAAGGCATTATACTAACTCATAAAATGCTCTCTATCCAGCACAGGATGCATTATGATTTTATTATTTCTTTCTTAAAAAAATGACTTTCTAATATTAATTAATCTAAATTTACCATGTCTAATCATCAGACGGAGGAGGAGGTCTTTGAATTTTTAAATTCATTGCCTGAAAACAATGGCCAACCAAACAAGGAGTCCGAGAAGACGGATGAAGATATTCTGGAGTTTCTGAATGAACTAGAGGCCAAGGAAAAAAGCAAGACGCCCAAGACGAAACAAGAACATAAGAAGACTGAAACGGTACTGGATTACGTGGAAGAGACAAAACCAGACGAGATAGCAGAAAAAAAGCCTCAGAAGAAGCCTGTACAACTCAAGGAAACTACGGAACAAGTGCCAACTGAACATGCGCCAACTGAAGAGGTGAGTGACCCAATTACTTCGTTTTCATCGTGGTGGTCCAAAGAAGGCAGTGCGAAAGTGACGTCCCAATTTTCCTCTCTTTGGGGCACGGCAGAGTCTGCTATCAATTATGCTAGGGAGCAGAAGTTGGAGGACAACTTGAAAAAAGCGTTTCAGGATATTGGCATCACAGGGGTGCTAGAGGGTGATCGTGAATTGACTGACGACGAAAAACAGAAACTTCTGAAATTGCCTGATACCAAGCAGGCATTGAATTCTTTCAACAAGGGATTCAATTTGCTGTCTTCTCAACTGAGTTCAGCGCTCGAAAAAATCCAGCTTGATATTGATGCCAATAAAGACGAGATATTGGACATCAAGTTAGTTCACGACCTTAAAAATTACAAGGGCCTCCCGAAATATGTGAAGAGTAATTTTGAAACCGTCATGAGAGCACAAGTTGACGGCGACATTCAGGTGAGAATCGCGGAAAGTGGTATTCTATCCTCTTCAGCAGAGACCTCAGATCAATCCAAAAGTCTAGGTCTGTTTGCGGGTAAGTTATCCGACGGCGAAAAGCTCATTCATGCAAATATCGAGAGTGTCATCAAAGCGAACGCTAGTAAGGAAGATACAGAGGCTACAAAAACTAGGAAGTCCGATATATATATTGGCTTGCTAGCTATATCGATTAGCAAGGAGGACTCACCTGCAGAAGAATCTGAGATAGTGACTATTGACGAATACCAACCATCATCGTTCTCATTTACGTCAATTCTTGTGGATCAGACTCACGACATCACCATAGTCAATCGATCACAACCGTTTCCTCTCAAATGGTGCAACTGGCTTGACGGAAAATACGTAGAGGGGGAAGCAAGTGAAGAAGTCGATCCTAGCGAGTGGGTGGCCGATTGGATCAACAGAGGGCTAGATATGATGTTTGGAGTACTCGCGCAAACGTACATAATCAAACGGATGGGGTATTAGAGGCCCTCTTCGTTCTTGTCGTAATTTTTCAATATCTTGAGCAGTTCAGATTCTTCAGAGGCTATTAATTGATGATCCCAGTCCACAACAAGCGGTGGCTGGAACAAATGTTTTTCCACCAGCTCGTCCATGCTTTTTGATTCTAATTCTTTCAATGCTGAAGAATCAGTGGACTGTAAGTCAATCACGTGGTCATTGGCTGATCCGATCGATGGAAAAGCCGCTTTAAATGCCTTTTTGCACTGCGGGTTCATAGAGAGCGTATCTTTGATGAATTTGAGCTGGTCAAGAGTAGGAAAACGTTCGGAAACGTCTATCTGGTAGTTGTAACGCAAGCCTTTCGATCCGAATAGCATTTGGGTAAGTTTAGATTGCGATTTGGTGGACTCGCTGATCCGAGACTTATTTGTTGAATGTTGCTGTAAAATACCCAGCAACTTGACTGAGCTAGCAATTTTCGGTGAATGGCTACAAGTTAGTCACATGATAAGTAAACTTACAATATCGTAATGGTCCCTTGGAGATTTTGAAGACTTTTCAACATTGACATAGTAGGATATAGCGTTATTGGTTGCTACCTTTTTTTTAATTTTTAAGATTACATAATTGTACTATCTTAGACTTTGTAGCCAAAGACATCCGGTCTTCTCTGGCTCCAGAGAGGCATATTTTTCCTAACGATCTCCAGTTTACCAAGATCGATATCGGCAATGCATATGTCCTCTACATCATCAATATCTGTGCACTGAGCAAGAACAGTTCCTGAAGGATCGATAATACAAGTATGGCCGTACGACTCTCTATTAGTCACGGTTCCGTCCTCAACCTTGTGTTTTCCCTTTTGCGCAGGCATCACAACATAGCATTGAGTAAAAATGGCGGTTGATTGAGCCAAGATTTGGAAATGAGGGCCTGTTTTCATTGTCCAAGCAGACGGATAAGTTAAAACTTGGGCTCCTTCACTTCTCAATCTCAAGGCCAGCTCGGGAAAACGTAGATCATAGCAGATCCCTAATCCAACGTTGCCGATTGCGGTTGGAAACGGTTTAAGAACTTTCGATCCTGGTTCAACCGATTGCGACTCTTTCAAAATTGGCCCGTTCTTGATGTCCACATCGAAAAGATGGATTTTCTGATATCTCTGAACTATTTCACCTGCTTCGTTGAACCATATCAGGGTATTCTTAACACGGTCAGAGGTCTCAGAAGGCTCATGTATACCCACTGACACAGAAAGCGAACTCCCGGTAGCGTGAAGTTCTTGCAACTTTTTTTGAATGGCCAACACAAAAGGCGACTCTGAGACGGACTTCACAATCTCCTTACTTTGTTGCGCATTCCGTGCAATGTAATCTGAAGCTTCTGGTAAAAATAAAACCTTACATTTCAAGCTTGCAGCCTTTGTGATCAAATTGATTGCAGCAGTAGCGTTGTCTTTCAAAACATTGGAAGCACAAAGTTGTCCAGCGGCGACAAGGACCATTTCTTATCTATTTGAGTTTTTGAAGATCGTGCACAGCCGGGGAAAAAATAAATTTCAGCTAGAGAAAAAAACTTCGTAAGGATGACTTCTTCTATTACACTTTGTATACCATCGTCATGCATTTCGCGCCGAAGCTGCAAAAACTTGGAACAAGCCACATTTACGGCCTATCAAATAGCCAGAGCAGCTTGCACTTACAACGTTGGAGAGATAGTTATTCTTGATGTGCCGGAAACCATAGAAGCTGAAGAATCGAATAAGATAAAGTTTGAGGAGAAGGGTATTTCCGCAAGCGACTCATCTAGGATTCTTGCTGCTCTTCTCCAATTCTTTACAACACCTTCATATCTGGTGAAAACTGTGTTTCAGGCCTCAGTGATAGAATACTTCAAGATAGCCAAAAAGCTGCCCAAAATTTCCACCCTTCCCTACATGCAAAACGCCGCTGCTTCTTCATTCAGAGAAGGTATATCGATTCCGAAAAAATCAGTGGTAAAGAAAACTGCTGAAGGTAAGGTGTTGAAAAAGAAAAAGCCTACCACCACCAAGTTCGTCAACATAGGAGATCGCAAAATGCTGGAATTGGAGGAGGAAATACCCATCAATACAAGAGTCACTGTGAACATGAAGACCAAACGAGTGGTATCCCCTGATGATGCTTATGGAAAAGCAGGAGCTTTAAGGACTTTCGGGTATCACGTTCGGGTGGCCACAAAGCTTAGTAGCGTATTTACCGAGCCAGGATACACCGAGGGATATGATAGATGCATATATGTGAGCAGTGGCGATTACTTTTCTAATGAGCAGCCTGCAACTGAACTCCCGAGCTACCAGAAAGAAACAGATAAAAGACTGTTGTTGGTTGTGGCCAAATGGAACGACATTAATAAAGCATTCAAATCTGAAACCATTGAAGGGGTGTCGGAGCCTAAACAAATGATGGATTGTAGATTAGAAATTCCACTGGGCACAAGAATTGAGGATGGAGTTCTTATTTCGCTGGCCATGTTATAGTGTTTTCAATTCTCAATATTGCATTATCTATATATTAGCTATTCATTACTGGCAACCCATCTTCTGGCGTTCCTGAAGATTCTGATCCATGGTCCATAACCACCCCAGTTGGCAGCTTCAGATGCTGGATAGTATGAGTTTGCTTCAAGTCTGCAAACTCTTTCGGGATGAGGCATCATGGCCAAAACTCTGCCGTTTGGGGTGCGGACACCAGTAATTCCGTTCGGCGAACCGTTTGGATTGAACGGATACTTCTCTGTAGGAAGTCCATAGTTATCGACATATCTTGCAGCAACCAGTCCCTGGTCGACAAATTTCCCTAGATTGGCTTCAGCATTACCAAAATGAGCTCGTCCTTCCCCGTGAGCAACGGCGATTGGAATTCTTGATCCACGCATGCCGTCGAAGAATATGAGAGGGTTCTCAGAGTTTTCTTCTATGATCTCAATGGTACAAACTCTTGCTTCGTATTGCTCAGACTTGTTTCTTTCAAAAGATGGCCAGTACTCGGTACCTGGAATTAATTCCTTTATTTTGGACAAGAATTGACAACCGTTACAGGCACCGAAAGCAAAAGTGTCTGTTCTTTCCTGGAAAAACTTGTAGAACTCGGTTCTGGCACGATCGTTGTAGAGGACAGATGTAGCCCAACCGTTACCAGCTCCCAAGACATCACCGTAAGAGAATCCTCCACAGGCAGCAATACCAACAAAGCTGTCCAGGGTAATTTTTCCGGAAATGATATCGGTCATGTGAACGTCAATGGAGTCAAAGCCGGCCTGTTGGAAACACCAGGCCATCTCTTGTTGGCCGTTGACACCCTGTTCTCTCAAAATTGCCACTTTAGGGCGGTTGGTCAAGGATGAAAGCATGAGATCGTCCGTTGGATCAAATGTTAGCTTATAAGTAAGGCCTGGGTCCTGGTTGTCGAGAATCGACTGGAACTCCTGGTCGGCAGTTTGGGGATTATCTCTCAGTCTTTGCATGTGGTACGAGGTCAAAGACCATGTTTGTTGCAGTGAGCCTCTGGATTTCTTTAGGACAGTCGATCCATTGTAAATCACGTTGATTTGCTGCTCGGCATCAAACATAGGTTTTCCAACAATAGACACGGTCGACTCTGGAACACCAGTAGAGGCAAGAATCTGCACAAAGTCCGCGTAGTCTTCGCTTTTGATCTGGAAAACAGCTCCAAGTTCCTCGTTGAAAAGAGAGGTAAACATGTCTCTCTTAGGGTCAGCAATATCGATTTCCAGGCCGCATCTGGCAGCAAAGGCCATTTCCAATAGTGTAACGATTAAACCGCCGTCGGACTTGTCGTGGTAGGCAAGAACGTCAAAGTTCTTGTGCAGGACCAAGAGTGCACGGATGAAGTTCTTCAAAAGACGAGCATCATGAACTGACGGACACGAGTCACCAACTTGGTTATAAACCTGGGCCAAAGCAGACCCACCGAGAGAGGCAGTTGTTAAGGCGGCCAAGTCGACTTGCACAAGTACAGAATTGTCGACCCTTTGCAACACAGGTGTCCACGTGTTGGACGTGTTCTCCACAGCGCCAAATGCAGTGATTATCAATGACATAGGTGCAACCACTTCTTTCTTATCCCAAGACATCTTCATTGACATGGAGTCTTTACCCACTGGAATGGACACGCCGAGTTCCGGACAGAGCTCCAATCCGATGGCTTGAACGGCTTCATACAGTGCAGCTCCTTCTCCTGGATGGCTTGCAGGCGCCATCCAGTTAGCCGAAAGCTTCACGAAATCAAGATCCTTGATGTCTGCGGCGAGAAGGTTCAGAAGAGACTCTGCGACACACATCTTGGCTGAAGCAGCAGCAGAAATTAGAGCCAAGGTAGGCTTCTCACCCATTGCTAGAGCCTCACCCGTAGACACCACCTCGTCTCCCAGGGAAGTGGCCGTAACACCAACGTCGGCCACAGGTACCTGCCATGGGCCGACGAACTGGTCTCGGTCAACCAAACCAGTGACCGTTCTGTCACCAATGGTTATCAGGAACGACTTGGACCCCACCGAAGGCAGTTGCAACACTCTGCTTAATGCCTCATCGAGAGAGGTGTCCGAGGCAATGGACACTGGCTCGAGCTTTGGTGCTTTGGAAGTATCTTCACGAGACATCTTCGGAGGCTTACCAAACAGCAGACTCATATCCAAATCGATAGGGGTAGTTCCCAGTAACCTGTCAGTCAAAACCAGTCTTTTTTCGTTGGTTGCAACACCAACAACAGAGTACGGACATCTCTCTCTCTCGCAAATCTTTTTGAACAGTTGCAAATCCTGCTGACCAACTCCCAAGACAAATCTCTCCTGCGATTCGTTACACCAGATCTCAAGAGGAGACATTCCTGGTTCCAGAGAGAGAATTTCTCTGAGCTCAAACTTGGCACCAAGGTCATTGTCGTGAACCAGCTCAGGCAGGGCATTCGACAGTCCTCCTGCTCCCACGTCGTGGATACACTGAATAGGAGAGTTGGAGCCGTATGCATTACATGCATCGATAACCTGCTGTGCTCTTCTTTGCATCTCTGGATTGCCTCTCTGGACGGACGCAAAGTCCAAATCTTCACTGCCCTCGCCGGATGCGACCGATGAAGCGGCACCTCCACCCAAACCAATAAGCATGGACTGACCTCCAAGAACTATAATGGCAGAGCCCGGAGTGATCTTGTGCTCTGACTTCAATGCCAAGTCTGGTCTCACAGCACCCATACCTCCGGCGATCATGATGGGCTTATGGAATCCGCGAATCTCTTCCTTGTTGTCACCATTGACAATTTTCGTGGTGAGAGTTCTGAAGTACCCGTTGATGCATGGCCTTCCAAACTCGTTGTTGAAGGCAGCAGATCCCAACGGTGCCTCGATCATAATGTCAAAAGACGACGCAATGTGTCCAGGCTTTCCCACGTCGAGCTCCCAGGGTTGGCGAAGAGTCGGAATAATTAGATCGGAGACCGAAAATCCAGACAGTCCGCACTTCGTCTTAGATCCTCTGCCAACGGCAGCTTCGTCTCTGATCTCACCACCAGAGCCAGTGGCAGCACCCGGGAAAGGTGACACTGCTGTAGGGTGGTTATGAGTCTCCACCTTGATGAGAGTGTGAACAGTCTCCTTCTTTGCGCTCCACTTGTATCCTGCGGACGCATCTGGGGCGTAAAAGTAGGCCTCCGGTCCTTGGAAAATCGCCGCGTTATCGCTGTAAGCACTTATAGTATATTTGGGATTCAGCTTGTGGGTGTTTCTGATCATCTGGAACAAAGACATGTCTTTCTTCTGTCCATCGATCTGCCAGTCAGCATTAAATATCTTATGTCTGCAATGCTCCGAGTTGACCTGAGCGAACATAAACAACTCAACATCAGTTGGGTTTCTTCCCAGAATGTCCTTGAAAGCATTCATCAAATATGCAATCTCGCTGTCATCAAGAGCCAGTCCAAGCTCCTTATTAGCGGAAAGCAGATTGTCCTTGGAAGAAATCAAATCCACGCACTTTAATGGTTTCGGTTCATGTTCCATGAAAAGATCGTCATAGATCGGCACATTTTCATTGATATAAAGGGACTGCGTCATTCTGTCATAGATGGAACTCAAACAGGCATACTTGTCGCTCGCAAAATACTGCAATATTGGAAAGCCTGGTCTCATCTGTAAGAGAATAGCCATACCTCTTTCAACTCTGTCGATTTTATCACCCAGACCACAAACTTCAACAATATTTGTGGCTTTGGAGGACCACGAAGAAATAGTTCCTGGTCTCGGGAGAATTCTTATAAGGTACAAATCGGAGTTCTCGTCTTGCGATAGCAGCGAACTGAAAGCTTCTCCTTTGTCAGTCACTTGAACAAGCTTACTCAGCTTAGAGTCTAGTGGGTCAGTGAGGTCAAGCTCATTGTCATATTTCAGCAATGTTGTCAGCTTTTCAAAAGAAGCTGGATCAAGATCCTCTTTGCAATGGATATAGTGAATCTGGCACGACTTAACACTCATCACAACGGACGAGTTCACCAATGTGTTAATATTATTCACCAAAGTGGCCACTCTGAAGCTTGACAGGGCCTGAGGTCCTGGCAAGATGACCATTTTTGGATGAGCCATTGTACGTGTCTGAAATGTAAATTAAATTAACGGTACTTTTTAATGATTTTTTTTTTTTCTGACTCGGACGAAAACGTCGATCGGCCCAAACCGTCTCTTTTTTCGTTGGAGAAATTAATCGAGGTCCACCAGCCTGTAATTATAGCCATGACAGACGATCATAAAAGGAAGTCTGAGGACGAAGACGGGCGAGAATTGAAGAAAGTCAAAACTGAGGAGCCTGAGAACAACTTGAATCACACTACGGAGGCTGGAACAGACGCGAATGCAGACCAAGATGGCGAGCAAGAGACTGCGGATGACGATGACAAAAAACGATTGGTACCATTTGAATTCGACGGTCACACATACACATACAAAGAAAAAGCAGGTGTTATTGAAGAACGAGAAGGCAAGATTGAATTGCGAGTTGTTAATAATGACAACACCAAGGAAAACATGATGATCTTGACGGGACTGAAAAATGTATTTCAAAAGCAGCTCCCCGAAATGCCCAAAGCATACATCGCTCGGCTTGTCTACGATAGATCGCATGTGTCAATTGCTGTGGTGCGCAAACCGCTTCATGTTGTTGGAGGAGTCACATATCGTCCTTTTGAAAGCCACGAGTTTGCCGAAATTGTCTTTTGTGCCATCTCGTCCACTGAGCAAGTGAGAGGTTACGGTGCCCATATGATGAATCACTTGAAAGATTATGTGACATCGACCACAAAAATCAAGTACTTTCTAACGTACGCTGATAATTACGCCATTGGTTATTTTAAAAAGCAGGGCTTTACCAAAGAGATAACGTTACCGAAAAAAGTGTGGATGGGCTACATAAAGGACTATGAAGGGGGAACGTTGATGCAATGCTCGCTCCTCCCCAGAATACGATATTTGGATAGTGCAAAAATCCTGATGTTGCAGAAAGCTGCAATTCTCTCCAAGATCAGATCCATCAGCCAGTCGCATGTGGTTAGACCGGGTTTGAAACACTTTTCCAAGCCAAATGCTAAACCATTAGATCCAATCACAATTCCTGGAGTTAAGGAGGCCGGATGGACGGCCGAAATGGACGAAATGGCACAAAAGCCTAAACGCGGCCCACATCACGTCGTGATGCTAACACTGTTCACGGAGATGCAAAACCATCCTTCAAACTGGCCGTTCCTACAACCTGTTAACAAAGACGAGGTTCCTGACTATTACGAAGTAATCAAGGAGCCTATGGATCTGAGCACTATGGAAGTGAAATTAGAGAATGACGCATATGAAACATTTGACGATTTCATATACGATTGCAAACTGATTTTCAACAATTGCAGACAATACAATGGTGAAAACACCACTTTCTACAAGAACGCGAATAAGCTGGAGAAAGCTATAGTGACAAAGCTTAAAGACTTTCCCGAATACTCTCAATATATCGACATGTTGCAGAGTTGAATATGTATAATAGAAGTAACTATGTTATTATATCCTACGTCAAATTTGCTCCTCCGCTTGCTCTTGCTCTTTAAGAATATCAATAATTTTGGCGACCTCCTTATCTTCATAAATTCGAAATCCGTGTTCTTTAGTCACACTCGCCAGCTGCGCGTTTGTAGAGTCCAGTTTTTCCTCCATGACCTGCTTGAGAATTTTCAATGCCAGGACTTCGGCATCTGCCAGTGTCAGCGATTTATGATACTCATTTTGCAACTCTGCTTGAGCTCCCTCTGAACCGGACCCAATGGCCTTCGCGTCGTATCTATAGAACGTTCCTGACGGTTCCGCATGGTATAACTGAGGGCCCTTGTCGTCATCGTAACCTGCAATGAGCAAAGCCACTCCGAACGGTCTAGACATTAATCTCTTTTCACCAGACGCTCCTTCGCCGAAACGCAGAGCCAAATCACACACAGACTGCGTCAGCGATTCAACACCTATTTTCTCGTGGTAGTATAGATCGTGCTGCACAGACGCAACTCGAGCATGGTCGATCATCGACCGAGCATCTGCAGTCAGGCCAGACATTGCACATCCAATGTGCCGGTCGATCTCCATGATCTTCTCGATACTATCGCTCTCGAGCAAAGATGAGGTAACTCTTTTTTCGACTCCCAAGATCACTCCCTCGCTGGTACAAATTCCAATGGCAGTCGAACCGAGTTTGATGGCCTCCAAGGAGTATTCCACTTGGAATAAACGGCCTTCCGGGGAGAAAGTGGACACTCCACGGTCGTACTCACTTCTCGTCAAAAACATTATGTACTTGTTTGGATGGCAAATTTATTTGATATATTCAGAATGCGCACACCTGAGACCTTCAAACTGGCATTTAGTTTCTGGAGCTACAATCCGTTAAACAATCAGCTATGGGTCTGGAAGCTACACGAGAAGACGCTTGTGCCTTGCAGGTACACTTGACAGAAGTTTTGAGTGCCAGCTTTAGAAAAGTTACAAAAATGGCAACCGATACTTTAACTTTGTCAGATTGTAAAAAGTCAAGAGGAAAATACAGAATTGCTTGTCCGACCACTTAATGAGGTTAGATTTAGCTACTGTTGGGCTTATGAACCACGTAGATCCTAAAATATCGAGAAAATAACCATTCGCTACCCGACCTAGAATTGTTCCGGCTATTGGAGGGGCGTAGGATTCTTCCCAGTACGTGCAACGCACCCACTACAATAAGCAACCTTCTACCTCCCACCCTTCATCGATTTTAAATTTGTCTGTTCCTGGCCCAAATGTAGATGCCGCACAAGAGGCTCTCCTGCAATGGGCAAAACTTCCAGTTACTTCGGAGTATCGAGTTCTGGAACAGGAAACGGTGCCAACTCCAGTGGTGACGCTCCCACACCCTCTACATCCGATGGACTAAAGAAATCTTTCTCTGCAAGCAGTGGCCATACATCCAAAATAAGCGGTTCCTCGTCTAGCAGCACCTCCAGTAGGTCTGAAGCTGACAAGCTTCATGTTTACTCTTACTTCATTACTGTAGGTGTTCATGGTCTTTCCGCTATCGTGGCTCTAGACCGTTTTGGATTCCAAAAGTTTTGAGTTTTGTATGTTTACTTAGCTGGCCGCTTGGATCTGTCAGATTGTAAGCTGGTATGCTTTTTGTGTGGATATTATATAATTGAAAAAGGGATCAATAAATTGTAACCTGCACTACGTAGATCTGACCTTGGTTGAAACTCAGTTCTTAATGTCTTCTGTGATAACTTCAGCTCTATCCAGATTACCAGGCATTGACTACGTCAACGGCTTTTTCCAAGACTTCTTGTTATCCGTGCTGAAAACAGGTGAGTAGGAGGAATCTCCCACTAACTTTAAGGACCGATCCCCAACCATCTGTCTTTTGTGATGGACGGCAACAGGCGGTATGCCAAAGATGCTGGTCTTCCACTGAAAGAGGGTCACAGAGCAGGTGCGGAATCTCTGGCCAAAGTGCTCAATTGCTGCTTCAAGTTGGGGGTCAAGGATGTCACGGTTTACGCTTTTTCGATCGAGAATTTTAACAGACCTCAGAACGAGATAGATACTATATTCTCCCTTCTGAAGAGCAGGCTTGCATACATTGCTAACGAAGACACCGATTTCAGGGACTACGATGTCGCCATCAAAATAGTGGGAAATCGTACTCTCGTGCCCACTGATGTTTTGGCAGATCTGGAAAAAATTGAGGAATCGACTGTTTCGCATGGTAGCCATAATCTGTTTATTGCATTTCCCTACACGTCCAGAGATGACATCGTCCATTCGATGTCGGAAATTGTCCAAAAGGTGAAGCGCAACGAACTGGATGTGGACAGCATTGACGAACATACGGTGGAAGAGAATTTTTACTATCGTGGAGAAGCGGAGAAGGTGGATATCTTGGTGAGAACATCAGGCCACACACGTCTCAGCGACTACATGTTATGGCAATGCCATCAGGATAGCGTGATTGAGTTCTCCAACACGCTGTGGCCCAATTTTAAGTTTTATCACACCTGGTGGACTATTTTCAAATGGAGCTACTACAAAACGCTGATTCTGGAGGATGCAGAAACGATGCAACTGAAGAAGATGAGCGACGAGGAAATCAATAAGAGATACAAAGAGCCGATCAAAAGCCTTTCTCATCCTCCGTTTGCTTCTGTCACAAAAGTGGCTTAGAATGCCTGAGAGAAGTTAGCCTCATTTTTTCGCTTTGCTTGGGCCGATTTACATCTGAAACGGATCTTTTGACTTTGCTTACCTCATATTTTAGGCCTTCTATAAAACGCGACAGGTAAAAAAGCTATCTGCAATACGCGTCCCAAAATAGGAAAAAACACGGTGCGACCAAGAACGGTTGTTTGAAATACAGTAGACAAGTCCTTTCAGATCTCTGCTTATGTCATTTTCAGGTTCGTCTTGTGTTCAAGGGATTTGAAGATTGTTTATAATTTAGCGACTTACTGTATTGCTCACTATGGGTAACAGCCAGGTGCAGACCTATACTCAAAGTGTAATTCTCAAGGTTTTGTACACATTCGACAACACAACGCAGTTCTTGGTGAGATCTAAACGGCCTCTTTCATCGAAAATCATCCAACTTCCACAACAGCCTCCGCACAATGGCGCCGTTATAGGGTGTATTGACATCCGCAAATGTTTAGAGCTCATTCACAACATGTCTCCGGAGTGTTTCCGAGAAGGTCTGGACTATTCGATCTATTCCAAAGACGTCGTTGAGGTGGATGAACCATTTGTGGGGTTCGGGCTATATTCCAAGCTCATGGAGAGACGAACGCCCGTGATCATCACCGGACGCGTGTGCAAAAACTTTGTCAACATCATTAATGGTTCTGGCGTGGGTGCTGATACTTTGGAGGTGAAACTACGCTTCAACGTAATGAGCAAACATCCAACCTCGTTCCAATATTCCAAACTTGAAACACCGAACCCTAATCCCTCAGACAGCAGCAGTCCCATGTTCTTGCCCAGCGAGTCGTCAGATTCTAATAGCGAGACTCGAAAAAGACCCTTCAATTCTCTCGCCAGCATCCCGCAACTAGCAACCAGAACACAGTCTCTCCCGTTTATTAGCCAAAACAGTCTTGCGCACCGCATAATGATGTCCGATCAGAACAATACCTCCCTCGAATCACGCGAGGATGCCATCGCATCACGATTCTCTAACTTCGAGAAACTCATGAAAGCTACCGATCCTCCGACAAAAGCCAAGAAAAACAAAAGTTTCATCAATAGCGTCGTGAAGATAGGGGACGTGAGTACTGGCAACCACTCCAAGTTCTCGAAGCCCGTCACAGTTCAACGTTGCGTCAATTGCACTTCGACTTCTAATCCCCCATACAGGTTTCACAAAGACGGTATATTTGAGTTCGGCAACTCAGGCTTGCTTTGTAACATCTGTTCAACTCTGCACGCAAAAAACGACACAAAGATGCTCCGCGAGCGCGGCGACTTGGGAGTGAAAGGTCTTGTGGACGGCCCTTACGCGAAGATGTCGCCAATAGCAGATAATCTAGCAACCGCAGCACGCAAACGACAGAAGTTGAACAAAGCCAGAGCTAACGAGGAGAACATCTCCTCCCCTCTGGCCACGAGCGCAAGAAAACACGAGAAGCTGGAGGCCGACAGGTCATCGCCCGCCCAGAACCCTCTCACTGACCTCGACCCGCTGTACGATTCCAAAAAAGAGTCGCCAGAATCCAGCGACAACGAATCGCCAATTAATGCCACCAAGCTGAACACCACTCTAATTCCTCTCGATGATGATGACAAGGAAAACAACGCGCCCGCAGATGAGACACAGGGAGACCAACCGCAATCTCTCATGGTCCACGACATTTCTCCCAGTCTGCACCGCCTCATAGAATCGTTTTCCAATGTGGAGCAACCGGGGTCACCAACCAAAACGTCGCCGAACGACCAATGGATCAGTAACCTGTTCACGCACGACGAGGAAGATGAGCCAGTTGATGGTCAGTTTGAGGACGATCCAGAGGTGTATAACATTTTGAAGGCAGGATCGAAAACGAGCTCTCCTCTGAACTTCAAATTTGACAAAACTCCCAAGGATAAATTTGAGACGACCCCAAAGGATGCAGACACCGTTCAGACACAATGCATTGATGGCGGGGACCACCTGACTGGTCTGCTGACACAAATTTTGACCAACGAGTCTCATGAAGCTGACAAGTCCAAACTGACGGTTGCACAGCCCGACGAACGTAGACAAGGTATCATGATGCCTAGCTCACCATTCTTTTCAATGCATCAAGACGACGTCAAATCAGGTGATGGAGACAGTTCACGCACAGAAAAGATAAGCTCCGTTTGGAATAGCGGGTCTTCCCCTACCACGTCGGTCACGTCTAATGAAAAGTAGTCATTACTCTAACTAAGCTAAATATTTTTATAGAAAAACGGTTCATGCTCCAATACAGGACTACGGGATATAATGGTTACGCGTGCAAATATTCCCCTTTCTACGACAACAAGCTTGCAGTAGCCACTGCAGCCAACTATGGGCTTGTGGGGAATGGAAAACTCGTCATATTGTCTATTCAAGACAATGGCATGGTGGTGCAAGATACAGAGTTTGAGACCCAAGACGGTTTGTTCGACGTGGCGTGGTCTGAGATTCACGAAAACCAGGTTCTGACATGTGCTGGTGATGGCTCCATTTCTTTGTTTGACATTTCCCTGCAAAGATTCCCCATTCAAAGATACCAAGAGCATACCAGAGAGGTCTTTTCCGTTTATTGGAACATGGTAGACAAAGGAATTTTCTGCTCCTCGTCATGGGACGGTACGATCAAAGTCTGGTCACCAAACAGACAGCAGTCCATGCTTACACTAGTGTCATCGACGGATTCTTCGCCCAAAGTGGACGGACCTTTGGTCCCGCTTTCCACCAAGCAAACAGGAAAGCATCCCGCAGATTGCATGTACCAGGCTACGTTTTCTCCCCACACACCGTCACAGCTGGTTTCTGTGAGCTCATCTTCACACTGTCACGTTTGGGATATCAGGGCGCCGCAGCCCTTGCAGATTGATTTCATAGCACATAACGGCATGGAAGTGCTGTCTTGTGATTACAACAAATACAGACCAACAGTCATTGCGACAGCCTCTGTGGACAAATCGATAAAAGTTTGGGATCTCCGCATGATTCCAAATGTCCAGCATCATGTTCTGGGGACGGCGAACAAGACTGGACCATCATCTGTCAACAGATTCATAGGGCACGATTTTGCTGTTCGCAAAGTCAGCTGGTCACCACACTACTCGGACACTTTGCTCAGCTGTTCGTATGACATGACATGCCGGGTTTGGAAAGATCAGACCGATAATAACGCGCGGTTCATGAACAATAGATTATGGCACGGTCGATCTCTACTCAAGACGTTCGATAAGCATAAGGAGTTTGTCATTGGCTGTGACTGGTCTCTTTGGGGCTCTGGATTTGCTGCTAGCGTAGGATGGGACGAAATGTGCTACATTTGGAAAGCTGTATAAATCGTGATCGTTAATTTGCAGCAATATTTATTAAGAAAACTGAACTTCTTCCTCGTCACCAAGACCAAATCGCTCAACCTCATTGAGAAGCTTGGTCACCCATAGGTCTCGTTCAATCCGCGATCTAGCTAGAAATACCATGCTATGGCCGGTCACTCCTAGGCGGGACACAGTCTTCAGCATTTTGCCCCGGTCATGCAAACTGATTTTATCGGTTTTGTCCACTGTTTCCTCATCTTCGTCGGAAGAGGAGTCAAGGTGGGGATCGTTCAAAATTACATTTTTTGAGTTGTTATTTCTCATCATGACTCTTTTGGATCCAAACCATATTGTAAATCGGCGACAATGTTCGTCCTCGCTGCTTTTCCATCCATCAGAGTAGATTCGCGGAACCTGGTGACTTCCGGGGGCAACTCTACTCAATGTGGAATCGCGAATCGAAACATCAAGATCATTTGAAGAATCGCAAAAAACATAGCAGTTTCCTAGGCTAATTGTCGTATAGTGCTTGTAGTACGCAGTGGGCTTGATAGTTCCAGACTTGAAACTTCTGTTGAACATATCATAAAGCACAAGAAATCCCGGACATAGCACAACAAAGAACGCTTTGAAGCTCTTGTGTTTCTTTCTCTTTTGATATAGCACTCCACTCATCATCAAAGGCTTGTCTATCGACCAAGATGATATATTATAAAGATATGGATCCGTGTGCGCTTTGGAAAGCTCCCATTTGTTTGGATTGTCGTCAACAGTTAAGACTGATTCGTATTTGTCGTCTGGGAGATTGGCAGCAATAATATTTTTCTCCCGTAGATTGATAATGCGTTCCAACTCTTCTTGCTTCTTCTTCACCCAATACTCTCGAAGCTGAAGCAGATTGAAGACCCATTGGTCTCTAATTCTTCTATTACAAGCCTGAAGCCGAATTTTACAGCCAGACTTCAATATGAGCTCAAAAACAGAGTCCACATAGTTTTCGTCATCCAATCTGCTTTGCTGATATCCCCATGCAAGCGAGCCAGCCAACCGAATAACATTTGAAACGTCAGAAGTGGGGGTGCATCTGATTTCGGAAACGTTGCACAGGTCAATGATTCCTTTGCAATTGACAATAGTGGACGCCCGTCTTTCAGCTTCATATAAGGCATCCATATCTCGCTTTTCAAACTCTTCCTTCGAAATGCCTGGCCTCAACCAAGCTATATGAGATGGATTAGAAGGATTCAACGGAAATGGACTTTTTTCGAAATGTAAGCCTCTACCATGCACCTTTTCTGCCAATTCTTTCTCATCCAAAACTTTCCCCAAAGGGCTCATTATATCAGTCATGGAATCCTCAAAAGGAGGGACTGCAGTATGAAAGTCTTGAAACATGAGAATATTATCAAAGCTGCTGAAGTAACGCAGCTTATAGTAATTTCGGCCAAAAGAAGACTTGAGCTTTCCGCCCCTGTTAGACAAGCAAACCAAAAATCCTTCCACTGGTCTCGGCTCCACCATGGGTTCATTCATCAGCATTAATGGTTCGTGTTTTAACTCTCTCAATTCTATGTCATGAGTATTATTGAGAAGCAGCCATGTAGCTTGAAGTAATTTTTCAGATTCACCAAGCATCCACTCCAAACGATCGTATTTCTTGGTCGCAAAAGCCAGAAGATGTTTCCTATATGGCAAACTATTGATAAAGACGTTTCCTTTTGGGGGAAGGCATCCTTTATCGTTCAATATCAGTAACTGAGCAGCTATTATATCCACAAGTTTGTTAAAAGCATTTGAGCGCGGAATACTATATCCTTTTTCTAGCATCTCAATTCTGAAGTCATCTTCCTTGATACAATAATCTTCAGCGCGCAGATAGCTCGATAAGTTTTTGATTGTTAGCGACAAATCAATATCTGGAATCTTGAGTAAAAGGGTCTTCTGCTCTTCTCTTGATCGACTTTTCAAAACTGTGTTGAGAAGGCTTAGCCATCTAATAGCAGATGACTGAGTTTGGGGAAGAAGGATATACTCGAAATCTCTATGCTTTCTCGTTATCTTAGAGATCGAAATCGTTTTATCCAAGACATTTCGAAATCTGATTCTCGTATCAGAGATGGACAATAGGAGATCAAACTCCAAATGTGAAGGCAGAGACTTGGCCGACTTATTTAAATAGACATCATCGAACACGGAATCGTCATCATCGAATTGGGTAATCCCTTCAAGGTCGACAAAACGGATATTTCTTTTCTTAAAGAATTGGAGCACGATAGGATATTCATGATTACCTGTCGAACGTGCAACAACAATATACTCCTTCCATTTCTCAACTAACCTCGAGGAACCTTCGGCTTCATATTTTGTCTCCTTCATGATGACTGTTACAAGCATCTTCTCCATCTTAACAATATTGCCTGCTGAGAATTCTTGAAACATTCTTTTCAGCTTTCGCCGTTGTTCTATCTTGGAATATTCACTATTGATCCTATAGCGAGCGCCGACAGTCTTATGCCGGAGTTTGTCAAAAATGGCAATCATCTCATCATTCACTTGCTCATAAAAATCTCTAAAGTGGGAGTGGCTTTGCTGTTGATCATCTATATCTGAAACTCCAACATGCTCCTCAGGATCTAGTAGCTCTACTTCAATGGTCTTCTTCTTCTTGGAAGAGCGGGTTTTTTTAGTTGATGAAGAGAAAGTCACTGATTTCACCATAGGGAGCGCAACAGGTGGTTCTCTACCACTTTGCCTTTGAGACACCATTAGTGTATCAGATGAGCCAAGTATAGTTTCATCGGAACCATTTTGTGAGCCGGAATCTTGTGGTTGTATAACCGGAGATGTTGAATCACTAAACTCATTAGCGGTAACAAAAGAGGCATTGGAGGAAACGCCTTCTGCATTTCGAACCTCTTTACCCATGATACGCGCTTTTGCAATGTCATGATATAAATGATTGTGTGAGTATAGATCTTGTTTGTCATTCTTCGCCTCATCATTCTCCATATTAGAACGTGAAGAAAGTTTCTCATTAAATACTAAGAAGTCATCATTGGACCATCCAAGGGTTTTGGTAAGATCTTTGTAATTACTGGGTTTCCGGGTACGTGGTTTGCCAAAAAGAGAACCAGAATTTCTTTCATCATCACCACGAGCGCTATGATCATTTTTGTTCTTTGGCCGTAGTTGTCTGGTCAAGTCTGTCAGGCTCCCCTCTGGACGATCGTGGGTCGTTATCGAATCTGAACTCATTGACCTTGAGTTTTCCAATACCTGAGTCTCCTCAGACAAGACATTGGATATACCAGAGGAAGATCTGCCTGAGTCCTGTCGACTCGATCTGAATCCAAAATTACGAGCAACGTTGTCGAACATTTCAGTAGATTTTGTCAATGAGCCATCACTTCTCTTACCTATATTGTGCAAAGTTGATAACAAAGCAGATTGTTTATAAAGCAACCATGATCTGGGAACTGATCCAAGTGATATAATAGTTGTAGTTCTATTCAGCCCATTTGCAGTACCATATCGGAGTTTGAACGCTGTAAAAGAGTAACATGGAATGTCTATTGAAGAGCCTTCGTGCCTCTGAGTATATCGATCCATATGCAATTAGACTAGATTTCGGACTTCATAAAATCTGTATACGACGCCAAACTAACTTAAACACAAGTAATATCCCTATGAGAAACAAGGGCACTAAAAAATCTCAAATGCGACTACCGACGCGTCGGATAACAGAGCGCTCCATGAGGTACCTTAAATGCTGAATGCAGGGTGATCAATACGTCGGAAGAGATGGAAACAGTTTGCATCAGCTAAGTGACCTATCGAACCCCAAATGTGGCACCGGAGAGCACTGGAAACGCAAACATGAACGCGTCTGCTCGGCTATTTGCAAGAAAAAAAGATTGCAAGCAAAAGGCTGATGATAGCTTGCAAAGCTTTCGCTCTTGGAGCATCGGGGCCATCATTATATGTCTTTACATTCGTATGGATACCTAGATTGTCGGTCAGAGCTTTATTTTGTTCATTACAAATACAGGCTAATTTTCTTTTTTCGCTCGGCCCGGACAAAGTAGGTGCGGATCCCCAGGAGGTCCATTTTTTTTTTTTTTGCAAGGGCCACTTTACTTTTAGGAAATCCTTGTTCAAGAGCCTGAATTTTGGTCTTTGTTCGGAGAAGAAGCTCTGTTACTTGTCCAACCATTTTAGGGATTGGAATTGAACATCTTTTGAATAACTGTCAAACTTCAAAGTACCAGGCAATATCAGGCTTTGGTAAGGACAGATCAATTTGATCCAGGAAGTTGTCTTGATAAACAAGCCATGTCACAAGATCCTGATAATAGCGTGGGAAGTCCCTTTGAGGATAGCTATGAGTTTACAGCTGATGACGCAGACTTCCGGTTTGTCCCAGGAAGCTCTATCACAAATACACCACGTTCTACGGCCCCTCCTAGTGGGAGGTCGGGTTCCAAAATGTCGCAACGCTCGCAGTTCCAGGACACATCATTTGATACTGCGGATGAGTACGAAGATGATGTGTTCGGAATGACGAAGTCCGATTCGAAAAAGTTCTCTACGGTCAATCTGCAGGATGCGCATGTTAGATTTGAGGGTCAGGGAAGCGAGGACGATGAAGAAGAGGACGATTATGTAGGCGATTTGCCACGGTCGAATAGCACGGCCATCAAGAGACACAGATGGGGTACGCAGAGACGTAAGGACGGAAACCCCCTGTCGAGAAATAAAACGTTCAAGCGGAGTATCTCGAAGAAAATGCCGGGCCGGAGAATGTTTAGCGGCGGAGATTCTACTGAAAGAGACGACGATAACGATGATGGAAGTCAAGATCGATCATCAGAAAAAAGGAACATCTATTGGAACCTTGCTTTGCCGGACAACGAAAAGGACAGTGATGGCAATCCTCCGGAATACACAAGAAACAAGATTCGGACCACCAAGTATACACCACTGACATTCGTTCCTAAAAACTTGTACTACCAATTTGAAAATGTCGCTAACATCTACTTCTTGATCATGATTATAATGGGAGCCTTTGAGATTTTTGGAGTTCCCAGCCCTGCATTATCAGCCGTTCCACTGATTGTTATTGTGGCTATTACGGCATTCAAAGATGCGCTTGAAGATTCAAGACGTACAGGTTTGGACCTTGAGGTCAACAACCAAGTCACTCACATTTTGAAGGGCATGGATAATCCTAATTTTAATGGGGAGCATATCAGCTTGTGGAGGAAAATAAAGAAATTTTCGTCTCACCGTATGTTGGATCTGATCCATAAAGTCAAAGGCAAGAAAACCATAGACCCTCTTCGAGACGATCCAGCAGATATTAGAAAGTCGATAGATAGCTTCGATTACAGGAAAAGTTTTCAAGGCGACCATGCTGCTAGCTCAGCATCGCTTACTAGTGATGCAGCAGCAGATCCATTTTCGGACAAGAATGAGGAAGTTGGAGGAGATATGTTTTCGACCAGAATTGAGCCATTTACAGCTCCTCCCTCATCCACGAGTCACAATAATTTGAATCCAACTTTCAAAAAAGATTATTGGAAAAATGTTCACGTGGGTGATATTGTTAAGATCAAAGCTAATGAATCGATACCAGTTGATCTTTTGATTTTGTCAACTTCTGATGCTGATGGCGCTTGTTATACGGAGACCAAAAATTTGGACGGTGAAACTAATTTGAAAGTCAAGCAGGCATTAAAGTGCTCATCGGCATCAATCAAATCCGTTAATGATTTAGCCAGATGCAAATTTTGGCTGGAGAGCGAGGGACCGAAAGCCAACTTGTACAATTATCAAGGAAACCTAAAGTATTATGTTGCTGGAGATGAAACCAACAAAATGTCTAATGAGCCTGTTACAATCAATAACATGCTCCTTCGTGGTTGTACACTGAGAAATACTAAATGGGTTGTTGGATTGGTTGTCTTTACCGGTGACGATACCAAAATTATGATGAACTCTGGCGTAACACCTTCCAAAAGATCAAGAATCTCTCGTGAACTGAATGGTTGTGTCATCTTCAACTTTGTTTTGCTTTTCCTTCTATGTTTTGTCAGTGGTTTGGTTAATGGAATTTACTACCACAAACCGAACACCATAAGGAACTATTTTGAATATGGAACTATTGCGGGTTCGGCGGCTGCAAATGGTGTTCTTGGATTTTTCGTTGCGCTGATTTTATATCAATCTTTGGTCCCGATCTCTCTTTACATCTCTATTGAGATCATCAAAACAGCACAGGCATTTTTCATTTATTCAGATGTTAACATGTACTATGAGAAGCTGGACTATCCATGTACCCCAAAGTCTTGGAATATCTCTGATGATCTCGGTCAGATTGAGTACATTTTCAGTGACAAAACTGGTACTTTAACGCAAAATGTGATGGAATTCAAAAAATGTACAATAAATGGTCTCACGTATGGGCGGGCTTATACTGAAGCTTATGCGGGTATTAGAAGACGTCAAGGAATTGACGTCGAAGAAGAGGCTGCCAGGGAGAAAGAAGAGATTGCCAAGGATAAGGTCGAAATGATAAATATGTTGAGAGTCATCAATCAAGGAAAATTATCAGAAGATGTCCGAGATGAGCTGACCTTCGTTTCGAAGCCATTCGCGGAAGACTTGAAAGGAAACTCTGGAATCGCCCAAAAACAGGCTTTGGAACACTTTATGCTTGCACTAGCTCTGTGTCACAGTGTTTTAACTGAGCCATCAGAAAAATACCCAGGAAAAATGGAGCTAAAAGCACAAAGTCCTGACGAAGCAGCACTTGTGGCTACAGCAAAGAACGTTGGGTTTGAGTTTGTGAGAAGAACTAAAAAGGGTCTGGTTTTGAATGTTCAAGGTGTTGAGAAGGAGTATCAGATTTTGAACATTTTGGAGTTCAACTCGACTAGAAAAAGAATGAGCGTTATGATAAAGATTCCTCCAACGGAGAAGAACAAAGAGCCAACTGTTCTTCTGATTTGTAAAGGTGCTGACTCTATTATTTATTCTAGATTGGGTCAATCGAACGATCAGGAGCTACTAGACAAAACTGCGATCCACCTAGAAGAATTTGCAACCGAGGGATTGAGAACCTTGTGCATTGCTCAGAGAGAACTCACGTGGTCCGAATATGAAGAATGGCAAGCCAGACACAATGTTGCATCTTCCGCTTTGGATCAAAGGGAAGAAAAAATGGAGGAGGTTGCTTCTTCCATTGAACAGGATTTGACTCTTCTCGGAGGAACTGCTATTGAGGATCGTCTTCAAGATGGTGTGCCTGATTCAATTCAACTTTTGGCAAAGGCGGGAATTAAGCTTTGGGTTTTGACAGGTGACAAGGTTGAGACTGCCATCAACATTGGCTTTTCTTGTAATATGCTAGAAAATGGGATGGATTTGCTTGTCATCAAGACATCAGGAGATGACATTGAATCGTTGTTCACCGAAGATGAGGTTAAGTCTTTGGCTGGGGACAAGTCGAAACTGGTTTTGGCTCTTATTGAAAAGTACCTGAGCACACATTTTGACATGGAAGGTTCATTTGAAGAGCTTCAGCGTGCCAAGAAAGATCATTCTTTGCCGTCTGGAAACTTTGGCCTGGTCATTGATGGTGAAGCCTTAAAGTTGGCGCTCAGCGAGAAGTCGAAGTATAAATTCCTACTGTTGTGCAAACAATGTAAAGCTGTCCTTTGTTGTCGTGTTTCTCCAGCACAGAAGGCTGCAGTGGTGAAGCTTGTCAAGGAAAGTCTGGATGTCATGACTTTGGCTATTGGCGATGGATCCAATGATGTGGCTATGATTCAGGCCGCTGACGTCGGTGTTGGTATCGCTGGTGAAGAAGGAACGCAAGCTGTGATGTCGGCAGATTACGCTCTTGGTCAATTCAGATATCTGGCAAGATTGGTTTTAGTTCATGGAAGATGGTCCTATAAACGGCTTGCAGAAATGATTCCAAGTTTCTTCTACAAAAATGTGGTTTTCACGCTGGCCCTCTTTTGGTATGGAATTTACGACGATTTCGACGGAACATACCTGTTTGAATACACGTATTTGATGTTCTACAACTTGGCATATACCTCATTGCCAGTCATTTTCATGGGAATTTTCGACCAAGATGTTCCGGGACATATCTGCTTGTTGGTGCCTCAGCTTTACCAAACTGGTATTTTGAGGACCGAATGGACAATGGAAAAGTTTTGGTGGTATATGACGGATGGGTTTTACCAATCGTTGATTTCATACTTTTACCCTTACTTCCTCTATTACAAGAACAGTGTTGTCACTTTCAACGGACTGAGTTTGGATCACAGATATCTGGTTGGCGCCCTGGTCGCAACCATCGCGACCACTTCATGCGACTTGTATGTTCTGTTTCATATTCACAGATGGGATTGGCTGACGGTTCTTATTATTTCTCTATCGATCCTTGTGGTGTTTGGCTGGACCGGTGTTTGGTCGTCATCTACTTATTCGGGAGAGTTTTATAAGTCGGCTGCTCGCATGTATGGCACGCCATCTTTTTGGGCATGTTATTTCCCCGGTGTTTTAACTTGTATTTTGCCAAGATTTGCGTATGACTTCATTTGCAAATTGTGGTATCCGAAGGATATTGACATTATCAGGGAAGCCGTTGCCAAAGGAGACTTTGATCAATATCACGAGGATTATGATCCGACGGATCCAGATAGAGCAAAAATCTCGAACTACACTAAAGAACAGTTGGTGGAGGCTCCTATTCATCTACCTGATACGCCTGTTTCTCCTTTCAGAGATTCGATCAATGGAACAGGTGGAAAACGTGCGTCAGTCTTCCAGCGACTATTCAAGAAAAACCGGGACTCAACCGCATCTCCTATTCCAATTTCCGAATCTGTGGATACTCTTGCTACGGAAGAAATTGAAATGGACTTCACAGGTGGTTACAACCATGATGGTCTGCAGAGACCTTCTTTGACCGTGAAAAGGGACCCTCGTATCATGACAGATGCTGACCGCATGGCTCGTCTTAGAAGTCGGATCAGTCGGAACTCTCTGGACACGAATAGACAGCGGTCGTTAGATATGACAAGACAGCAAATGGAGGAACTGGAAGGCCGCGAATCTTCTCCCCAACGTTTGCGCTCAAGCCTAGAAATTCCTGGTGTGACGACAGCTGAGAGTTTGATAGGGCGTCTTTCACAAGAACATGAAAGAGAATGATTCATTCTATGTACAATTATAAAGCTTTTGGAAAAATACGTTCAACGAGGTTCGAATTGAACCCTTTGTCATAGATATTTTGTAAGTCGTTCCAGGAATGGACCAGTTTAGGTTCACAGACATCTACTTGAGTGCCACCCAAAGTGGTATATCCTGTCTCATTGGCGATCACGTATCTGCAACCATTCTCAGTGTCAACTCTGTACAATAAGCGGTTTTCAAATAAGTACCGAATGTATTCCCATTTAGCAGTCTCGTTAGTGGTGACCCCCAAGTAAATGTATCGCACATGTTCTGCGAGGAATATTGCTACCAATGGCAGCAATAAAATGCACAATAAAAAAAGAGCTCCAGAAATTTTATTGGCAGAGTTGGACTTCGTTACCGTATGCCAAAACATCCGTGGGGTGGTCGCTAATGCTTTCCAGCATAGAATTGCTCCGTAGGTAAACGTCCAGACCTTGGACAACAGGAACGTCAAAAAGTAGCGATAGGTGTAGTGCCCCACATCGTTGTTCAGCCAAACGCAGTGATGATCAAATAATTGGACACAGCGGTTGCACACGGAACAGTGTTTGCTTCTTGCTGGCTTTAAAGTTTTGCACGTTCGACAAGTCGAAGGAGTGTATATAATCTCGTCAAATGGATATATGCATGTTGGTTTCGACCCCGGATCGAGTAGCACAGCCATGGAAAAAGTGTAGTAATTGACCAGGACAGAAGGAATGACTATTATAAGATGTCTATTTGGTAATAGTGGCAATGTGTTTTTCGCGAAAAGCCACAATGCTGAGGAGTATACTATAACGTAGAAGGCTGGTATAATCCATCCTGCGAAACGAGCCATGAATTGTAAGTTTCCATTGCAATAGCGCGAATCAAGATATCTTATCGTTGAAAGACTGTAATTCAGAAGATGGCTTATCTTTGAGTGTAATGTGAAGACGAAAGTGTTTCGAAACACTGGAAGATCCCCAAGCAGTAAAATGCACACTACAGCTGCCAATGATAAAAGCAGAGGTACGAGCATGATTTGGTTATTTTTTACCGGGCTCCTAATTCTTATTTTATGAAAAATGTTCTCTCTGTTCCAACGAGCACAGACCGTGTCGAACTATGTTTTGACACTTGTGATGACGATGGCTGCAGTCATTTCTGTTTCGTGGCTTGTTCAGTTACACTTTAGTGAACATGGATCAATTCCCGCGCACATTTCGGTCAACAAGGCTGTCAACACGATGAAATATTCAAGGAACTTTGGAGGCCGTCCAAACTCGGGGAAAGAAAATGTCAGATTGGCTTTCAATCTCACTTCAGATTTGTCGTCTCTTTTCAATTGGAACACTAAGCAGGTGTTTGTGTATTTAGTTGGAGAGTATCCTGGAAAGAAGAACGAGGTGTCCAAAGTTGTGTTTTGGGACAAAATCATACGGACGAAAGAAGACAGCACTTTAGAATTGTCCGACGTGCGCTCAAAGTATTCTGTTTGGGACTACTACCCCGACCTCCACAACAGAACTGCCACCCTCAAGCTAGAGTATAACATCCAACCGCATGTTGGGCCACTAATTTGGGGTACAGCAGACGCATTTACACAGTTACAGTTCCCACAAATATAACGAATGCAAATGATTTATATACAGGCTATGTTTGCTGCTGATGGGTCTCGACCATCTTGTTGTACATGTGTTTTTTGTCATATTTTGTCCGAACGTCAATCACAATATTTTTGGCCTCTTCAAGAAGCCCGGCTTTGGCTTTTTGCAGCTGCTTGAGCTTCTCCTTGTAAGCTTTGCTGTGTTCCTGTAGTTCTTGCAACTCCTGCCCCTTCGCCTTGAGTGCAGAATTCGAAATCTTCCGTAGCAGCATATTGAGCAGCCTCGAATACTCGTTGATCTCATTCATTCGAGAGCGAATATACCCGTGGCGCTTTGTGCGGATTTCATTATAGGCTTCAATGCGCGTTTGTTTGTTCGCGATACTGGTTTGCAAAATCGCTTTGGCCCTAAGCTTCTTGAAGTTCTCTTGTATATGTGACCTGTGGCGTAAAACGGTATCTCTCTTGGCTAAAACCGGGGACCGCAACACTTCCAGAGCTTCTGATCGCGGCAGAGCCTTGATATGCTTCGTGAGATTCATCATTATTAATTGGAAGTGCAGGGGGCTCGAGCGGATCGGAGCAGGCGGCACCGTCATTGAACTTTTGAACTGCAACCGAAGGAAACGGTGTCTACCGCGTTTCATGAGATCTCTTAGTAAGTAACGCTCAATGAACTTGACAGTTTCATGAACCAAAGATGGATCCGTACTTAACTTCAGTGCTGCTTCGTTAATGTTGAAGCTGCTCAGCACGAAACCGTCAGCCAGCATCTGCTCAACAGCTTGGGGAATTGTTCTCAGCTGGCCTTGATGAACCAATTGCTTCAAGCGGTAAGGCCAGATATCGATAACTGCTTCCCTCAAATATCGGGCAATCGCTCCAGGTTTCAAGGATCTGTCTCGCAGCCTGATTTCGTCCAAAGTTTGCAAGGTAGAGCCTGTATGCAAACGAAAATTAAGATCGTCCATCTTATCGTAGACCTCTGTGTTTTTCAGACGAGCGTGAGCAATTTTCTGTCTTACAATGGAATAGTATCTGTTGAAGCAACTGTCAAATTCCTGCCACCGGTTTTCCTTACCAAGAATCATCAACTCTAGGGCCAAGATATGAACGTTGTCCAAAAAGTACGAACTGGATGTTTCGATGTACGTTTCGAATAAAGAACGAGCCTTCCGAGTCTGGTTCTCATTCAACAAGCACTTTATAGCCGATTTGAAAGCCGCTGGACTTAGATCCTTTTCTGCAAATCCCACAGAGTCCTTGGATTTGTTGTTCAGCAATTCCTCCATAAGGGAAGCATTGAAGTTGCTCACCAAGTTCGTTCCAGCTTGAAGAACCAACGAATAAGTCTTGGAGCTAATTTCAAGTCCCCTCGAGAGCGCAACCCCAATTAGACCGAAAGCGTTCTGTAACTTTCCCATTCGCATGTATTGAAAGAAAACCTGGTTCAGCAACTTCGTTGGGAACTTTCCGTAATGTTCTCTCAAACCATCCATGAACTTGACTAAGCTGTTGAACTTGTGGCGACGACAGTACGCAATCAAAAATGGTTCATACGACTCGACCTTTAGCTCGTCCTTGTATTTGCCAGAAAACTCGGCCCACAGTTTGTCAAAAGTGCGCAAAGTTCCCAATCGTGATGCTGATAATAGAGCCACCTCGTAACTACCGTAGCAGTCTAACTTGTCATCTTGCAATTTTCTAAATATGTCGATCACAGTGTCGTATCGTTGTGAATTGAAGTGGGCTCTCAAAATCCATGTGAAATCAGGAGCCTCTGGCGTAAGTCCGAACTTGGGGTAATACACGCTCAAAAGCGTCTCAATGCTTTTATGGTCTCCTCCATTAGCACAATTACTCAGAAATCCTGAGAAGTTGTTCCTTTTCAGTGCAGCATTTTTGATCTTGGTCAGCTCGTCCAAAAGTTGGAAACATGCCACCAGCTCGTTCGTTCCTGAAAGAGCCTGTAGCATCAAGCCGTATGCTTTGGGTGATAAAGGAATCTTAAAATGCGAATAGGCGGCAAACCATTGCAAACAGTCAGCATATGCCTGTTTCTTTATATGTGACTTAATAACGGCCTGCAATATTCTATCAGTTGGGGTCATTCCCCTTCTCAAAAACATCTCCCATATTTCCAGAACTGGGTCCGTAGCTCCACGACTAGCGAGTGCCTCAAACATCACTGTATAATCCTCCAGGGTAGGGGTGTACTGCAATCGAGACAAACTAGAGAAAAAAGCATTTAATTCATCCCATCGATTAGCCTTGCCGAGCATCTCGAGCACCTCTTTGACAACATATCGATGTGCCTCCTGAGGCAGACTTTTGAAAGCGTTATAAGCATTGCTTTGGTCAAGTTGCAGAGTGGCTAGAAAAATCCCAACTTGATCAATTATTGAAATTTCTAGCCCGAGTTGACTCTTCAACTTCACAAGATCAAACACATATTGATGGTCACCCCAGCGCGAGTACCCAAAAATAAGACAACTGATGAACTTGTTCAATTGAGCGCGGTCTAGATCAAGGTGCTGAACAAAATTTTTCGGGAGCCTTCCAGCGAATAGATATCTGTGTTTAAGAATGTATAGCTCCTTCGGGATTTGATTTGTTAGTTGTATGTCAGGAAATTCGTTCGCCCATAAATAGCAGCTTTCAAGGGGACTAGCATCTGAAAGCATGGCAAAGATGATGTCCTTCTTTCTGTGAGGATCAATCAGCTGCTTTGCCAACTCATACCTATTTTTCAAATCCCCAGAGCGAAGCACGCGATAGGCCTCTGCCAAAAATTGGACATCACAATTCTCAGGACCCAAAATATCCAGTGTTGTCTTGGCCATGGCTTTTTTCTTCTCTAGAGACTTGCAAGTCCATATCTGATGCCTAAGATATTTGGTGAGCGCTAAAGATAATCCTCTGTAGTTTTTAATATGATATAGTAAGTTGGCATCGTGAGATTCTTGGAACTTTAGTATCGCACTTATTTCTTGCGTCTTGTTCAGGTTATCAAGCCTTCGAAGCAGGTGACTTGTCTTCTTGGTACCATATTGCTCAAGAAAAGAGTTCAAATCCTCAAGCGTTCCATATCTATCAATGATTGTCGTAAGCTGATAAAACTGTGATTCCTTCAAACCTGCGAATCTGTCGACTGAATCTCTAAAAAGTTTCACAATTAGACTTTCGTAGCGGTTTTTGTACAAGTAGTCAAAAAGTTCGGCTTTCTCGTTCTCGTGCTCGTTTTCGCTATGTGTCTTTTTTAGCTCTATATATTGTTTCACTTTGTCATGAGCTTCTTCGAATAATTTGGAAGAGGATGGCTGCTCAGCCAGAATCTTCAGGTTATGTTCAAAAAACATGGTATTCGTTCTGGAAATGTTGCGTCTGAACTGCTGTAACTGGGTTGCGATGTAGCGCAGTCGATCCCGTGAAAGAGTCGGAACAAGACCACTATAGCGATATTTATCTCGGGACATTGATGTAGTGAGATCAAGACACCATTGCAACGCAAGCTCTCTCTTGGAAGCAGACTGCAACTCCGTACATCGGAGTAGTGCGAGCCTGATGTTGCTCATGTCAGATAAAAGAGCTTGTTCTTTTTTCGTAAAATTTCTTCGTAGAAAAAGTCTTGAGCCGCAGGAAGGAAAAAAAAATTAAGTTTAATTAAAACTTCGGAATAGCTACAATCATGTCTAAGAAGTATGACAGAGAGACAAAGAGTACGTAAAGCGCGAAAACTAACTAACCTTTAGCTCGTGAGATCAAAAAGGCCCTTGCACATAGAGCGAACCTCAGGAGAAGTTATTTCAAATTAGTTAATCAAGAGAAAACACAATCTGAAGAACCAAAATCATCTAAACCGCTCACATATCAGGACAGAATTAAAATAAAACGGGAACGCAAGGAGCGTAGCAGATTACAAAAGATAGAGAGGACAAGGCAAAAGTTACAACAAATGAAAGAGAAAGAGAGACAAAGACAGCAAAAAACAAAGGAACTAAAGAACGCGAAGACAAGAACAGGACAACCTCTGATGGCTCCTAGAATCAATGATCTTCTGGACAAAATCAAAAAAGAGGTTGAAAACTAGGTTGTGTTCATATTATGGTGCTATGAAGCAATGTGTCGAGTTCGAAGTCACCTATCTCCCCATATTTATCAGTAATCGAGTCCACATTGACAATCGGAGAATTTTCTGGGTATAGCGATGGAATGTCACTTAATAGCAATGGCAGTTGCTCTTTATTCTTCTGCGCTTGTTTGGCCTTGAGTCTGCATATCTTATCGAATGTATTTTCCGTGATTTCGTAGTACATCCGAATTTCTCCATTGAGTCCCATGGCCAGAAATTTGGTGTTTGTTTGGCGAACACTCCATAACGGCTGGAACTCGCACTCATGTAGTCGTGGAATAAATGGCGTTTTCCACTCAAGAGCTTCTTGTGTTGTAAGGCTCGCGTAATAGTCTGTGTTATTTGGAATCACCAATATGGTCTGCTGTTGCCTGTCTGCAGCAACGATAAACGAATCCCGTATAATGCAGTGACCCATGAGATCCCGACTGACAGGATCGCTTAAATGAGGCGAAAGAGACCCATTTGGTTCCTGAAGATAATGATAAGTATACACTGAGTCTTTGGCGGTCACTACAGCGACATGGGTACCAACGCAATTAATCTCTTTGACTTCGGATGGAAATGACTGTTGGCCAAAGGTATCGCTGAGCTTGCTTTCCAAAGGCTTGTATTTTCTAAGGCGCACAGAATTGCGATCTGAATAAATAATGACGGAGTCTGGAAGTTGTGCAACCGCAGCAACTGGCGACGATTGGGTCCATGAGTACAAGACCTTAAGTAAGACGGCGTCTTTGACTTTTTTGAGTTCAATGATTTTGACAAGCCCCGAGCCATCTCTTTGATCAATGCATCCAACGAGCAGATGCTTATGCGTGTATTCTTCCACCCTACGAGACTTCACATGCCATTCGGATATCGATAAAGGCTGCTCGTGGTCGGCCAAAACTTGTTCTTCCTGGTCTGTTGCAAGCACTTTTCTGGTCTTGTGATCAATAAACAGCAGTTTTTCTGGGCCAGCTACCAGCACGACAAAAACGTTATGGTACTCGTAGTACATCATTCTTAATGGTGTGGAGCCAAGAGTGATTTTTTTGATGCTCCAGTCTATTGTGCGAGACACAAACAGACTGCATAGGCCATCATCTCGAACAGCAAGAAGCTGATCTTCTTCGTACTTTGAAAGCAAATCGTCGTGTGCCATTGGAACCAACACTGCAGCGTGACATCCTCTATCAACAGTTTCTGCAACCCATATTCTCTCCGGATAGCATGATTTAGTCAAGTCAAGTTTCCACAAAGTTTTAGTGACGATAAAAAATTCGCTTTCGCTATGTTGGAGAAGGCTGGCCGGTATCTCGCCAATCTTTAACAAAGCAAGTGGTTTCTCGTCCTCGTATAGTAAAAGACTTCCATCCTTCGATGTCATGAGAGAGTGGCGCTCTGTGCAAATTATATCGTGAGGAGTCACAAATTCATTAATTTGACTCGAGAGGTCTAGTGTGTCAGAGAGCAGTAGCCGATGGTCCTCAAGATGATAAAAGTGGATCTTATTTGCGTAAGTTCCGATTGCCAAGTATGGCTGTTTGTGCCTAGTGACAAACTTCAAAAAAGATGGCTGGATCCCAATAATTCCTGGGCTAACGGTTATAGACTTTCCTGACATAGTGAATGCTTCAATGTTAACCTGTATCATTTCATCACCATATTCGTAAGCCAAAACCACTATATTTCCCCAGAGGGCGCTCAATATTATTCTTTCGTGAACGTTGGTGGTCAAAAAATCGCTAGATTGAAATGTGCCAACTCGCCACCCATGTTCGAAGATTTGAATGAACCTGCCGTCTGGTAGCATCCCAAAATAAATAGTGCGCTGGTTAGTCCTAAATTGAGACAATTCTGTGACATCCCCAGAGTCATCATCGTTGGTGAACGCAATTACCCATGACTCTTGAAAGCTGGATAGTACAAAATGTGGTTGGCCTCGAAGCCTGAATTCATAAATCTGGGTCACATCCTTAAACCGCGTTTCAGGAATCGACTTTTCAGCCCTGTAGCCTTTGTGCATACTAAATAAGGCACCACGGGACTCGCATCGCCCTACGCACCATAATTCCTCGCTGGATGTCGCGTTGACCAACTTGGATCGCTGTGCCGGGATGACCTTGTAATCAAAGGTCGGGAACCAGTTCAGAAGACTACCCTTATCTTCAATCACCTTCATCTTGAACGCTGAGCCATTTGAACGCGGAACGAGGCTTATGATTTTATATTCTGCAGATCCTCGCTCATTGAAATAAGTTAGAGAATACTGTCTCTCGGCAATCTCCTCCAGAGAGAAATGACTGAACACAGATGGTTGCACAAACATCTCGCTGAAACGAATCCTACGATCTCGTCTGCGTGAAGACCCAAATATTTCCAGTAGCCAAAGCGAGACGTCAGTTGACAAAAGGATCTGGTCATATGATTCCTCCTCGTAGTCCTCGCATGGAAAGCACGTTATTGGATACTGCGGAATATAGTACGAGTTCGGTATAATGTATTTTCCACCAATCATCGGAAGGGCCTGTTCAGTTACATCTGCATCGTCCCGTGAAAGCATATAGTGTATTCCATGAACAACGCATTTGGTTTCCTGTATTTGGAGAAGACATTGGGTTTTTCTTGAAGGTATCAAAAAGTATGGGACCTCCTCTAGGTTCCACAGCAGTATTGGATGGGTCTTGATACTATCTAAAGGATTGTCGTATTGGTAAAATTCGTTGTACTCCAATTTCATGATATTTTCGTCTGTTGTTATTAAGTTGACTAATATGGTGTACTCTTTGTCCGCAGGCTCCAATGGCTCCATAAACACTGTGTCCACAAGAGCTCCTCCAATTATCATGTTTTGCGACGCGCCAAATGACGGAATACCGTGCGAGTCGTATTCTATGCGCATTATCCGTATCACCTTGGAAAAGGCAGCAATGGCCACCAATTTTCCTGTTCTGCAAACGGCCACTTTGTACCCAATCATACTCGTCTTCTCACATGGCCCCAAACTGTTTGTTTGAAGTCTCTGAATAACAATTGGTTCGAAACGTCCTGCGGAAACAAATACGCGCAACAGTAGCATCGTCCCGTTTTCCAGGCACACAAGTAGTGAATCCTCAAGTTCAGACTCCTGACAGCCAGGTAACACCGCGCAACTCCACACACTCGACTCAAAGAAAGCCTTGTCCTTGTTGTTGATGGACACAGAGGTGTTTCTGACTGCAATATTCACGTACATGGTGCTCTCTTCCCCGGGATCGGCAAGGCTGCTTGCTTCCGGTGCCTTTTTTTTGCTTTTCCAAACTTCATTTATGTAATCTGGCTCGCTGCTGAACATATCCATGGAATCTGAAGGCTCTAAAAGGTCCTGCCAAGTAGCACTCGTCAAGATGCGTTTGGATCTGCTGTTCAAGGGATTCAGATCTCTGTACCGCGAATCGTGTGCAATCACACGGACTCTGAAATCTGAAAAGTACGCTTTCACTACCTCGGATCCGGCTATCGTGCGCTCGAGGAAGAATGGCCCGCACTTCTTCCCCATACCTTCCTCCATGTTACTGAAATCAACTTTTTTCGTCTATTTATCATTTGGCTTACGTTATACATTTATACACCTGGTCCAAAGCAGTTTCTGCGTCCTCATCCAAAGTCTCCGCCAACTCTGACACAAATGCCCGATACTCTTCATTGTCCTTGCCGCGGTGGTAATTGTTCGAAACGAAACTGACAATAAAGTCAACCAATGATTCCTCTCTAACACCCAGGAACTCTTCAAGAACCTCTTCTGCTTTGCGCCGGACTTTGCTCACCTGTTCTTCCGATAGAGCAGATGCCTCTTCCTTCTTACGAAGTGAGATCTTGACTGGCTTGCTTGTAAACGAGGCCATGAACTCATCCTGCTCGGCGGTTGCATCACGTTCCTTGGCTTCCTCGTCTCTGTCTATAGCGTCCATTCTCTCCTCGTCTTGCTTCTTTTTGCTCCGGAAAGCAAGATAATTGCTATGGTTCACGTAATAACTGAAATTCTGATCAATCTTATTCGAGGCATCTTTAATGCCGTTAACAAAACTGTCCAGGAAGCGCTTGCGTGCGTTGACAACATATTCAGTTTCGTACGCATGGTGTTCGATATTTTTATGAAAGGCTTCTATGGATTTCACGCGAGCCTCATCACGCTTTCGCGTCTGCTGTATTCGCATCAAAAATGTTTTTTCTGCCCTTGCCTGTGCCTGTGTCTCCTGTTGCTTCTTGAATTCCTCGTCGTCGATCCCATCATCCTGTAACTCTTCATCAGACTCGTCCTCGTTTCTATCATTGCGAGCGGGCAGCATTCTACGCAACTTCATCTTGTTCAACTGTTTGTCCCTGATCATTTGCTGCTCTTTTTTCTGACTCTCCAGGTACAAAACTCTCATTCTAAAGTCGATCACATTCTGCTTGACCAAATCAAGCATATCTGGAGGAACGTCTTCGAGATCTTTGTTATCCACCACATAAACCTGACCCTGTCCATTGACTGTTTGCGTTCCCCTTTTTCGCAAAGCCTCATGTTTTTCGATCTGACTCAATCGCTCATTGAACTTGGAAGAGTCGATCTCTGTAATCTCAATGTTATCTGCCAGCTTCTCACATGCCATGCGGGCGGTCTGTTTCAGTCGAACCTTTATATTCTCGCTGCTCACTACCTTATCAAACAAGTACAGAGTCAAGAGGTCATGAAATTCAATGAATATTATTTTCGAGTTGATGATGTCGTGGTTAAGCGCAGTCCAGCTGAATTTGGTGTTGAGATGCACATTTTCGTCATTCACTTTGACTGGAACTGATGTGAGTAACTCATTTATGGTGTAAGTCAGTAGATCGTCCACAAGATAATTCGATTGAATAAGACATTCTGGGAAACCTTCAACTCCTACCGTGAGAAGAGATTTGATCGGGTCGGTATCATCGTGGAATAAATTAAGGGTAATATAATGTTTGAACTCATAGCTCTCACCGTTAAATTGAGAGTATTCTTCAAGGCCAGTCATCGTGCTGCCGCCATGGTTTGATTCACTGCCATGTAACGTTACTGTGTCGAATCCAGTAATAGAGACTATATCTCGCAGGCTAATAAAATTTGGGAACTTAAGAGGTCTCAGACCAGCTAGCTCAAGATCATAATCCTTCTTCTGAGGTCTTTTAATCCTATCCAGAGCCTTAGACCCTTCAAAATTGGGGGCTTTATCAAATCCAAAATGATAGAATCGGGGCATTTCCTACAATACTTTGTTTTCTACAATTTTTTTTCAAAAGTTGCACGGCCTTTCCTTCGGGAATTCCCAATGATGGATGTCCCAATGATGGTTTGGCTTACATATGTCATAACTTCTGAATGAACCTTTTAGCATTTTCTTCAACCATAAGAACTAAAACAAATAACAGCAAATACACAACATAAAACGATGAAAAACGAACCTTCATTGCAACAAAGTGCAAGGAAAATTGGAGCTGGTCATAGCAACCACTGGACATGACACAAATTATAGCAATCATTAAACCTCAGGTTCTCATACTAAACGGCTAAAACTTCTGCTCGTATGATTCTGAAAGATATCCCTGGCTTTGTTCTGTCGGCGTGCCAGGTGCCGGATTTGGATTATAATACATGTAGCATGGATAAAGAGAAGGACTGACATTGGGATCATATGGCGCATAGGTGTAGTAATACCCTGTCGTTGGAGGTCCCCCTACTGCCTGCACTCCAGCACCGCTTCCAGGAACTCCCATCATTGCCGGATTGTGGACCCCTGATGACACTGTATTGCCCATGTAGCCACCAATATCCTTCGTTGGTACAAGGTAGTAATAGGGAGCTGGCGATTGATAATAGTTAGGTCCCCCAGCACTTCCCATCTTGGAAATCATTTTGGAATCAGCCATTGGATGCACAGGAGGGAATTTGGGGGAATACTCGTCCACATCGACGGATGTGTACGAATAAGTTGTTTTGGAAGCTCCGTTGGTAGTTGATGAATATGCTGTATGGGTATTGCGGCCCACAGTAGCATCGTCATTCTCCTCAATTCTTGTCATCCCGTTGTTTGATAGCCTTTCCTCATCGCTAAGGATGGCATCTGGATCTTCTGCTTGAGTGCCAGATGCTTTGGTGTTCTTAGTGGCATCGTTGGCATTCTTGCTACCTGCGCCAGTACCAACAAAGTCGAGATTAGTCTTGTAAACCTTTCCTGATGAACCTGCCGGCGAAATGTGATCTCCAAATGAGAATCTCCTTAGTGGCGGAGGGTTAGAGATACTATTCCTCTTGAACGAGGAAAATGGTTGCATTTCTTGTTCGGGAAAACCACTGAGACTACCAAATCGCGGACGGTAAAAATTGGGAGCCTTTTTAGACTTACTTCCAGAGAAGTTATGACTACCACTGTTGTTGTTGTTGCTGCTGCTGTTCGAATTGTAAGCATGTCTTCTCCTGAAACTCACAGGTGGAGGAGCCAAATTCAATTTTGGTCCGCTTTCATTTGAATATTTGTTTTTGTAATTGTTGTACATCTCGCGGTATTGTACATGAATCGTCTTAAACTTGAACATCGAATGGTTTTCTCTCTCAACTGCGGATGCAGCAGCTTTCCTAGTTTCAAATTTAACAAAGGCAAAGTTATTCAATGGCCTATTCACCAAAATCGCCTCTTTGATTTTGCCATGTTGTTCAAACCTTTCGATCAACTCATCTCTGTTAATTCGTGGATCGAGCTGTCCAACAAAAATCGAATATTTGTCAATTGTCACTTCAGGAGTGTCACTTGAATCGTCTTCAAGATTTTGTGCCCATTCAACATTCCAAAATGGTTTAACTTTCAGGTTTGCGTAGGCACTAATCGCATCCTGACGGTATACAAATTTGCAAAACCAGTAAGAGTGCGATCCAGTATGTAGATCAACGAGATTTGATTTCTCGTCCACAGAGACCAGTTTTTCAATCTCTCCGTACTTTTCTAAAAAGGACCTGATTGAAGATTCTGGCAGCGCCTTATTTGTGGTCTCGATGTAAAGAGTACGGTTGACACGAGCCTTTTCACATCTTATAGTCCTCCCATTTAATAGAGAATGCTGGCCTTCTACAATTGCCCGTTTCGCGTCCTCTTCCTTGGTATATTGCACAAAAGCATATGGTCTGTTAGCAGGATCTCTCAACACTTTCACTAACGATATGGTACCCCATTGCTTAAAATGGTTGCTAACTGACTGGCAAAGGATGTCATCTGACAAGTTGGATGATAAACTGGCCACAAACACACAAGCTGAAGGACGCCCTCTTTCTGCTGATGAGGTTTCAGTTTCTTTGCTAAAGCTGTCATCTTCATAGGAGACGCTGGTGTTCTCTGCTTTTTCTGCTGTCTTCTCATCAGTACTAATCAGTGGCTGTTTTGCATCGTGATTTTCCTCTTCAAGCTCATCATCCTCACCACAAGAGGATGCTCCTTCTGAGTAGTCGGATGACTGCTCGCTACCACTGTCACTATGAAACTTCAGGTTTTCTGATCTCAAGAGGCCATTATCGGCCATTGGCTGCAATTCTGTATGTTTCTCAATTTCCGAGTTTTTGAAAAGCTGAATGCTGCTATCGTCAATGCCCTCCATCATAGTAATTTGCAATAATAGTTATAGCACTGTGCAGAATTTGAAGAGCTTGAAAGTAAACTTATTGTTTTCGATGTTGTGCAATAAGAAGAGATGGTTGATTCGTTGAAGATGCAAATCAACTATTGACTTAAGCTTCTCTGGTATCCTTCTTTTAAAGCTAAATGACTAAAGATTAAAAATCCAGAAGATAGTTAGTTCTCCCACAAGAGTCCTAATGGAACAAAAGAACAAGAAAGTGATATCCCAATGACAGAATGCACATAATTATATCTATGGCTTTCTTCTTTCTTATAGTGTGCAATATGTGTAAATTGTGTATCTGATAATGTGGATCGTGTACCACGAAGTTTTGGATCAAGCAGTAAATGTTTCGTTTACAAAAAGACGTTCGATCTAAAGGCAGATCTGACACACTAGTTATGATGCACTGAAGTCTTTCAATCGATTGTGTTTATGCAAATTTGTACAACTCATACTCATTCGATACCAAAATATAGGTTGTGACCTAGTCACGGTGTCAGGTATAAGATTTCATAATTGATCTTAGCACGATTGTACAGAACACACAGCTCACAAATAACAAGAAGTTCCTGTACTCCAGATGTGTATACAGCACACGAACAAACACACTAAATGCATTGGTGAAAGAAGGTTAATTCAAGCGCCACAGCATCAAAAACAAAAGTAATTTGGGACGAGTATTACCTGCATATTTTCTTGTCTGTTGTTTGGGCAACCAAATTTAGCTATCAGGCCAACTCTCATTTTGATTTAATGATGTTTGAGTTGTGTACATGATAATTTTTTTTACAAATGAGAATTAGACATTGCATATACTAGATTCCACATGCATCTATTGTTCAGATCCGATTGTGTGATAATGTTTGCGAGATCTCCAGTATGATAGATTGGTGCATCCCCACTACAGTAGTCAAATACGCCATCCTGTTCTGTACAAGTCGCAACTCTTGCAGGACACAAGAATGCCACTGGATATCATATGTGGCAATAAGGACAGAAAAGCAAAAAACCCCTATTTCAGTTTAGCCCTCACTAGATTGCAGCTTTGTAATACTATGATCTTTTCAATATCTATATTTTCTGTAGTTGACCCAACCAACCTGCTTTGCCGGGGAATATCTTTATTTCCCCGAGCCTTCGAAAAACCAACTCTTATCTGCACTGCCATGATCCAGCTTTAACCTGAAAGCCGTAGTAGTGTTCCACATAATTTGCCTTTGGTATTTTTTCTCAGTCTACTTTATATCTGCTATGAGTAACGAATTGGCACTCGTAGAGAAGGTGGAGCTGCGGCTGGCATTGGCAGACACAGACGTCAAATTTGAATCTGCTTTGAATTTATACTTGGCTCCTATTCTCCTCAAGTTTTCGTCCTCTGATGTTGCAGTTAGGAACCAGATCAACAAAATTGTGAAATACTTACTCACCAGAATAAACACTTCAAATGTCCAGCTTCCTATAAAAAATCTTATAAACCAAGTCAAATCCCCAAACGTGGGAGCAGGCGTAGATCCTACAGTGGTTCAGTCTTATACATTACTTTTCATCTCCAAAGGATTGCCTCGCCTTCCAGAGAAAGAAAGACTCGATTTGATACCTGTCCTAATAGATGGCATTTCGGCGATGAAGGATGTGATTGCCTCCAGGATGTTCAATGTTCTGTGCAAGCTGCTGCTAGATTGGCACCCAGACGACTCACAAAAGAGTTCATACCTCTCCTCTTGGAATGTCAACGAATCAGATCAGACTTTCCTCATCAAGAAATTCTCGGAATTCATGTTGATGGGTCCAGTGCTTCCCGATGAGTCTCACAATATTCCTCAAAATCTCACTTTTCCTGGTCTTTCAAGCTCGTCGGTCTCTTTTTTCACCTACCAGGCAGGCGCAACATTCGATCTAGGTACCTTAACGAATTACAAAAAAGCGATAGTTAGGTTCTCTGAGGCATTTTTTCTGAATTCTGCCACAATAATTGCAATCATTGCTTCAGCAGATATCTCGACTTCACTTGCCAATGAGGCCGATTCATATTTAAAGAGAATCCAGGTGAATTACGAAAGTAAATCATTAGTTGATCAGTTGATAGATCTATTCCTAGGCGATAGCGAACGACCTCCTGCTTCCTTGTATTTGCAAGAAAAAATTATGAATTTCTGCAGTCAGTCGCATTTGGCAGCTTCCTCCCCTAAAGCTGCTCAATTATGCTCGCTTGGACTGGAGTCTAACTACCCGAGGCTGAAACAATCGACGATTAAATTCATCAAATGGCTATCAACGGCCATGCTGAAAAATGAAACTAGACACGACCAAGCTCTTTGCAAGACCATTGCTACTCAGCTAAGAAACAATCTCGAAAAAGAAGATTCAACAAACACGACACAGCGTCGTTTTCAATACGAGGCCTTGACCGTGCTTTTACGAGGACTTAAAGTTCTGGAAGATTGCACATTTGTTATCTTCTTATTCCAAATGATGGAACACGACTCTGCTGACCTTAGATCCAGTATTCAGGACGCAATTTCCGCTTTGGCCCCTTTATTGCCACAATTGCCATCTGACGAGAAGCAGAAGCTTATGGGTGTATTAGAGTCGTATTTCAAGGAAGTGCCAACCTTTGAAACGAAAGACAACATTTTGAGTTGTCGTTACGCTGCAGTGAAGCTAGTGAATGCCTGTTTTCCATTCAGTGATACAAGGGCCAGAATCGTGAATGTTCTTGCGCAAACTCAATTTGATAAACCTGAAACGTTAGAGGAAGCATCCAAAGGATTGCATCCTTATTACTTCTCTTTGATACAAAATATCAAATTGTCTGAGTCGAAAATGACGGTGGATTTTCCTGATTTCGAATCCATAGTTCAAGAAGCCCATCATATTGACCATGCTAACATTGGGAAGCTAATGACCTTTGCTTGGAGGTGTCTTGTAATGCAAGCCATTAGAGGATGCGTCACTGTTATTGTTCCTGATCAGCAGTGGGAAATACGACTGAACAATGCATTAGAGTACGATGAAAAAGTGAAAGGCTTAATCGTGAAAGAACTAAAGCGTCTAGATTGTACGCCTTTACAGCTGGACCCGCACTTGTCGGTTCTTTCTTCATTTCTGAAGATGCAGCTCGAAGTTTTTATATCTGAGTCAAGTTTGGAAGCTGGTCGACAATTATATCAGACCCTCATATCAAGTCCTCGGCAAGCACTCTGCAGTACTGTCTCTTCAATCGATAGAGTCAAAGCCATGCTCACTGTGTCCCTCTCAGACGATGTACTGTTGTACGCTTCCAAATGTCTGGCTATCATTGCTTCTCAAGACACTTTAGAGGAGGAGAATTTGAAGTCTCTTTTAACTAGCTTATTGAGCGATGATCAAGTCATGGCCACTTCGTTTTTGATTTCTCAATTGGTTTTACGGGGAAAACAAAGGCTTGTTTCAACCGAGCTGTTTGACGAAGTTTTAATGAAAATAGAGAATTACATTAATTCTTCATCTTCGAGGCTTCATAGAGAGGGCCTCGAAAGCTTGTCACAGCTTGCTTTGTATGGATGTTTGGGACCGATTTTAACTTTATCATCAAAAGTGAACTCATACAAGAGAACGTTTGTTGAGTTGTTACTGCCCTTAGTGAAAAAGCTTAACGAAAAAGCTACTATTGCCATCTCTTGTTTGAGTCTTTCACTTCCAATCTCAGATACAGAATATTTGCCTCTGATTGAGTCTGCGCTATATGGGACTCATAATTCAAAACAAACAGATTTTTGTTTCACAGCTGGGGAAGCATTTAGCATCCTTGCTGCAGGTGCTCAATCCAAAGTGGTGGCGAATAAACTGGATATCAGAGACGAATCTTGGAGTCCTCCATTAGAGCACGATGACTCTAGATTACCAATTATAATGGACACTATTATTCAGGCTTGTGCGAATTCAAAGCCTGCGTTGAAAAGAGCAGGATGTATTTGGCTTTTGTCACTGGTTCAGCATTGTGGACACCTTAAGCACCTCCAAAATAATTTAGGGTTACTCCAACGCTCGTTCCTTAGTTTTCTGGCCGATAAGGACGAAATCATACAAGAGTCGGCAACAAGAGGTTTGAGCATGGTGTATGAAATGGGGGATGCAGAATTGAAAGATACGCTGACGCATGATTTGCTCAGCTCGTTCACCGATTCCCGAAAATCTACCAGCAGTGGATATCTTCATGAGGAAACTGAATTGTTTGATCCGGGTGTTATGAATACAGGTGACGGCTCTGTGTCCACTTACAAAGATGTTTTGAATCTTGCTTCCGAAGTCGGGGATCCCAGCTTGGTCTACAAGTTTATGTCCATTGCCAAAAGTTCTGCTTTGTGGTCGTCCAGAAAAGGTATAGCTTTTGGCCTGGGCGCAATATTGGACAAATCTAAGCTGGATACATTAATTGCTAATGATAAGAGGCTGGCTTCCAGACTGATTCCAAAACTATTTAGATACAGGTTTGATCCAAGTCCATCAGTTGCACAGACTATGAATGATATATGGAACTCTCTGCTTCCAAATTCAAAAGTGATCACAGACAACTTCGAGACCATATTGAGCGATCTTCTTACAAATATGGGAAATCGCGAATGGAGAGTGAGACAGGCTTCAGCAGCTGCTATTCAGGACTTACTTCGTCATGTCTCATTCGAAGAGTATGAGACTCATTTGGAAGAAATTTGGACTATGGCTTTCAGAGTTATGGACGATATCAAAGAGAGTGTGCGGGTGGAGGGAAACTCCCTGACCCGGTATCTTGCGACAACGATGGTCAATAAAATTTCAAGCATTGATCATCAAATGTCGAATGACTCGAAGATTCTATCGCAGCTAGTGCCTTTTCTTTTAGGTTCAAATGGTCTGTTGAACGATTCCGATGATGTAAAGAATTTTGCTTTGCAAATCATTATAAAGCTCGCCAGATCATCGTCGATCTTGTTGAAGCCTTATGTTTGCGACATGATTGGGCAATTGACGATGATGATGTCATCTATTGAACCCCAAGTTGTCAATTATCTCGCATTAAATGCGGACAAGTATAATATGAAATCAGACGATATTGATTCCCAAAGACTTGCCGCACTTGGTAGCTCCCCCCTTATGGAAGCAATTGAACAGCTAATGAATCTTTTGGATGAAAACCTCATGACTGATTTTATCGCTCATTTATCAGATGCGGTGAAGAAGTCTGTTGGATTACCGTCCAAAGTGACAGGGTCGAAAATCATCATCACTCTCATCACCCGACATTACATTATTTCGCAGACACATGGAGACGACCTTCTTAAAATTTGCATGAGTCAACTGAAAGACAGAAATGAAACTGTGTCGAAGTCCTACGCTATTTCCGCTGGATACTGTGTACGTATAGCCTCACTGAAAAAAATTGATAGTTTGGCGAAGAGGCTGAAAGCGTACTATTTTGAAGCTGGTGATAATGAGAAACTTAAATTACTTTCCGCCAGCGCCTCGGAATCCATTTCCAAGTACTCTGGTGATAAGTTTCAGTCAATCGCTGTCAGCTTCGTCCCCTTGATTTTTGTTGGAAAGCATGACCCTGTCAAAGAGGTTTCCGATCCATTCACTAAAGCATGGGAAGATGCTTCCTCTGGAGGAAGTGGGTCAGTCAAGCTCTATCTCAAAGAAATAATTGAGCTCATCATGTCCCACATTAATTCTACCGATTTACAGATTAGACAGAGTATTGCGTTGTCGATTATTGAGATTGTGGATAAATTGGGTCCAGAGATCGGCTCATTGAGTAACTACCTAGGTCAGCTTTATGAAATCCTCATTGTGTCTCTTAGGGGCAGGTCTTACAAAGGTAAGGAGAATTTGTTGAGATCGCTGGTTCTCTTGAGTACTAAGACCCCAAATTATCTCCATCAGACGGAGAACTTACAGATTTTTGATCAGGTCAAGCGTTGTATTTTAGTTGAAGCTAGACGAAAAAACAAAGAATACGCAATTCACAGCGTACAATCGCTTGGTATTTTCTTGGGAACTTTCCCTGACGAGGAAATGTATGAAGAATACTTGTCCTTGATTGACTCATTTATTCAACCAAAGCCAAAGAATGAGTCGGATATGGATACGGATTCGGAAGATGATGCTACAAAGTCAAATAAAAAATCCAAGGATGCTCGATTGGAAGAAATGAAGATTCAGCTACTCGAAAACCAATTGAGCGCATTGAACTTTGCCGAGCCCAATAGAAACCTTTGTGAGCACATTATGAAAAACCTAGTCGAATATTTCGACGATAGTCGTTACCAACAAACCTATAAAACTCAATTGGCTATAATTAAAGGTTTCGCCACACTTTTGAAGTCTTTCGAAATCTTGGACGATGACCTGAAGAAGCAAATGTTTGACATTTGGTTCACTATTTCAACAAATTGTGCCAACAGAGAAAACCTTCAAAATGTTTTGATTGCATTCATTAGGGCTACCAGCGAGTTTGCGAGAGTTTGCCCCGCCGTTTCTGAAAGCTGTAAGAAGAAACTTGAAGAAGTGGCCTCTTTAGAAATTAACTCCGTGGTCAACATGGAGGTTAGCAACGCATTAAACAAATGAAGTACGCAAATGTAGGTTGCGATAGAGCGTTTTGTCATAGTTACACCAAGTACATACTAATTCAGAAACCACCTCTCAGTCTCAAAACCAAATGAAGAGTAGATTCCTTCTGAATGTTGTAATCGGACAGAGTTCTACCGTCTTCTAGCTGCTTACCAGCAAAAATGAGTCTTTGCTGGTCAGGGGGGATTCCTTCCTTATCCTGAATTTTGGACTTGACGTTATCGATAGTGTCAGAGGACTCAACCTCAAGGGTGATGGTCTTTCCAGTCAAGGTTTTAACGAAAATTTGCATACCACCTCTCAATCTCAAAACCAGATGCAAGGTCGACTCCTTTTGAATGTTATAGTCGGATAACGTTCTACCGTCTTCGAGTTGCTTACCAGCGAAAATAAGTCTTTGCTGGTCAGGGGGGATTCCTTCCTTATCTTGAATTTTGGACTTGACATTATCGATAGTGTCAGAGGACTCAACCTCAAGGGTGATGGTCTTTCCGGTCAAGGTTTTAACGAAAATTTGCATACCACCTCTCAATCTCAGGACCAGGTGCAAGGTAGACTCTTTCTGAATGTTGTAATCAGACAGAGTTCTGCCGTCTTCGAGTTGCTTACCAGCGAAAATCAATCTCTGTTGATCAGGCGGGATACCCTCTTTATCCTGAATTTTAGATTTCACATTATCGATAGTGTCAGAGGACTCAACCTCAAGGGTGATGGTCTTTCCGGTCAAGGTTTTAACGAAAATTTGCATACCACCTCTCAATCTCAAAACCAGGTGCAAGGTCGACTCCTTTTGAATGTTGTAATCGGACAGAGTTCTACCGTCTTCTAGCTGCTTACCAGCAAAAATGAGTCTTTGCTGGTCAGGAGGGATTCCTTCCTTATCTTGAATTTTGGACTTGACATTATCGATAGTGTCAGAGGACTCAACCTCAAGGGTGATGGTCTTTCCGGTCAAGGTTTTAACGAAAATTTGCATACCACCTCTCAATCTCAGGACCAAGTGCAAGGTAGACTCTTTCTGAATGTTGTAATCGGACAGAGTTCTACCGTCTTCTAGCTGCTTACCAGCAAAAATGAGTCTTTGCTGGTCAGGAGGGATTCCTTCCTTATCTTGAATCTTCGATTTGACATTATCGATAGTGTCAGAAGATTCTACCTCTAAAGTGATAGTTTTGCCGGTCAAAGTCTTAACGAAAATCTGCATTTTTAAGCGTAAACCTATAGGTTGTTGTCTTAAAAAGTTTAGGGGATGCGCGATATTTATATGCTGCTACGGAAAACAGGCAATTTCGGTGGCAAAGAATAAGGGGGGGGTTACAAAAAAGAAATGATACTTTACACCAGCCACACCTGATAACAGAGTTGCCTAACTAAATAAAATGACCATAACAACAAAAACATCGCTTGTTCACCTGGACAGGGGCGTGATTTCCATACAAATGCTTGGTACTGCCTTTTACAAGTAGATTTGAAGTTCTACTTGTTATAGTAGCATCTCTGTTTCTCAAATACGCCTCACCTGGATTAATCGGATAAGGTTGTGCGGCTGGGCGTGAGTAATTACTATGTGGCGGTTACTTTTATATTTGTGGCGCATTATATATTATGCCAGAACTTTCTGGCGGGGTGCGGCTGGCTATTAATTATTGATTTAAGTCACAATCGACGCGACGACAAAATTGTCTTGATACTAAGTAGCAGAATGTGATAGCTCATAATTGATGTTGGTTTATCAGATCCGCGTTGACCTGGGTTCAAAATGATTCACCTCTTCTTCTAGCTCCAAGATATTACTAAGCATGCTTCCTCGACGTTCTCTTTCCTCATCTGATGAGGACGAGCAGGCATCCAATTCACGGAAAAGGTCGGCTCTATTTATTTCCAATGATTTGCAATTGCGTTCACCTGTGAATGAACTCCGGCTTGGCATATCCAATGAAGATCGAGGAGTTGGCAATTTCATCTCTTCTCTGAAAGTTATGAATTCTTGACGTTTTTGTCTCAAAAGCTCTCGGTTTTCGAGCAACCTGAGGATTTCAGATGCCTTGTTGCGAATGTTAAAAGCGAGTTGGGCGTCCTCGACGTGTTTTCGGCGTGTATCTATCTGATATTCCCTGAGGGTTCTGATCGAATATTGATTCATTGTCAGCCAAGAAACAAACTCAGATGACGAGGTCTGTAACATATAAAGCACAATCGATAGCGCTTTGTGAATTTGAATGGGGCTTTTGGAACGCAGTTTGCGGGACAATTCTTTGGTGATCAAACCCAAGTCGCGCGGGTGGTTTGAAAGCCGAGATAGCTGGTTCAACTCCGCAGTAGTCGGCCCCCATCGGGTGTCTTTTGTTGCTTCCTTTATGAGAGCTTCGCTATGGGAAGTCCTCTTCAGGGGCAGAAAGACTACACTTTTCATTCCAAGTCAAATTTATGTCTCGGTCGGTATTTTATCAGGTTTCAAATTTTATTTTGAGATGCCGAATATGCCCAGCTTTTTTTTTACCGAGACGATGATAGAAAACGGCGGATTGCTCGTCTATTTATTATGTTACAATAATATATCTAATTATACATCTGCATTCAGTGAGTACTTCTTTAGAGTTCCGTCTTTCAAAACGGCTAAAACCTCATAATGGTCCTCTAAACACTTAATTTCAAGATTGACAATCACGTCCTGGGCGAGATCAGGTATTTGTGCAGCCTCAGAGCTCCATTTCTTGTTCTTTTTGTAGTATCTGAATAGCGTCTGATCATTAAAAAGATATGACGAAGCCCTGTCAATAGCAAGAACAGCACTACCTGGAGAATCCAATACAGCTTGAAAGACGTCTTTCCTCAAATCATATATTCCAACTTTCGAGCCCGAGTCGGTGGAACAATGCATCACCAAAGAGTAGCCATTTGGTGCAAATAGAAGTTTATCTATCTTCTCGACACTGCCAAGCGAGTCAATGGCAACGTTGAGCTCGACAGAGCTTTTTGCAATATTGAAAATTTGAACGACGTTATTTTCAAAGCATAAGCCTAGGAATAAACCATCTTGATGCAGAGCCATCTCACAAATATTGAATTCAAAAGGATTTGACTCGTATAGCTTAATTTCTCCGTCGAATATATATAGCCTGTCGGCCTGTGCTATGATCAGATACGGTAGTAAGGGATGGGCCAAAATGCTCGTGATTGACTTCTTTTCCAGTTGAATCTTTGTTTCCGATTCGCCTTCAACAATATGGACTGTCCCATCGGTGGAGGCGTACGCATACTTATGTTCATTGAGCCACTGCAAATAGCAAATTTTGTTTCGCTTAGGAAGCGTATGCCGATTGATAAGCCTATTTTGAAGCAAATCGTATATCACAATAACGTTTTCCGAATATGCAAGCAATAGCTTGGTTCTTTCAGAGTCAAATTTTGCTTGGACGAGTGTTGTTTTCTTCTTTTGTCCATCCCATATTTTGAATTCTTCTTGTAATGTAAACTTTATGTGCGAGCTCTCATCAATTGGAGATTTATATTTCTGCGAACGGTGCTGTTGATATAATTGCGAATGGGCCTCCAGTAATTGACTAGTGTACTCTTCGGACAATGGTTGTGATCCGTTGGTTAGTTCCGCTGGTGTGTCGATCTCTATGGCCTCTCCCTTTCCAAGCTTCGTCGTAAGCTCCTCTAGAGCCCTTTTATACTCGTCGCGTTGTTTGATGGCGTTTGCGGCGACTCGCACTGCTGCATCCTGTTTGTACAAAGCTAAGCTGAGCTCTTTTTTGTACTGACTCAGTTGTTTGCGTAGCTCAAATGTCTCCAGAGCCAATGCATCCCATTCGCGCTGAAACAATGACAACAAAGAAGGAATCGAGGTTGATGCCGATTCGCGCACCACTAGTGGCTTGTCCGAAGCAGACACCTGGATGGCCACTAAATCTTCAAGACTTATGGAATCTCCAGATATTGGGTCCGTCCCATGCTGCGCGATGTATTCCTCTACAAGCCTCTTTTCAAACACGTGGCCAGATTTCGTAGATAAGACTGGCTCCTGAGCCGGATTGCCTGAGATAGAGCAGATCATCGAACCTTTGTGTACTATTAAAGAAAATTTTTAAAGCTAGAGGAAATGCGCCACATGTGGCACATAACATCACGCGAAGCTAGGTTGTGGCGTACCTATGTTGGCGAGACCGCGTCTGAGGACCTTCCTCCTTTTCGCTGCTCATGGGCACCTCATGTAATGGATTCAATGAGAGGAAGGATTCATGTTACAATTACGGCATTTCTTTTGGTGCATCGGCTCAGCTCCAAAAAAAAAGCAGTCAAACGACCAAAGCACAAAAAATTGACGATTTTTTGTAGCGGAATTTTACTTACTGGGTTTCTACTTTAAAGCGCAAACTTGGAGTATATAAAAACAAGCGGTTTCAGCCAGAGCTTTGCCTTGTTGTCGGGATACTTCTGCTAGAGCATAAGACACTGGTTTATACTAGCTCAAGCAATCCCGTGGACCCTGCCTCGGCACATCAAAGATCAAGCCATAAGACTAGAATAGTCAAAATCTTTTCTAGTTTGAACGGTTTTCTGGCCTTCTGTGGTTGCTACTCACACCATACCTGGTGTAATATCTTCTACAAGAGAGGCGGACGTTAAAGATACAGTTATAAACCTCTAGATGTTGGTGTCAACGGAAAATCGCTCGGCTTGCGATTCAACTGGTAAAGCCAAAATTGATGACTCTAGTGACGTATCGGGTCCGAGTCGAAATAACAGATCATTATTAAGCTCGAAGAGTCCCTCGAAGTCAAAGACTTACCAGCCATTGGATTTGCAGTCGAATTCTTCCACATCCTCAACGCCCGCCAAATTTAAGGGTTTCAGATATAAGGGCCGGCCCCCAATAACCGAGGTTCCTGAGCTTATGGAATTGTGCGAGGAGTTTCTAATGACCACAAATGTAACCGGTCTCTCCATGATTGCTCGTCAGCGTGGTCTTCCGCCATCGTTAAGGCACAAAATCTGGCCTGTCCTGCTGAAATATCATCCATATGTTTTAAACCCATATGTGCAACCTGATGACGACGTTGATGATGACGATGGGGAGCTCAAAATTCCCGAAGCTCAAATCAAGGCTGACCTCAATAGATATCTCAGAGTTGCAGAACGTTACAAGCCAAAAGTTTTAACTCCGGAGCTCAAGGATCTGTTCGAGATTCAAGACAAAATATTTGAAACCTTGGAGAGTGCGATTGTCAAGTTCCTGAAAAAATGGGGGTCTATTGTACATTACAGTTCTGGTCTTGCCTGGATTGCCCTGGGCCTCGCAGAATGGGTTCCTCCCCTGTTAAACTCGCAGATTGTTCTTTGTGGTAAAGACGATATCGCAAAGAATGGGACCAAGTTGCGAAATGTCAACGACACCTACTTTGAAAAAATGGAACATGAGGGCACAGGCGCAGCCAGCTATACGTCAACATTGAATTCCACTCCTGTGCTATCATCATCACCGAAATCTGTTTCAAGTTTGGAAAGTTTGAATCCTCCTCTTGCATCCAATAACCACTCATTCAAACCAATGACATTTGCAGAAATTTACGAAAGAATGGTGCTAGTTATATTGCACACCCCTGATCCAACAAAAAAACATGAATCAAAACCGAATGATGAGCATTCGGATGAGACCTCGGATGATTTGCCCAAATTCGGAGGCTCGATCGAAGATAGAATATCATTTTTCCTATATTGTTTCAGACGGCTACTTCCAGAGTTGCATAAATTCATGTCGGAGGAGGGTTTATTGAAAGGAGACTGGATTTTATGGTGGCTGAAATACTGCGCTTCTAAAGTTTGGTCCAGGTACGATAGAGGGAGAGTGTGGGATCTTCTTCTTGGCTTCAGGAATACTTTTGATGAGGAAGATATGGAGCAGCTGAGGCAGCTGACAGAAGAACAAAAACGCTTACTTGGCCCTGATCTGTTTTGGAACCCATTATCCGAGCCGGACATCCACTACAAAAAAGGCAGGTCCAGTAGTATCAAGACTCTCATCAATCAAGTTTCTTTATCCTTTGATCAGACGCCAACCTTATCCTCCCTGTCTCTAAAAGATGATGATATCGAAGATATGCCTTTGAACGAGACAGGCATACCACTTTCGCAAATTGATGCACATGTCCAGCTTATCTTCATTTCGTTGGCGTTTTTGAAGGCAAAGGAATTTACGATAATGGAACTGGACCAGTCAGAGATCAAGCAGCTTCTCAACAATCTGTCCTCTCTGAAGAGGTCGGAGATTCGCTCGCTAGTTGGCGGGGACGGTCAGGTTGCAACTGCTTCGCTTCCCCCAGACAACTGTTCTTGCGCTTCTTGTAATGGAAGCGTAAACAGCAGCACGTCAGCCCTGTCTTCCCATAATTATCAATTGAAAAAATCCAACAGAGACATTGAAAACATCATTCTTGAGGCTGGTGAATTATGGAGAAAATTCATCTATCTGGAAATGATCGAAGAAAGCTGACATTCTGAAGTCAAGCATAGCTACTTTTTGTCATTATTACATTTATTATTAGCGTTCCTAAATGAATATTTAGCTTATTCTTGAACTAATCCCATCTGGCGCCTTCTTTCCATCTCCTTCTGAATGGCAATCTGATTGACTCTATTTTTTTCTTCCTGTGCTGCCTTCAATCTGGCTAATTTCCGTGCTTTCTTGGCTTCTGCGAGTTCACGCAGACGATGCAGTTCATCATCCTTCTGTTGCTTTTCGCTGTCCTTGTAGAGTTCTTCCAGAACATGTATCTCCTTGTCATTTCCGGCTAATTGATTGTTATATGGGTCTTCCGAATCTTTGCTATCTTCCCCAGTTTCGGCTTCTTGTCCCTGAGCTGTCTTCTCAGGTTCCTGGTTGTCTTGTTTCTGGTGAATTCGCGATTCTCTCAATTCTTTCATCAGATCTTCTTTCATTTCTTGCTCCTGTTTGTGCTTGAGCTCATCATTAACATTAGAGTTAATGATGTCGTGGTCGTTCGTCTTCTTGAATTTAACAAACCTGTAGCTCTTTCCATTCTTACCGCTGACGTATGGATTTAATGGGAAGTGGCCGAATAGTTCTTCCTGGTGGTTTTCCTCTTCTTGACGAAGTTTCTTGCTCTTCAGTTTTTCGAGCAGGACAGATTCCACATTTTTGCTCATATCTTCAACTCCGAAATCTTTGTTGACATTTTCATCGCCTTCTTCGGGTCCTTCCTCATCAACGTCCTGTAGATACTCATCCACCTCGCTCCAGTCAATGCTGACGTCCCTTCTAATGTCAGTGTTCTTGAAAACATTGAATTTTAGACCATTCCATTCTGAAGTCACCTCTTCAAAGGCTTTCATCCAGATCTTATCATAAAGTTTTTGGATCTTTGCTTTTTCAAGTCCGTTGGTCTCCTCTTCTGCCATCCATTTCATATGTTGGATGTCATCGGTAGAGGGCTCATAGATATGCCAGATTGTGTAGTGGGGCAAGCCTATGACGGAAAAGTTCATTGTTCGACATAGTTTTCCAAAACCTTCTGTCTCTGCGTGTTTGAGATACGAAAAAGCAGGAAACATAGCACCGCTGCGAAAAACATGAGCTTTGCTCAGAATTGACACACCCCCAATTCCATCAAGTTCCATCTCAACCTCAGGATCACCATATGGGTCCCTTAAGTATGCCAGATGTGTCCTCCAGGTTGCATACTCAGGATACCCTTCCACAATCACAGCGTCTTCATCCAGTTTATCTGCCAGTTCAATACCTCCTTCGCTCTCCTGCCAGGAATTCAGATCATAGGGCTGTTCGTAACCCAACCAATCAGGCAAAGGACGCCAAATATTTGGTACAATCACATCTTTGTCGTGATGCATCAAGTCCTCAATGATAGTAGGCGGCACTGTTTCAACGTCAGCGTCTCTCCAGTAGACCCAAGAATGATCAGGACGCAAAGCAGTGGCCAATAGCCAGTTTCTAGCAATCGCCATCAGCTTACGTCTAGGACCTTGGGCTTGGAATCCATGACGGTCCGAAAAAGATTGGCCAATGATTTGTCCGAAGTCTTTTTCGTATATGTTAATTCTCCCGAAATGCATCCAGGGGTCTTTATCAGACTGTATTTTTTTCAGTTCCCTCTTCAGATCTTTGATGGTCGAATCGGAGGTGTCAGAGATCAAGAATGCGAGGTCAATCAGATTATGTGGATAAGTCAAGTTCCTCATATGGCCAAAAAACATTGACAAATGTGGAGCTGCATCTCTCAATGGAACACAAAAAAGAACCCTTTCCTGGTGATTCCATCCGTCAGGGGAAGATGAAGCAACCTGCTTTAGATCGTAAAACTCGACGTTGTAATCGTCATAGCTTCCTGACTCACTGTTGTAGCCCGAAGGAAGATCTGGGTAATATCGATTGCTAGGCCCATCATTGAAACTGAATAACGTCAGAACAGATGGTGAATAGTATGTTATCAAAAAGGTGATAATAGCCACAATCGGCAAAAGGGCGTAAATGATCCAAGCCAGGCGAACTAGTAGCGAATGAGATGCATACTTGTCTCCCTCCTCCTCATCACTCGTATACTCTTCTTCGTCGTCGTTGAAAGGGAACTCGAATTTGGCCATTCTTTGACGAGGTTGAGTCGATTGTACCTTTTCTGCCAACGAAGATGTTTCCAAAAAGTCACCTTGAAGGCCAGAGGACAAAGATCGTTTCTCATCTTGAGTCCCCTTTTCGACTTCCCCAAGTAATTTCTCGAGAAATATGTCCTGGGACATCACAATATGAAACTGATCGATAAAGACACTTATTTGATTTTTCTGAATACTGTAATTCAGGTTAAATAAAAAAAACTTTATCAATTCCGGGCTGTGGAATAAATCCGTTGAGGATGCAATTAGCTATCTAAAGTACATATACACTGGGCATCAGTATCACCAAGTTGAATCATAAAACCTGATGAGTAGGAAAATGCTAATAAAATGCATTGTCGTCTGTTTTTGGGTGGGCAACTCAGCAGTTGATGTGAGTTGTATCTATACGGAAAGCTTGTGTATATGTCCGGCCAGGCACTACGGTTCAAGCTAGCAGATCAATGTCTTGGAAGAGCTTGAATATCCGTGCATTAGGGCTCTTGACGTAGTCGTTGTCGACAATTGTCACCAGTGTGAACGAGTCGCACAAAGACGATAGGAAATCAGTTGCTTGTGTGGCTTTCTCATGTCTGAATATCGAGACCCATTTGTCCAAAATTGAAAAAAGTTCATCCTTCCATGCTAAAAAGGAGATACGTTCGACGATGGTTGGTTGTATTACCTCGGTTCCTGGAAAACAGCCCCAAGTGACAGCGATGATATCTGAATCTTGCGTATTGGTAATCAGGTGGCCATCTTTGTCGGTGGCGTAGAAAGACAAAATGTTGGAATCTGCTCCCTTGTTCATCTCATTGATGCGTTCAATTAGCAAACTCACTACCGAGGAAGGAACCAAAAACTCCAGATACTGCTTCTGGTAAACGTAACCATTTCTTGGCCCCCATCCAAACACCTTGTCGCTGGATTTGAGTCCATTGACAGAAGGTTGTGAGTTGATCGTGAGGATACCGTGCTTGACAATCTCCAAGATTTGCTTCTTAGTAGGTTCGATCTCTGAAGAAATGCGACCATCCGACCAAGGCAAACATGAAAGTTCCCCGTTGATGTATCTCGTGGTCAGCTCGGCCAAATCTTTGAGACTGTTAGGCGTGCCCCAAAGTTCAAGTGCTTTCTTGGGAGAGTGCCTGATGAGCTCTGACTCGCACGATTCAACGGAGGCAAAAGCAGGAGAGCGAGAATCTCCCCACCTTCCATTCGGGAACTCGTCCCAGTTAGCAGTGCGGCTGATATAAGAGAATTTTCTGTTTTTCCAGAAGATGGGTCTGACTGTCTCCTTGGATCTGTTCGGATTGAGCGATTTTCTCCACGGCTGTTTCATGTCGTGAAGCTGTTGCTTGGTAACCAAATTAAGACCCTGCAAGATCATAAGGGTAGATTTTTCCAGGTTCATGGTATAGAAATGCAGATGGTTCACTCTTTTGGATTCGAGCAATTGTTGACACATCTCAATCACCAGCTTTGTTCCGACTTCTCTCACCTTCGCGTCGTCATCTTTGATAGGCTCCAAAGCCTCGCTGAAATGCTTGGGGATCGTGATCTCGGACCAGCCAGCTCTTCTTATGAAAGCAGCATAAGTACTAATGGGCATGATACCTGGGATAATTGGCATAGTAATACCTATCTTTCTGCATTCATCACACCAGTTGATGAAGTTTTCCGTGTCATAAAACATCTGAGTGACAATAAAGTCAGCACCCGCGTCTTGCTTTTCTTTCAAATATTTCAAAGTTTTCACGGGATCCGATTCTTCGGGGTGACCCTCAGGGTAAGCCGCGACACCAATACAAAAGTGGTCACCGTAGTGTTTTCTAATATATCTGATCAAGTCTTTAGCATACTTGAAGTCGCCAGTAGACTCAGAGCCGTCCAACGGTGGGTCGCCTCTAAGGGCCAGAATGTTTTGGCACCCACTTTCATATGCCGATCTCAAAGCTTGATCGATCAAGTCTGTTTTCATGTTTGTGCAGGTCAGATGCATACACGTCTCGAGGCCCAACACTGTTGAGGTGGTCTGGACCATCTCTGTGGTGAGCGTGCTCAAACGGCCTCCTGCATTCCATGTGATATCGATGAACAAAGGATTCAGGTCGTACATTCTATCCATTCTATCGTACAGATTTTGGAGACCCTGGCTTGTCTTCGGGGTGAAGAACTCAAAGGAAAATGTCGCTGGTGCATTATCTTCCCTGTGCGACTCCAGGAGTTTGTTTGTGACCTTCATCTTCCCCTGATCACCACCTCTTTATACAAGTATTATTGTAGCTCGAAAAAATTTTCAACAAAAAGCCTCATGCTGGAGATGGTAGCAGCAACGTGGGTAGCAGATTTACCAACAATGGTTATTTTCGAGCTCTACTTTGCACCACCAACCCCAAAGTTGTTGGCCTGACGTGTAGTTCAAAGTTTGCGGGTCGTATGGACACTGGTTAGCACCAAAAGCTTTACTCAGGGGTTTTTCTTCCTCGAGGCTCCGCATGTGATAGTGCTGGACTAAAAAACGATATTTTGCGTCGATCGACTGATGAAAATATTTACAGTTTTCATGACTAGTAGCTTTGAGTTTCACCTGCTTCGGGTGACTATGGCTCAACTTCTCAAAGCACATGGCTTTGATAAATGCAACAATCGGGCGCTGGACCTTGTTACTGACCTTTACGTGCGCTATTTCCAGCTGCTCTTACAAACTGTCACAAAATACATGGAGGCCCGCAATGACATTGAGCCCAACATTCAAGATATTTCCGACGCCTTTCTGGAGCTCAAAATAATCTCTCCAGCGCGCAGACTGGACGCCTTTGATTCCGATCGACTGGTTACACAGGGTCTAAACAATTTCGAATACTGGTTCCAAAGTGACATAAACACGCGACTACGAGAGGTGGCTAGACCAAACAAAGAATTTCTCACTGAATTGGCAGAGCTGAAAAGCTCGATGGATAGACACACGAAGATGAACAGTTTGACTGCAGCATTGGGCCAAGCTACTCCAGTACTTCACAGGCAGCCTACCCAGCCTCTGGAACCATTGAGCGTGCCGGCAGATGAAAACGAGCCGATTGAAGATGGGATACGATTGGACCCGGACTGGATCCGTTTTGTGCTGCGCGGGCAGCTGAGCGAAAAACCTGACACGAAATTCAAAGGAACAATTCTCGATGAATATGTTCCAGAAGACTTACAGCAACCTACATCGACTTCAAATAACGATCATGTGGTCTTCGGACCAACTCCAGAAAACCTGGCGCAACATTTGCCTTATGCACAAAATCAAAAAGTGGACGATCCCGATGACATATAGCTTCCATATTCTATAAACGTCTGTTAGATTTGAATTTCTTCTGTTTCCGCTGAGGTTTTTGGATCTTGTTGGAGGTTTTTGGTTTCGATTTGGACTCGGTGTCCGACTCTTCGTCCCAATCGATGTCATCTCCTTTCCTATGCTTGTATCTAAGTCTGTTTTTCTGGCCTCTGATTGGACCTTGTCTAACCGCTTCCACATAAGCATCAATTGAGTCCTTATTGAGCACATCTTCCTGCTCTTCGGCTTCTTCAATGATCAACTTACCATTTTTGGTCTTGAATTCGTTCTCCAGAGTCTTCTTGGTGAATTTCTTTGGTTTCGAAGACGATATATGAGTAAGTGTTTGTTTGTCCAACAGATCGAGCGGTACCTCTCTAGATTCCGAAATATATTGTTGAGGCTTTCCAGATGGCTGATCCTCCTCCTCTTCGGATTCGGAATCGCTATACAGAGCTGCCTCGTAACCAGACATCACTCCTGATTCCGCGGCATTTGTACCTGTAGCTTGCGACTTCTTTCTCTTAGCCCTGGCCTTTGATTTCTTGATGTTGGCAACAAGTTTCTTGTCCTCCTCGGGGATACTTTCCTCCACAAGATCGACACCAAACTTACGGATCAGTCTCTCAATGATATGTTTAACCTTAGATTTGAAATGGTTCTTGTGCTCGTGAGACGCGGCCATCAAGTTGGTCAGTAAACCTTTCATGTTCTGTGCAACCATCTCTTCCGGTAAACTCAAAATCGCAACCTTGACAAAACCAAGCGTGGCCTTGATAATTTCCCTATTCTTGGAGGTCAAGAATAGTTCAACTGTCTGGTAAAGCTCGGACAAAAATTGGATATCTAACTTTGAGTGATATTCATACACTAAGCGAGCAAGCGAAGTGATAGCAGCACTGATCATGTTGGGAGTGGCGCCCACCAAACCTGCAGAGCAGATGGTGAAAAATTCTTGAAGCGAGGCGGTTGAGTCGGGCATCTCGGGGTCATTCATCGAGTTTTTAACTGTAGCTCCTTCAAATTCAGCCATTTTAGCAGCCATCACGATAAGAGTCTCGTAAGCAGATTCCCTGGTCTTTTCGTTCAAACTTTTCGTGCTGATTATCACCTCTGAGACAACAGCAGGAATGAAATGCAAGTTTTCTGCTGGCAAAATCTTGATGATATCGAGAATCAGCGCAAATCTCGGTGACTTTGCTGCAGTCAACGTGGTTTCTGTGGTTTCTAGAAGAAGAGACAAAATATGAGATATAAAATTCAATACCGATTTTTGTCCAGCATCAGCTTCCAGTAGTCGACTGATTATTCTGTAAGAACGCTTTTGAATCTGAACATCTGCTATTTTGACTGTTTGGTTGAAGATTGAGAATAAGGCATTATAGCAAGATTCAGGGACGTACTTGGCCATTAGTACTATCAAGTCCATCATGGTGATCGACAATTTTGGAATGCTCGATTTCGCAGCCGGCTCCTCAGTCTTTATCATATCAGTTTCCTTCTCATCATCCAATGCCTGCTTCAAGATTGAGCAAACTTTGTCAAAAGTGACAGAAAGATCCTCTGGTTTCGAAATTTGCAAATATGCATCGATTGTGTCCAGAACAAAACCTCTTTGAGCCATTGAAGTTTGAGAGAAAACATTGAATAGAACCGACAACAATTTGGATGCTTTTGTGGTCGAAAGGTATTCGATATTCTTTTGAGCTTCCTCTAAGGGGAATTTCTGTGCCAAAACCACATCTTCCAAAACGCCTAATGAGTAGCTAACATTGCTTTCCACCAGGAGCTTGAGAGCATGACAGATTGTGTTTCTCAAATCGGTTTTTTCATACAAAAGCCCTGCAAGTTTAGAGGCAAAATCGTCGGTGAAACTTTGAGTTAAATCGGTAGGAAGATCACAGAAGTGAGGCAAGAGAGACCAAATTTGATCCACAATGGTAGCGAATATCTTAATGTTCACAGATTCTGGGTTTCCTTCAGCGATTTTTTGCTCAAAAAATTCCACGTTTGGAAGAATCTCAGAGATGTAAAAACCAAGACTAGCATGTCTTACATTGTCCCGCAGTAACGGTAGTAGCCAAGCTCTTCCAGTGGCTTGCGGATTAGTCAGATTCAGTGGAAGCACTTTCAAAACTTCTTCTGGTCCAATCGAGCTGATAGCAACAGCAATAACATTTTCGCTGACCTGGTTGAGTTCGAACCCTTCCAATTCATTGGATCGCCATTCTCCAATAATATGTAGATGGTTAGTAAAATATGGGCCCGCACGAGACCCGAACTTAGCCAGGATACTTGTGATGACTTCACAAACTTCCTTGGCAGATTCCCTATACTTGACTGTCAGATATTCATCCGTTAGCTCAGAAAGCTGTTCTATTACCTCTTCGACGTTTTCAAATTCCTCAGGGAGTGTCTTTGGTGGCTCAAGAAGGTAATTCACATCAACAGAGTCAGTAATAATTGCAATCAGGCATTGGGAAGCACTAATACGGACATTAGGACTTTCACTCAAGAAGAAGTCTCCCACAATTTTAAAGACTTCTGGTAGCTTCAGAATACATTTGTATGCATCCACAGACTTAGAGTAGGAAGTGAGAGCCCTAGCAATAACAGCCAGCCAAGATGGTGTCAAATGCTGGTCATTAACAGCAGGTTTGAGATCAAACAGCACGTTCAGGACTTGAACAAACTTATCTTCGTCAACTTTGTCATTCATGGATTGAAAGAGCCCTTCGAAAGCTTCAAAGGAGGAAGAAACCAAGTATTGGTCACTGGTCTTTGCCACAACAAGAAGAACATCACAAAGCGGCAATATTTGTTTCAAAGGCCATGCATTGGCCTTTGTAATAGCAGCAATCAATTGTAAGTTGTGTATTATTTCAGTATTGAGCTCTTTATTTTTTTTTCTTGTTGTTGTCTCTCCAGTAACTTGATGACAGAGTTTAGTGAAAACTCGCCACAAAGGGTTGAGCCAGGATGCTCAAGAGAAGGACCAGCCGGAACAGTGCTCAGAATTTTGTGCACAGCCTCTTGTGCTCTCTTTCTAACCTTTGGTCTGTGATCCAGTGACAGCTGGAGCAGACCAGTGAGGCCTCTTTTGGGGCTAATCTTGAAATTATTCGAATTGATCCAGGCACCAGTCTCTTGGGCAACAAGAAGGCTTTCAAGTACACCAATGCTTGATCTCAGTAATGGGGCAGCAGACTCGTCGCTAGACAAGGCAGGTGCTAGACGTGCAACTATTTCACTGAATTTTGATCTTAGGAGTTGCTTTGGCGTATATGGAGACACCAAGTCCAAAAAGTAAAGAGCCACAGCAGCAAGGTTGCTATCTTTGATGTTCTCACCATCACAGCACTGATCTAAAAGAGAAAGGAAAGAGATAAAATATGTAACAGGAGTCTGCTTCTGCTTTTGATCTTCCAAGTTTTCCTCGACAGCCTGTAGCACTAGTGCCAGCTGTTTTTGATTCTCAAGTTTGGAGTTAATCTGTGTTCTTATTCTACCAATTCGTGACTCCAACTCCATGTCTAACAGGAGAGGATCATCTTCGAAGGTAGCCATAATAGTAATACAGAGATAAAAAAAAGTTGAAAAAAAAAAAAAAAAATTTCGATATGCGTGTAAGGGTGTGAAACTGATTTTTCATCTGAGAGTTTTCGATTTTTTCAGAAACGAACACAATCATGAAGGGACTCGTCAGATTGAGGTTAGCCCGCATGGGAAGAAAACACCAGCCATTATACAATATCGTGGTAAGCCACAAAAGAACGCGCAGAGATGGAAAACCAATCGAAGTGATAGGGACTTATGATCCAAGACCTAGTCCGCTTACTCCTACACAACAAGCGGAGGGGGTGATACCAATAAAAGATGTGAAGCTAGACTTCGAAAGATCAAAGTACTGGATTTCAGTGGGCGCACAGCCAACTAAAACTGTTGAGGATTTACTTAAGAAAGCTGGCATTCTTTACCCAGAGTGGCCATCTCCCGCCAGAAATGCAAAAGTGACACCTCGTGCGGAAATTCCAATAGAAGGTAAGAAGTTCGCCTAAATACATGTATATAGAATTAGGACCCCTCATTACATTAGTCCGGATGTGTAAATCGGCCAATTAAATTTTGTGGTCGGACCGGTAATCTTTAGGCTATTTTGGTGATGTTTATAAAAACTTCAGATGGAGAATGTCAAGGTCAAATGGAGCCACCACTTGCCCTTCACTAGCATGACAATAATCGTTTCAGGTCTGTAATGTATATATATATATATATAAAGCGCCTTTTATCCACTATTGCTCCCTAAACTTTTTGGCTCGCAATGTCTTTACAAAGTCTGATCCAAGTTTCAAATAAAACCGCAGTCATTGTTCCTGAGTCTAAGCTTGAGCTTAGCTACTCTCAGCTGAACATCATTGTCTACCATCTCCAATCGATATTTACAAACTCTGTTAGTCCCCTTACCGATAAGGGGTCACAGAAGCAATTAAGGATCGCAACCTGCCTGCCAAACGGGCTTGAGCTTATTGTTTCATTTCTTGCTATTACCACAGCAGGAAACGTCATCACACCGCTTAACCCAAAGTACACCAGATCGGAATTTCTCAGCTATCTTTCTGATCTGGAAACGGATGCTGTCATTGTTCCTCGCTACGGTCACTTGAAACCAGACTCAGAAATTGTCTCTGCTGCCCGCGCAAGCCCTACAAATCCCTTCATTATTGAAATTTGGTATGATGCAGCACGATCTTTGCTTCAGTACGAGATATTCCATGCACAAACATTGGCATCTATGTACAATTCAGTTATAGACAAATCGGGCCTACCTCCTGAGCAACCAGGAAACCACATGCCGGGCCTTGCCAAAAACTCGGACATTGCATTGATACTGTTCACCAGTGGAACTACAGGGAAAGCAAAAAAGGTTCCCTTGACTAATTCCAATCTCACTAGTTCGATGATAAATATCATTAAATCATACAAACTAAGAAGCCGTGACAGGAATTATGTTATTATGCCTTTATTCCACATCCACGGACTCCAGGTTCTGTTGGCATCCCTCGCATCACAAGGCTCAGTTGTCGTCCCGAACAGGTTTTCAGCGTCTATGTTTTACCCGCATCTCAGAGAATGGAATTTCAGTTGGTACTCGGCCGTCCCAACTATCCATATTATCCTCTTGAACCGCCGTCTCCCCAAGGAACTCAAAGGAAAGCTGCGGTTCATTAGGTCTTGTTCGTCCTCGTTACCACCAACCGTCTTCACTAAGCTTGAGTCAAATTTTGGATGCCCGGTGGTGGAAGCCTACGGCATGACCGAAGCATCACACCAAGTCACCTCAAATAACATACCCTTTCACGGTAAGATATCCAGGAAAGCTGGTACGGTTGGCATTCCTCAGGGATCTGTGGAAGTCATCATCATTGACGAGAATCAGGCAACTCTGAACAAGTGTCAAGTTGGGCAAATAGCAATATCCGGACCCAATGTTACATTAGGGTATTTGCAAAATGAGACTGCAAACAAAGAGTCGTTTTTCAATTTCCAGGGAAAGCGTTTTTTCAAGACGGGTGATCTGGGAATGTTTGATAATGAAGGACGATTAGTCCTCAAGGGTAGAATAAAAGAGATTATCAATAAGGGTGGAGAAAAAATCTCACCTGTTGAAATCGATTCAGTGGTGAGCTCGCATGAGAAGGTGAAGGAGTGTGTCTCCTTTGGATATCCCGACAAGAAGTATGGAGAAAATATAGGATGCGGCATAGTTTGCAAGAACGGGGCCTCTTTGACAGAGTCCGAACTGACATCCTGGCTCCAAGATAGATTGGCAAGCTTCAAGCTGCCACAAAAAATCTATATTGTTCAGGAATTGCCCAAATCTCCAACGGGTAAAATTAACAGGAGGCTAATGAGCCAGATCTTCGGCCTAGAAGCAAAAGTTTGACGGAAAAGTTCAACTGAAAAGCCAAGGCCTGCAATCCCAGAATTCGTCTTTGATTATGTCGCAATGAAGTTTCTTGATTTCTGATTTTTTGAGTTTCTTTTCTAATCTTTGTGCTTGTCTTTTGGACAGGTCTGTGTTTACATCGCTTTCGAAGTCCAGCTCCCTTACAAGGATGGTGCCTTTTTTGTAAATTTCTGGCTCATTGTTGTAATTAATGCCAAATTCTTTGAACAAGATCTCATGCTTGTCTGAACTCAATGTTCCAATAAGCCTATTTTCTGCTTCTTGAGTCGTTAAACCGCTTTTGACGAGAGACCAGAATGTAGTATTGTACAAATTATTAATATGACAATCAACTTGTCTCCATCTGAAGTAATCTTTCACCAACTCTTTGGTTGGGTAGCAAACTGTTCGTGCGTCAAAAGTCGGAAGCCGGTCAGGCTGAAGTGGTTTCGCAGGAAATGACTGGTTCCAGTAGTATTGGTAATATGCAGTAATCGTAGATGCAAACGTCGAGATAAGCTTGAATTCTCTTCTTTCAAACAAGTCGCATCGTTTTTGTAACAAAAATGAGTACTCGTCGGAGTCCCCATAAGCCATGATAATATTAGGGATGGTTTCCATTAGTTTCAGCGCTGCTGAATTCATTACCTCGAGAGCGCATAGATCATTTGGTTTCTCGAAATCATATTTGGATGAAAACTTATGAAACCCTCTTCCATCTACACGGATCACTATGTAGGTTTCGGGGAGGAGTATGGATTCCCTTTCGAAGTTCTTAACGTACTCGTATCGTGATTTAGCCATGAACTTTTTTTTTTAGGGCTGTGTATCAATTGTAGTAGATGGTAGCACTGAACAATTGTGCAGCGAACTTTTATAAGAGAATGACCTCATTTCATCATCCTAATGACAAACCGTAAATATGTCACATTCCAGTGTCCCTTTGCGGAACATAAGTACAATTCCCGAAACTTGATATTTGTTGGCCTTTGCACACTGGAAAACCACATGGCTGCACACCACAACGGCTTTGATAAAGTATTAATTGTGGCTCCAATTCAAAGAGAGATTGTAAACCCATTGTTTTTCTCAGTATTTCAAGTAAAACCTTCAAAAAAGCTTCTATATTGATTACAGACTTCCTCGCGATCGGTAAGCGGGACTTGCCAGCTGGATATTGACATAGGATGACAGAGTGGATAAAGGATAAGACGACTTTGTAGCGGCTCTTGAAAAGGCTATTTTATATTTCATATTGAGTTGGGATTAACATGATTTGAGGTGATTAGCGATTGAAGTTTAATTGATCTGGTCATTAACCACCACAAATTTTAAACCTAGCACTTTGATAATCGAGAGGATTTGACTAGTGATATTCCTCACCCAGTTTCTCACCAGTTAGAGCAATGGCAAAGCAACGAATCATGTGACCCATAATCTTACAAGAATCGCATCCGATGGTATTTGTTATACTTGTGGCATATCAATTCTCAGCTCAAGATCCCTCCTTATCACATAAATTGATGTCGTGGGATCTGAAAAATTTTATCTGAAAAAAATAAAATTTTTTTAAATCAGCTACATCCTAATGACTACAGCAAAGTTCAGAACCTTGGAAAGGGAGCACCGCTTCAAGAACCCTCCGAAGGATAGATCGGCCTTTCAGATGCTTTATGACGCTGTCAGGCCCCATGTCGGATCGTTCAACGCTTTGACAGAGGGGCCCAATGGAGGGCTTTTGAACTTAGCCGTTAAAGACATTGGAACAAAAACAATTTTTGACACTAATGATGCCACTGGCTCGGGAAATAAACTGAGAATAAGAGTTGACTCTGTGCAGATTGCCAAACCGCAAGTTCCTTCGACCGACAAACTCTCGGTCGTTAGAAACACCTACCCTGCAGAGTGTAGAGAAAGAATGACCACTTACCGGGCGAGACTCCTGCTCAAAGTGTGTTGGTCTATTAACGATGGCGAAGAGATCAGTGAAGTCAGAGAAGCAGGTCAAATCCCGATCATGTTGCAATCCAACAGATGTCACCTTGAAAACCTGTCCCCTGATCAGCTTATTAAATTAAGAGAAGAGAGCGATGAACTGGGAGGTTATTTTATTGTCAATGGTATTGAAAAACTGATCAGAATGCTCATTGTGCAAAGACGCAACCATCCGATGGCTATCATCAGACCATCGTTCGCTAATAGAGGCACATCGTATTCGCATTTTGGTGTTCAGATTCGCTCGGTGAGGCCAGACCAAACTTCGCAGACAAATGTTTTGCACTACTTGAATGATGGAAATGTTACGTTCAGGTTTTCTTGGAGAAAGAACGAGTATTTGATCCCTGTCGTGATGATCTTGAAAGCATTGATCGAAACTAATGATAGAGAAATTTTTGATGGTGTGGTGGGTGCCGACACTGGAAATTCTTTCTTGACAGATCGTTTGGAGTTGTTGTTGAGAACTTATAAGAACTACAATCTCTACTCTCAAAAAGAGACCCTAGCATATCTTGGTGACAAATTCAGGGTGGTGTTTGGTGCTACCCCTGACATGTCTGATGTCAGCGTGGGTGAGGAAGTTATCAAGAGAATTGTTCTAGTCCACTTGGAAAACAACGAGGACAAATTCCGTATGCTCTTATTCATGATCAGAAAACTCTACTCTTTAGTGGCCGGAGATTGCTCTCCAGACAATCCGGATGCAACTCAGCATCAAGAGATTTTGCTGGGGGGCTTCCTATATGGAATGATTTTGAAAGAAAAAATTGAGGAATACCTCCAAAACATCAGATTGCAAATACAATCTGACATCAATAGAGGCATTGCGGTGAATTTCTCAGACCGGAAGTACATGTCGAGAGTGTTCTTGAGAATCAATGAAAATATTGGCCAAAAGCTGCAGTACTTTTTGTCAACCGGTAACTTGGTTTCGCAATCTGGATTAGACTTGCAACAGGTGAGTGGTTACACTGTGGTGGCAGAAAAAATCAATTTCCACCGTTTTATTTCTCACTTCCGAATGGTCCACAGAGGTTCGTTCTTTGCGCAGTTGAAGACCACGGCGGTCCGTAAATTACTCCCCGAATCGTGGGGATTTTTGTGTCCTGTCCACACACCAGATGGATCTCCTTGTGGACTGCTAAATCACCTGGCCCACAAATGCCAAATTACTACCAAAGCATCCGACGTCACAAAGGTCCCAAAGCTCCTCCACAAGCTGGGTGTCTCACCTACTGCGTCCGCTATAAATATATCTGGTCCAAATGTTTGCTGTGTTCAATTGGACGGTAGAATCATTGGCTGGTGCTCTCACAAGCAGGGAAAGATCGTTGCAGATACCCTGAGATTTTGGAAGGTGGAAGGAAACCACGATATTCCGCTCGATTTGGAAATTGGATATGTTCCGCCATCCTCTGGCGGTCAATATCCAGGTCTTTATCTGTTTGCTGGACCTTCGAGAATGGTTAGACCAGTCAGGTATCTTCCTTTGGATAAAGAGGATATTGTTGGTCCCTTCGAGCAAGTTTTCATGAATGTTGCCGTTATTCCTTCTGAGATCGAAAATAATATTCACACACACGTTGAATTTGCACCAACCAATATCTTGTCCATCCTAGCTAATTTAACACCGTTTTCGGATTTCAATCAGTCGCCAAGAAACATGTACCAATGCCAGATGGGTAAGCAAACCATGGGAACTCCTGGTGTTGCGCTGTGCCACAGAAGCGACAACAAGCTCTACCGTCTTCAATCAGGTCAGACACCAATCGTTAAAGCCAATCTTTATGACGATTATGGGATGGATAATTTCCCTAACGGTACCAACGCAGTGGTTGCTGTTATATCGTATACTGGGTATGATATGGACGATGCAATGATAATCAATAAGTCCGCTGATGAGAGGGGATTCGGTTACGGAGTGGTGTACAAAGTTGAAAAAGTGGACTTATCCTTGAATAGAAAGAGAGGAGATCCAATCACTCAACATTTTGGCTTTGGAAGCGATGAATGGCCTGAAAGCTGGAAAGAAAAGCTAGATAACGATGGGCTGCCACACATCGGAGTTCACGTGGAAGAGGGGGACCCTATTTGCGCTTATTACGATGATATTTTGGGCAAAACTAAAGTGAAGACCTACCATAGCTCTGAGCCAGCTTTCATTGAGGAAGTGAAGCTTCTGGGAGACGACAATGGAACAAGCGAGTTCCAGACGCTTTCGATAAAGTACCGTATCACCAGACAGCCATTAATCGGAGACAAGTTCTCGTCAAGACACGGCCAAAAGGGTGTTTGTTCGAGAAAGTGGCCTCAAATTGATATGCCTTTCAGCGAGACTGGTATTCAGCCGGACGTGATCATCAATCCGCATGCGTTCCCATCGAGAATGACTATTGGTATGTTTGTCGAGTCTCTTGCCGGAAAAGCTGGAGCTTTACACGGTATTGCCCAGGACGCAACTCCATGGAAGTTCAGCGAATCTGACACACCAGCCGACTATTTCGGTGAGCAGCTCCAAAAGGCCGGATACAACTACCACGGAAATGAGCCGTTGTATTCTGGTGTGACAGGAGAAGAGCTTCGCGCCGACATATACATTGGTGTCGTTTATTACCAAAGATTGAGACACATGGTGAACGATAAATTCCAAGTCAGATCTACAGGTCCAGTGAACTCTCTCACATTGCAACCTGTCAAAGGTAGAAAGAGACACGGAGGTATTCGTGTGGGAGAGATGGAGAGAGATGCTCTTATTGGTCACGGAACATCTTTCTTGCTTCAAGACAGACTGCTCAACTGCTCGGATTACACACAAACTGCCATTTGTCGATCATGTGGCTCGTTGCTGTCCACGCAAATGTCTGTCCCTCGTATTGGCACTCAGGCGACTACGAGATGTCGCCGCTGTGCCAAAAAAGTTGATCGTGTGCTACAGAATACGGACGAAATGGATATTTGGGAGGACGGTCAGGGAACCAAGTTTATTGGTGGCGGAGATACAACCACTGTTGCTATTCCGTTTGTTCTCAAGTATCTGGATTCTGAGCTGTCAGCTATGGGTATCCGCATGCACTACAATGTTGTGCCCTAGAGGATGGGAAATTTTTACATACCATAAAACCTTACACCGGATGTACAAATTTCCTTAAAAACTAATTTCATTAGATCTATCGCGTAAAAGCTGTACAAACAGACGATGAGCGAACTGCACCTGCCACAGGGCTACAATCTACGCCCACTAGAAAAGGAAGATTTTGACAGGGGATACCTGCAAACATTGGAGACTTTGACATCGGTAGGTGATGTAGATCAAGAGCACTTCAATGACATAGTTGATTACTGGAAGTCACAGCCCAAAACTTATAAAAACTTGGTGATCACCGACTACGAATCGCAAGTGGTGGCGGTTGGGTCATTGATTGTGGAGACAAAATTGATTCACAGCTGTGCCAAAGTAGGCCATATTGAAGATATAGCTGTGAGACCCGATCAGCAAGGAAAAAAGCTGGGTCTGTATTTGATTCGTCAGTTGATTGAACTTGCTAAGGAAGAAGGCTGTTACAAAGCTATATTAGATTGCGACCCAAAAAATGAGGGATTCTATGTGAAATGCGGAATGTCCAGAGCTGGACTCGAGATGGAGTACCGTTTTTAGTGCAAGAGGTTTTTGACAAGATGACTAACAGCCCCAGCTATGCCGTCTACCTTCACCAAGACATTGAATGTGTCGTCGAGGTCGACGCTAGTCTCGCCATAGGTATACATGCACTCCAATTTGGATTGGAATTCGCCAACAAATTCGGCGTCGTCACTGTCAAACGAAATCTTCCAATTCAATGTCAACCGCTTGCCATCTTTGGTAATACTTACAATCTGGCAGTTTTTAAATCGAGCAAACACAGCTAGTCTGTCGTTTTGTAATTTTGCAGAAATATTGTTCACATTGTATTCCGCGCCAAGGCTATCAAATAGCTGTGTCCAGAGCGCTAATCTGCGCTTTGCTAAATTAATATATGAATTAGTTGCGTAGATGAAAAGTGACAAGTTTCTCTTGGCACATGCAAGCCTAATTAGCTTGTTTATTTCTGCCATTTCGCTCACAATTGAGTGTTTCGATTTTGTAATTTCGAGATTTTCAACCTTCTCTTGTGAAAACTCAACAGCTACCTTGAACTCCAAATAGTATTTAAAAGTTAAAGTGAATGTAAATATCCCTGCCCCTTGTTGAACATCAGAGATAACCATATGAGGATAGAACATTTTGACAAGATGGAGCCGCTTTTCCATATCGATTGATGGGAGATTGGAATGTTCTTGGAGTATTTGACAAGTTTGAAGGTATTCTTGCAAATTGAATTGACTCTCACCACTTAATTCGATTTTGCGCTTTCTGAGCTCATCAACCCTTTGGACCAAGTCATCTCGTTCGAACTCAAGGTTCAATATTTGTTGCCTGAGGTTGAAATATTCCTCTGCAGACATTGTTTTGGTGAATTGCAAACAACTTGATCCTCCTTGAAATCCACACACGACCTCAAAACAACAAGTTGAAAAAAATAGCTTTTTCAAACCATTAAACGTGCAAAATGGTATCCACGCCAGAGCTTAAAAAATTCGTGGATAAAAATCTCAAAGTTACACTCAACTCATCGAGAGTAGTCAGAGGGAGACTCGCAGGATATGACCTTTTCCTCAACTTAAACTTATCAGATGCTGTGGAACTAATTACAAATAAACAATTTACAGAGGAAGTGAAAGTGGGAAGTTGTATCATCAGAGGTAATTCGGTCATTAGCATAGAACCAGTGGAATGATAAGCCTTCTGCCACCACGTTCGCTATACATCAGAAAAGGCCTTTTCCAGAAATAAATCGTGCTCTGATTCCTCTCTGTCCGCCGAGTCGTCAACGAAACTCACTATCCGTCTCAGATCTTTATAATAGTTGATCTGAAACTCATCCAGTTTGTCTTTGTGCACGCTTGAGAAATTCTCGTCGCTTTGTGTAATCAATAGATAGTCCAATTTGTGCATGCAATTTAAATGCCCTAGTTTTAATCTTTTGCGTTTGAGGTCATCCGCACGTTTCAGTATAAGATCTCTCAGAAATAAGGCCATGTAGTGATTTTTGTTTCGTTTATTAATCATCATTTTCGATGTTGACCCAGATCTAACATCTGAACTTAATAAAGCTTCGATATGGCTCAAGTTAAGCTTGATCGGCCCAATGCTGGTCTTCTTCTTTTTGCGTGCTTTATCTCCTTGCAAATATTCACCTTGGGGGTTGGACTCAGCATTCGCTGTCCCATTTTCTTCCGTGTTAAGAGCTTGTTTCAACTTTTTTATATCTGAGTCTTCGAGTCCCAACGCCGTTAAGTCAGCATCCGTATCATTAGCATCCGTTGACTTCTTCGACTTTTTAGCACGTTTTGCTTTCTTTGACTCATCATCACTTGGAGCGTCATCTAAGAATTTGAGTCGTAGATTTTTCATATAGAAGGCAAATGCCTTTTCATTTTCTGTATCAACATCGTTGATCAATTGAGATGGGTCCTGGCTTTGCTCAGGTGAATATTTCTTCGTTGGGGGCACGAGCTGTCTGAGCTTTCCAATGAGGTCCAAGTTATCATGAGCAATTTCTTCTGCCACATTCAGTCTAGAATCAATTGTGATAGGAGCTAACGAGTTATTATTGAAAGGGTTAGTTAAAATCTTCTCCGCTTTGAAGTCAGTCTCCAAGAAAAGGTAGATCAACCATAAAAACCTCTTCACCTCGTCGTTTGGATCTGACTCTGATTTCAGCCAGATGTCATTGAATAGAGATCCCGAAGAAGTGGCAAAGCCCGTACGGCCAGTGTCGTCGGTTTCACTTTGTGGCAACTGCTGAGCAGTCGGGAAAAAAAGCTTTCCAATTTCATATTCATGAACACAAAGCAGAAACAGTAAGCTGACAACGTTCAGATGGAATTTATTGTCTTCGTTCATCCCCAAAATGAACTCCTTGAAATTTTTTGGAACTTCTTGGTTCAAGTCATTGATTGATTTGAGTATTGACTTAATGCGGGGCGTATCTTGTAATGGCTTCACCGCAGACATAGGGAAGTAGTTTTTCGTGTCTTCCGTCTTGAGTCTGGCTTCAACAGGATGAAGGACGTAGAATTTTTCAAAGATAGAAGTATGGTCTCCGACATGCAAAGAGGGGACAGAATGATAGGTTCTAAATTGCGATTTCATCGCATGGTCAAAATTCACAGTCGTATTCAGGCGGCCAATATTAACGAGAATGCTGATAACTGAGAAATTTAAGGCATAGCTTAGATCATGCGAAAGGCGATCTTTCAAGACTTTCGAAACCTTGCTACTCTTCATGAGAGTTACGAGGTAAAGCTCAAAGAACGTCAAATGAGATCCATCATTATAATGCTCCGTGCCAAATTCATCTCTGTAGTATTTGAAATGCTCGGGCCAATCGAAATTCTCCCCCGACTTTTTGAAAGGGTTAGAGAATACTCTGTTGTTGTTGAAGAATAATTTCATCAAAAAAACGAAGCGTATATCCTTTCGCCAGTAAGGCTCCCCATCAGCCTTCTTCAAGTGTCTAGTCCGTGAATTGGTCAGTACTGATGAATGTAGCTTCTCTTTAACTCCGTCATCAGATTGTCTTTTGCGTTTTTTCGTATCATCAGCTTCCGTGATCTTATCTTCAGAATCGACTGGAAGTGGATCTGAGAACTTAGAATACTGATCTGTCAGTGGATCGGTGGGTTCCATATTCTGATCTGCCTGCAAGTTATTAGTTATGCTGTCATGAACTGGATCGAAAGACATGTTTGAAAAGTGTTCAAATCTTTACGACCTCGCATTGGACAAAATGGTGCACGGTTGTCAAGATTCTCAAGGAACCCTTTAGTCTGATTTCTTTTCTATTATTTCAAGCCAGATAAGTGGAGGTGTAAGGATTGATCGTACACGTGCCCTGGGGCCCATGATTATTTAATTTTTGCTGCACTACATAATTGTGACGTTCAGAAAAGTTGCATTGGTGTTTATTTGAGCCTAGTAAGTCAATACAGCATGTTGTTTGGAGTGAAGCTCCAAAACGAGGTGTTTCCTCCATGGAAAAACTATTACATCGATTATGATCATTTGAAGAAGCTGTTGAAGGAAAACGTTATCGAATCAACAGAAAACTCTACTAAGGCAGGATCCTCCTCAGCTATCAGTGCATGGTCTGAAAAAGATGAGGCAGAATTTGCTTCGCAATTGGACTCTGAGTTGGAAAAGGTGTATACTTTCCAGATTTCGAAGTACAAGGAACTCGATGAGGAAATATCTAAGCTGGAACTTCAAAGCGAAGAGTACTTGAAAAGCATTTCCGAGAAAAAAAGCGCAGATTTTGACGCCAAGGCATTTCAGAAAAAGCTCGAAGAGCTTTTGTGGTTGGCAAAGGAATTAGATCACTTTGCGAGACTCAATTTCACTGGATTCATTAAGATTGTCAAGAAGCATGATAGACTGCATAAAGGCTACTCTGTGAAAGCGTTGTTGAGCGTAAGAATGAAGTCATTACCATTGAATAACATTAGTGAGGACACTTCTCCATATCTTTTCAGAATCTCGACCTTATACTCTTTTGTTAGAGACCAAATGGGCTCTAGTTCGTTGTCGACTTCTCTTCAAAACTCGATTCAGAAATTGTCATCATCTGGAAGGATCTCGACTACTCCAAGTGCCTCGCTGAACAACGTGGGTCAAAAAGACTATGGATACAAAGTTCTCAAGTTCTGGATCCATCCTGACAATTTAATGGAAATTAAAACCACTATTTTGAGACATCTTCCGGTCCTAATTTATACTAACCAGAATGACGACGATGATGATGAGTATAATGTGGACCCAAAAATTACATCTCTCTATTTTGATAACAGACAGTTCGAATTGTACAACAATAAACTACTCAAAAATTTGAACAAAACGCCCTCGCTTAGGATAAGATGGTCAGGAAAACTAAGGGATAACCCAGAACTCACGATCGAGAAGAAGATCTTTGACTACGACACAGGGACTTCTAATGATGTCCGTCTCTCATTGAAGGAGAAGTATATAAATGACTTCATTTTCCAAAAAAATCCCAAAGACGAACAAGAGGATATGGAGCTTCCAAACCGCCCGAAGAATGATTCCAATACCAAACTGACCCTTGAGAAGTTTGTCAAAAGATTGGAGAGAAAGGGCATCTCAAAGGAATCAATTGATAAACTCTCTTCCAACTTCAAGGAATTGCAACAATTCATTAGAGAGAACGATTTGCAACCGACTTTGAGAACTGTTCACACGAGAACTGCATTCCAAATGCCAGGTGACGATAGAGTTCGAATTACAATCGATTCTGACATTTTGTTCATCAGGGAAGACTCTTTTGACCCTGACAGGCCAATCAGAAATCCAAGAGAATGGCATAGAATGGACATTGATTCCTCAATTGACGATCCGTATTCGCTTCTTAGAAAGGGTGAGTACACCAAATTCCCTTATTCCGTCATGGAAATCAAAGTGGCCAACTCTATTTTCAATAATCCTTCCTCCAGAACCCTAGCTTGGATCAATGATTTAACTAATGGGCATTTAGTAAAGGAGGTTCCAAATTTCTCAAAGTTCATCCAAGGTATTTCGTCTCTCTTTTTGGAAGATGACAATCTGGATATTCTTCCTTTCTGGCTTCCGGAGCTCGAGAATGACATTAGGAAGAATCCCGAACAAGCCTATCATGATTCAAGAGAGAAGCAAATAAGGCAGCAACAGCAGGACGAGATATTAAGGAATTTGAAAAAGAAGGTTAGCGAGAGCCCTAATCCTGTGACCAACACGGGAACGGTGCATTTGGACCAAATAGTCGAGGAGGAAGAGGATTTGGACGATAATGAGTCTTCCGATGAAGAGTCTGCCACAGCCTTGAGCCCTTCGGGGAAATCAACTTTCAACTTGGTTTCGACTTCCAATACTCTGATTACATCTGGTGCCCCATCTGAATCCAAAAGTTTTACTGAACCTCCAAGAAAGAAAAAGTTGAATGTTGCTTCCTATTTTATGCCTGTGTTTTCTAAAGTATCCAAACTAGAAGGATACGAGTCTGAAGATGAGGAGATTGTTCTGCCTCCAGGAGTGGTTAAGCCAAAAACTTTGATCAAGCAGTCTGGCCCAATCAAAGTAGAAGCTAAAGTTTGGCTTGCTAATGAGCGTACATTTGTTCGGTGGTTGCATGTCACTACCTTGCTGTCAGCATTGACATTCACAATATATGCATCTGTGTCTTCGTCACACATCCCGGTTGTTGCCACCAACATTGCGTACATCTACTTTGCGCTGACCCTATTTTCCGGAGTTTGGGCCTATGCAATTTACATGAAGAGGCTGGAGCTGATCAAGCTCAGATCTGGAAGACACTTGGATGGTGTCTTTGGTCCACTGGTTGTAGCGCTGGTGCTTATTTTCAGCTTGTGTCTTGAATATTATGCTGGCGTGAAGAAATACAACGAAAAACACTCACTACTTACCAGTGAAGGCGTACTCACCTCTACCAATGATGAAGTGAATGCGCTGCACCCAATAGCAAAACTTTCATTACAAAAAATTGTCTCCTTTTTTGACTCTATATAGTCAATGCAACGATATAATACCTGTATCAATTTTTCAACAGGCTGAGCTTGATTGTATTGACTTCGTCTTTTGTCACCAAATAATCATTGAGTCCCAGTCCATCATCTGTTGCTATACATGTCAGCAATACCTTCAAGTTAGCAAGTAAGTCGTGGTCATCAAGCTTGGTAAGATTTTCTGATTCGAAAATTTGCTGTAGATTCTTTAATAGTAGTGATAATCCAAATTCAAACCGGATAGCCAGGTTACTATTTTGAACAACAAATAGAGGGTAAACACGAAGCTTAGTTTGCATTTTAGAGACTGGATCCGTAATGTATGAATTAGAGCCAAAAAACTTGAGTGGATATCTCAAAGGTACGTTCAGATAGTTTGACAATTTGATCACAAGGAGAACCACTATACCAAGTAGTGAATTGGTTTTCTCTATTTCGATGCGAGTCATTTTCAGATAGTTCAAGCTTTGTGGGAGCTTGTACCCAAAGAGCGAGAACTCGAGGTTATCAGATATTGCTATAGGAAAAATTGTTAAGAGTGTATTGGCTATTCTGGACTTTTCTTTCGATATTCGCAATATTATGGACTCTAGGTCCAATAAGTAGTGAGCATAATCTTCGCGCTTATACTCTGTCAATAATCCGTGACGTGTTTTACATTCCTTTGCGTGCTGAATGTCGGTAAGACGAGAAATTTGCTGCTTGAGAAGTTTATTGCTCAATTTTTGACTATCAATGAGCATTTTCAGACAATTGATGACCACTGGACTGCTCTTCGGGGGCAAGGAGTCTCTCAATAGTGATTCAATTTTATCGGTGAGAACTTTCTTAGAGGAAAGCAGATCCACCAAGCAGACAGTCAAATTATTCAGCTTCATAATCTGATCAAAAGTGCAGGTTGGCTCTTCACGAAGGTAACTCCCAGCACTTTTGTTAGAATGATAGACCTCCAAGTCTTTGATCACTTCTCTAGGCAAATATGTGCTTGACTGTACATAGTAACAGTCATCATTTAACTTGAGAAGCAGCAAATTTGGTTCGTTCCTCAACTTGGATTCTATGACCTCGAAATCGCTACCAAGATTGACCAAAAATGAGAGTTTCACATTATATCGTAATAGCAATTTCCACTCCATATCTATTTTGGCGTAAAGGTTGATAGTGAATGATTTAAGAGATAAACCAGAAAGCTGTATATTGTCCCAAATATGTATCGAGTCAGAGAATACTCGACTAATGTAAAATGGGCTCTTGGTATCTAAAAAATGATTGATTGTGAAAAAGCACTCCAAAAACATACGCTTGTTGATTGCCTGAACCTCTAGTTGACGCTCCACAGGATTAGCTCCTAATTGAAGCTTATCTTGACTGGGAAACTCTTCATATCGAGACAATTGAATCAGGTCTCCTACCTGGCTCAATGTCTTGACCTTGTTATTCTGGGTAATTGCAGTGTTGGCCATATTTACGGTGGATTTTGTCTTCAATCTCAGTAATCGGGGATCTTTGCCAGACACATTTTCAGGTAATTTAAGGTTCCTCACCACGACTGCCTGCACATGACGAATTTTTCTTTGGTTTCTAGCACTGAAAGCTTGTCGCTGAGATAAGTTCCAGCTTCTGGACTGTTCGCATTCCAGGTGAGGTACAGATGTCATCAAGTATTTGGTTTTTAAGATTATTTATTTTGCACCACACAGCCAGTCAGATTTTTTTCAATGCCTTTCATGATAACGCTAGCTCATTTTTGCGAAGTCCATGGTCCGTCCATGGTGATCTGTACCCAAAACGTTCATTCGGGAGAGTCTGAAGACTCTTATTATGGAACAAAAGTACCACCATCCTCAGTGTGCAAGTCATGTGCATTCATTGTACCCCACGAGAGCACAAGTCTCCGGACGCAGTCCGGAGATCAAACTTACATTAGCACGCAGCATCCATCTTCACAACCCAGATATGCAGCTCTACGTCAAACGATTATGCGAGTCTTCACGATTGAATCGAATCATGATATTAATAAACCTTTGAGTTTTGGAGATTCTAAGAACGGATATTCTGTGAGTCTGGGCTTCAAGCTTATAGACGATACCGCTAGGGGGTCGGAAAGACGATATTCGCTTATTTTCACTAGCGACAGTGAGCAGAAATTGTACGAAAACTACTCCGTTATACTTGATCAGCTGACTGCCATGGTCCATTTCATAACGTCAAAATCGATGCACATCATCGAGAACCGTCGCAAGAACGAAAACAATAATGAGACATACCTGCGTAGGGGGTCTCGGATGCCTAAAAACAGAAGCATCATGGACTTGTTGCAAGATGACAAGTTTTTTGTAAGACTACACTTGTGGGCTTCATCATTACTCGACCAATTAATAGTATAACGATACACAGCGCATAGAGAGAAAGCAAGAATGGATTTAGGCAACCTCTTGGTCTGGGTAGGTTCTCAAATCCAACGTAAGAGTTTTAGAAGTATTGAGCTTCTGCTCTCTGTAGATTCCGACCAAAGCATCACTTCGTTCGAAAAGTCCATTTTTCAGGCTGATAACGATAAACTGGAAATTTGGACCTGCGTTCTTGGCAATATAATTAGCAATTTTGTTCACGTTAGCGTTGTCAAGGGCTGCATCAACTTCATCCAACACAAAGAATGGTGAAGGATGATGCGAGTGAATCGTAAACAGCAGAGCGAGAGCTGCAATAGTTTTCTCTCCGCCAGAGAGAAGCTCCATGTCTCTAAATCTCTTCATTGGGGGCATGGCATGATACTTCACACCGTGCAGATACGGCTCATCTTCGTCTTCCAGAGTCAGGTATGCAGATCCCCCGAGTGGAGAAACATTGGATTTCGTGAGGTCTTTATAGACTCCATCTATCGTCGCTGCTATGTGGTTGAAGGTTTCCATGAACTGTTTATATCTCTTGGATTTGACAGTCTGGAACTCTGCCGCAATCTTTTTCTCCTCTTGCTTGGCGTCAGAAAATTCTGCCTCCAAATCAGCGAGTCTCCGTTGAACATCTTCCAGTCTTTCGCGAGCCTTCATATTAGGGCTCATTGATGATAGTTCTGCCGTGATTTGATCAATTTCTTTTTTCAAGTCGCTCAGCAACTCCTCAAGTGCTCCTGACTTGAAGCGAGACTGCAGGCTTGTGAAGTCAATCTCAATTTCATCCGCAAGCATATTCTCGTCGTCTTCTGATTCATCAAGGGGGATGTCATCCATGGAGCCAAATGTCAATGGCAGCTGCACGTTTTCTAGCTTGCAGTTTTTCAGGATGTTCCTTTTTTCAATCTTGGCTTTCTCGATCACATCTTCATAATTGGCAATCTTCTTGTCGATCTCGGCGACCTGCAAACGCACGTCAGAAACTCCGTCTTCCAACTGCTGGTAATCCATTAGTTGAGCTTTGCGTTGGCCACTAGCTCTTTGCAGCTCCTCCATGAGCACTTCATGTTCACTTTCAAAGGTGTCAAGATCGTTTTCTATCGTCTCTTTGCTCGAGACCAGCTTGTTATAGTTTTTCTCAAGATTTGACATGTCTTTATTAAGGCGGTTGAGGCGTGATTGATACTCATCCAGTCTGTCTTTTTCGAATCCAAGTTTGTTCTCGAGATATTGGATCTGTTTGATGTATCTTGCCTTTTCCTTAGAATGACCCCTTGACTTCGATCCGTATGTTTCTTCGTATTCGGATATGTTCGCAAAGTTGTGTTTTTGACAGAAGGTGGCATAAACCTCCTGCTGAATACTTGAGAGTTCCTTATTGGTAGAATCCACCTTTGACAATGCTTCTGTGAGCTTTTCTTTTAGATCTTGTAGCTCTTTCTCCAGTTGCGCCTGTATACTTCTTTGATTCTTGCTTTCAGAATCAATATCTTTCATCAGCCTATCCAGTTCGAGTCTGGCATTTTGCAGTGGAGGAATCTGTGCTTCTAATGTCTCTACCTCATCCATAAGCTTTTTTTCAAGAAGTTCACTAGTCTTTTTCCTTGAAAGTTCTTCCAATTTGGACTTAATTTCCTCCTTTTGGGAAATTAGTGCCTGGATCTCGGATTTGTCCCATCTTCGGCCCCCATTTGGTGTCAGACCACCCGTCATAAGACCAGATTTGTGAATTAGAGATCCCTCCAAAGTGACAACTTTCACGTCCACTTTTTTCTCCCATTTCACATATTTGGCGACGTCCATATTATCACAAACTATCGAGTTTCCACAGACATATTGAACAGCTCTTTCCAACTCAGGATCATATGTGACAACGTCAAAGGTTGGACGCACGTGCTCATCAATATTGCGGAGATAGGCTTGAGGAGGCTTTGACTCAACAGAGTCCAAAGGAATGAATGATGCCACTCCTGCCCTTTTCTCTTTTAAGTAGTCGATGCACTTGTTTGCAACACTGAGATTGTCCACAACAATCGCATCGAAATTCTTTCCCAGAATTGTGGAGACAGCAAGCTCATATCTTTTCTGTGTTGGCTTGCACAGATCGCACACTAGACCTCTAACCCCAGGAAAGAGTCTTTTGAGTGAGGAGCAATTTTCACGGAGTCTCTTCTCCCTGGCAGTTTCCCTCTGGCTTGCATGGAGCTCATTCAGTTGAACTAATACGTCTTTCAGAACCGTGTTCAACTCAAATTCTTCCTGCAAGATCTTTTCTTGGGTAGAACGCACAGCATAAAGTTCTTCCTTTTTCTTGTTGGTGGCATTTTGGGCATCATTGGTTTGAGAGACATTTTCTTGAATTTTAGAGCTAATTTCTGCCTTTTCGGTATCAAGCTCCCGAATTCGAGTGCTGACAATTTCGTTCTGACGTGAAACGTTTTCGATTTGCAGGTTCAAGGAGTTCACTGAATCCTCAAGGTCAAGCAATTTGGACTCGATATGTCCACCCTTCATCAAAAATGCCTCTCTTAGCCTTTTGTACTCCTCGAGAGCTCCAGTGCTCAGAGTCTCTACCGTGGTCGCATCGAACTCCCTCATATAGTTGTCATACGCTTTTTGAATCGTAGTTAACTGCTTCTCAATTGTCTCAACAACCGCGTTCTGTCGTTCGTGGTCATCGGATAAAGTTTCAATTCTCCTCTTATAATCACTAAGTTTTTTGGACAATTGCAACACCTCGGACTTCAGGGGGATCAAAGCTAGCTGCTTTTCTTTGATTAGAGTGGCCTTTTTCGAGATCGATCTTTCGATCTTATGATATTCACTATCATCCTTGTTACGTGCTTTAATCACGTTTTTCATCGCAGCTTCGTTGTCTTTTAAAACCTTTTGTAGATCTTTCAGTTCATGAGTGGCAGATTTGAGTTCACTCATACTCTGCTCAAGCTCCTTGTTATTATGGTATAGTTCAGTCAAGTACTTTGTCAAAATCAAATCGGAAAGTTCTTTGCTTTTCAGGTCGAATTGTTCAATTTCCATAGATTGGTTTTTGTATTGATTGAACTCCTCCCGAAGTGCCTTTTTCCTCGAATTCAACAATGCAGTAGTGTCGTGAGCTTTCTCTTTCTCCTCCATAAGCACGTCATAGTCTTTTTTATGATCAATCGAACCACTAATATTCTCGATCAGCCGCGTAAGCTCTTCCGGTGATTGCGACGCGATCTTCTCAACATCTCCCTGAAACACCAAGAAATTCCTAGCTTTGATCAAGATATTTTCTTTCCTTAGCACATCTGCATACTGAGTCGCGCTCACAGTTTTGTTGTTGATTCTGTACTCGCTAGTACCTGTCTCGTTAATACTTCTTTTGAGCTTCAAGATATCTCCGTTCGATTTTTCGTAAATAGCCATCACGTATGCCGTGCAGGGATCATTCTCCTTTTCTTCACCATCATCACTTTCACCCAAAACTCTACCTCTGTAAATCAGATCTTTCAAATTGTTTGATCTTAAATGGCTAGATTTGATTCCCAACACGAACGAGATCGCATCCATCATGTTGGATTTGCCAGATCCGTTAGGTCCAATGATGGAGGTGAAAAATGAGCTACCAAAACCAATAGACGAAATGCCCCGGTACGACTTAAAGTTGTATAGCTCAAGACCAACAAGTCTCCCCATTATTGTTGATTTGCAATGTAATTAATTATTTCAATATATTTATTACGCGTTAGCTTTTTTTCCCCTTTATCTATATCTATTCGAGTTTTCACGCGTTGCAAAATATATAAAGTGAAGATAGACGCGTCTATTTTTTCATAAGTGGACCATTAAGTTGGGCTTCAAAGATATCGAAATCGTACACTTCTTCTGTCAAACCGCTTGACTCACCTTTGAGATATGCCTTAACTGCATCTCCCCAGAGAATCTTATTTTTATAAATAGCAAAATCATCTGACAGACCGTCGATGGCGCCGCAAAAGTCCTCAGCCCTATTTTCGGCTTTAATTTTTGTCAACGGAGTGGTGTAAGTCCTGATAAACATGATATCAGCCTTGGTCCTCGGTAACCTTGTAAAACACTGTTTTTCGACTCGCATAAACACTTTGTTGAAATCGAGATCTTCAGGAGAAAGCGGCTGGACTGACGATGATGTGCGAGTTCCGTGATTCATAGAAGGAGCAAATATGTTAGTATGTGCCTGCATACTCCAATTGTACCTAACAAGAAACTCATTGACGCGAAGTCTCTCAAAGAATTTGTTCATTGAAACTTTCAGCCGCTCAAGGTATTGCGGAACAGGACCATGGATTGCAGTCAAAGGTTTATTAAATTTTTCGCCGGGAACAAAGCCATTTGGGTAGCAGGAAATACCTGCTCTCCAGACATACTCGTTCTGAAATTCACCCTCGTCCCCATTTTTGAGTAAAATGATAAAGTCTTCCTCAATGGTGCGTCCCAAAAATTTGAGGACTTCTAGTCGATCCTCCGATGTAGGATCCAGTGGAAAAGACTCATCTTTGATCTTGTTATAGAAGGTGGTACCATTATCTTTTGTGAAAAAATACATCGGATATTTCTTCATTAGGAAGTCAGTAACGGTGCAATACAATTCTTTCAGAGCGTATTCTGCGGTAGGATGGCAAGCCATTGAGATATCAGCTCTTTCATTCATGATTTTTTCTCTGAGCTTTGTGGACTTCAAATAAGTATTTTCAATCACAATGATGTTTTGCGGATCGGCTTTCTGAATAGCCATATTGATCCTATAAGGTGCGTTCTTGAAAGGCCTATAAGGCGCTGGCTCCTCTTTTTCCCAATCAAAATTCGGATCAACAGGCTCAATTGTCACTTCTGGCAGCGCATCTTTAGCTGAAAATTTTGATGTTGCCGATTGCTTAACTTTACCTCCATCAAGCGACCTAAGAGGACGTGGTAGCAGCTTTAATTGTATAGCAGATGCCGATAATATTAGTGACACTGCGACTAATAGTACTGGCAAACTGTATGGTCTGAAAACGTCTGGGATCTGTGAGAGAATCAATTCCATTGAAAAAAGCCAAACCGGGAATCTTTTAACATTTATAGGGATAAGATTTCGCTTCTTTCTTTTAGGGGTTAGATATACACGACGGCAAAATCAAAATTGGAAAGATAAGCTTTTATTTGGAATATGCAGTGTAAGGATGGATCTAGAAGACTGATTTAATATGATCCCGGATCTTCTATTCTTACAAAATATTAAACGTTACATGTCTTGACTCACAACATGCGGTCAATTTCCCTGCTAGTAAATCTGTCTAGCTCCTCAAGGTGATCCCACCATTTGAATAGATATGATTCGCAGATCAACTTGAACCATGGGGTGAACACCAAACTTGGATCCTTGAACATCTTTTTAAGTTCATCTGCTGTCACATAACGGGTGTCTTTCACCTCATTTGGGTTCGCCTTGAATGCTGGATTAGCTTTGATTATTAAAATGTAATCAATTTCGTGTTCTCCCCATGGTCCGTTGCTAGGTGCCATGTAATGAATTCTGGTCAAAAACTTGAAATTTTCAATAGGAACATCTTTCGGATGGATTCCCAACTCTTGTTCCAGCTTCCTTTGAGCTGCAGTCTTGGCTCCTAGAATGGATGAGTCCAGGTCTAATCCCAGTTCAGACCGAACACAAAGGGGATGGGAGCAACAAGTGTTGGTCCACATGGAGGGAAAGGTGATTTTCTCATCAGCCCTCTGCTGTAAGAGAAGCCTGTTGTCCGAGTCGAATAAAAAGACCGAAAATGCTCTATGGAGCAATCCCATATTGATATTATCCATGATATGACAGAGTTTTTTCGTTCCAGCACCGATTGCTCTATCATCATAATCTAGAACAATACAGTTCTCATCCATGAGTTTGATCTGCTCTTCATCATGACCTCGGAAAAGCGGGTTATATGTAGTAGAGCCATTTGATGTCGACGAAGATGACTCTCCAGTGGTATTTTCTAAGGGCGTCACTTCGGGGAATTTGGTCAGAATATCTTCTCTAGTGAGAGATTTAACTCGCTGATGATATTCGGACAACTTGCTCATTCTGCAGTTGCTCTAACGATTGACAAAGTGAACCCTTTTCCTGTTTAGTTTTTTTTTTTTTGAAATCCTACAATTTAACGAGAAGAATACATAAAATTGATGTCAAACCAAAAGTGGCTCAACAAGATGATAGAACGTTACATACATCATATAATCGGCTCATTGGTTCAAACAGCCATTTATTGATCTGAGAATTTCAAGAGTCATGATGTCCCAAATCAGGGGTTGAAGACCTCACTTGAATCACAAATTCAACATCCTTGCACTGGAATAAGTATCTGCTCTTCGGTTTCTTTTTCAGACAATCCTATTGCAGGAAAAATTTTTGTGAAAATTTTTTTTAACATTTCTTTTACGTAACCCTGATAGAATACTAGTACCTTTGGACGAAGGATAAAAAAAATTTTTTTTTTATAAAACAGTTTGCCCTTTTTCTATATTAAAACCTTTGTTTCATCAAAAGAGTAGTCAGAATGTCCGCTGCTGCCGAATCGAAACAGAGCGCAGAAGTTTTGTCCGAATTGTTTGGCAAACTAGCTGTTGCTACGCCAGAAGAGAGAGACTCTGCTGCTTCTAATGTCGCTTCTTTCCTCAACGGTGAAATCATCGAGCACGATGTCCCATACGAATTTTTCCAATCCTTGGAAAAGGCCATTAAGGACAAGAAGCAAGCTGTCAATGCTCTTGTCACTGTGACACACATTGCAAGCGCTTCTGACCTGTCCCCATCTGTCGAGCCATACATCGTTGGCCTTGTCGAGACCATTTCGTCGAAAGCTGGTGACAAGCAGCAAGATATCAGAGAGGCTGCTGCTGCTGCCCTCCTTGCCATTGCTAAAGCCGTGACTCCAGTTGCTATCAAGGACATCTTGGCTCGCTTGATCAAGTGTCTTCACGAGACCGCTAAATGGCAGGAAAAAATTGCTCTTTTGGATGCTATTGCTGTTTTGGTGGAGACCTCTAAGGCTCAGCTCGCTCTTAGAATGCCTGAGCTTATCCCAGTGCTGTCTGAGGCTATGTGGGACACCAAGCTTGACGTCAAGAAAGCCGCAACTGAGACCATGACCAAGACCACTGCAACCATCGAGAACAAGGATATTGAGCCTTTCATTCCAAAGCTCATTAGCTCTATTTCTGATCCAACTCAGGTTCCAGAGACTGTTCACGCTTTGGGTGCCACCACCTTCGTTTCTGAGGTCACCACCGCTGCTTTGTCCATCATGGTTCCATTGCTTTCTAGAGGTTTGGCCGAGAGAGACACTGCTATCAAGAGAAAGGCTGCTGTTATTATTGACAACATGTGTAAGCTCGTTGACGACCCACAAGTTGTTGCGCCATTCATGGAGAAGCTGTTCCCAGCTTTGAAGACAAACCTGTCTACTATTGCTGACCCTGAGGCTAGATCTGTTACTGAGAGAGCTTTGAACACTCTGAGAAGAGTTGGTGCTGTTCCAGCCGATGACAGCATTCCTGAAGTTTCTACCGCTGGTGATGTTGAGGTTAACCTTGCCATTTTGAAGGACCTGGTGAAGGACAAGCCATCTAGATTCGACATTGTTCAAACTTACGTTGCCGCTATTGCTGGTGATTTGATTGACGAGAGAAAGATCGACCCAGATGCTTGGTCTTCCGCTTTGACGCCGTTTTTGACCATCTTCTTGCACGAAAAGGAGTCGAAAGAGATTATTGAGGAGTTCAGAAAGAGATCCGTTGACAACATTCCTCAGCCACCAGTCTTTGAAGACGAGGATGATGAGGGTGAGGATCTCTGTAACTGTGAGTTCTCTCTGGCTTATGGTGCCAAGATCTTATTGAACAAGACTCAACTTAGATTGAAGAGAGCTAGAAGATACGGTCTTTGCGGTCCAAACGGTGCTGGTAAGTCTACTCTGATGAGGGCTATTGCCAACGGTCAAGTCGAAGGTTTCCCAACTCAAGAAGAATGTAGAACTGTCTATGTTGAGCACGACATTGACGGTTCCCACGCCGAGACTCCAGTTGTTGATTTCGTTCTGGAGCAAAATACTTCTCTTGACAGGGAGACGGTGAAAGCCAAGCTTTTGGAGTTTGGTTTCTCTGAGCAAATGATTGACATGCCTATTGCTGCTCTTTCCGGTGGTTGGAAGATGAAGTTGGCTCTTGCCAGAGCTGTGTTGGCCAACGCAGATATCTTGCTTTTGGATGAGCCAACTAACCACTTGGATACCGTCAACGTTGCTTGGTTGGTCAACTACTTGACCACCTGTAACATCACCTCGATTATTGTTTCCCACGACTCTGGATTCCTGGACAATGTCGTGCAATACATCATTCACTACGAAGGATTCAAGCTCAGAAAGTACAAGGGTAACCTTTCTGAATTGATCAAGAGAGTTCCATCTGCCAAATCCTACAAGGAACTTTCTGCGTCTGAAGTTGAGTTTAAGTTCCCAGAACCAGGTTTCTTGGAGGGTGTTAAGACCAAGCAAAAGGCAATTGTCAAGGTTTCCAACATGTCTTTCCAATACCCAGGTACTAGCAAGCCACAAATCTCTGACATCTCTTTCCAATGTTCGTTGTCGTCCAGAATTGCCGTCATTGGTCCAAACGGTGCTGGTAAGTCCACCTTGATTAATGTTTTGACTGGTGAGTTGCTTCCAACCAGTGGTGAAGTTTATGTCCATGAGAACTGTCGTATTGCTTACATCAAGCAACACGCTTTCGCCCACATCGACTCGCATTTGGACAAGACTCCATCCGAGTACATTCAATGGAGATTCCAAACCGGTGAAGACAGAGAAACCATGGACAGAGCTTCTAGACAAATCAACGAGAACGATGAGCAGGCCATGAACAAGATCTTCAAGATTGATGGTACCCCAAGAAGAATTCAAGGTATTCACGCTAGACGGAAGTTCAAGAACACTTATGAGTATGAGTGTTCTTTCCTGTTGGGTGAGAACGTTGGTATGAAATCCGAGAGATGGGTTCCAATGATGTCTGTTGACAACGCTTGGTTGCCAAGAGGTGAGCTCATTGAATCCCACGCTAAGATGGTTGCTGAGGTTGACATGAAGGAAGCTTTGGCTTCCGGTCAATTCAGACCTTTGACTAGAAAGGAGATTGAGGCCCACTGTGCTATGTTGGGATTGGATGCTGAATTGGTGTCCCACTCTAGAATCAGAGGTCTTTCTGGTGGTCAAAAGGTGAAGTTGGTTTTGGCTGCTTGTACATGGCAAAGACCTCACTTGATTGTTTTGGATGAGCCAACTAACTATTTGGACAGAGACTCTTTGGGAGCTTTGTCCAAGGCTTTGAAGTCTTTCGAGGGTGGTGTCATCATCATTACCCACTCTGCAGAGTTCACTAAGGATTTGACTGAGGAAGTCTGGGCCGTTGTTGACGGTAAGATGACCCCATCTGGTCACAACTGGGTCCAAGGCCAAGGTTCCGGTCCAAGATTGGAGAAGAAGAATGATGAGGAAGAAGAAAAGTTTGACGCTATGGGTAACAAGATTGTTACTACTAAAAAGAAGACTAAGCTTTCCTCTGCCGAACTGAGAAAGAAGAAGAAGGAAAGAATGAAGAAGAAGAAGGAATTGGGTGACGCTTACGTGTCTTCTGACGACGAATTCTGAATTCCCCCTCTTATTTTCAAAAGCCCTCATCATCCCCTTCTAATTGTTCTTTTTATCTAGGCTCTCTCTGATAATCAATACAATTTATATATACTCTATATTTCTTTTTTCACTGTAGCCCTTTTCACGTGATTACTGGGATCATTAATATATTTTGTATCCTTCCATTTTTACCGCTTCCTTCAGAAACCATGAATGATGTATTTTAATAGGCTAGTCATTTATACCTCTTTTTGTTCACTTGCTATATCCGCATACACTGGTTTTCAATCAGCGGTCAAGCTGAATACGACATGGAATGTCACAAATGAAGCACAAACCACCAACTCTTCCCTTTCAGCTTTGAGTTCTCAAGTAAAGTGCCCTTCCTATCCCCTCCTTCGAAATGATGACCAAATAAGCCCTGAAGAAAGAACTTATGTGATGAACAGAAAGCAGGAAGCAAAAAAACACGTGGTTGATCTTTTCACTCGCTTTAACATTGATGAAGTGAGCTCCAATTTTTTTGACAGCTATACCCCTAGTATAGCTATAAGCTTATCGGGAGGCTCATTTAGGTCTTTCCTTACTGCTGCTGGAGTTTTAGAAGCATTTGACTCTCGGACTCCCGGGGCAACAGATTATGGCCATCTGGGAGGATTATTGCAATCGACAACGTATATGGCTGGGGTCTCTGGTGGCTCGTGGTTGATTTTATCGTTGATGCAATACGATTTTGGACCTATTAGTGAGTTGAAACTAAACGGATCCTGGAAGCTCAACTCATCATCACTTCGAGGGCTACCCGAACTCAACATCAAATTTAAGGACTCTCAAAGATTGTTAGGGGATTTTCCAGCCAATATGCCAACAGTAACTGTGAAGACCTCCAACTCATCATCGTCGTTTATGGTATACTTCAAGAGTCTCTTCAAGCTCAACCAATTGAAAAATAACAGGAACGAAATGGACTCAAACTGGAATGAGGCTTTGCAATTTTATGAGACGCTACATGAAGAAGTTGCGCAACGCAAACAACATGGATATAAGACTTCTCTGACAGACTACTGGGGAAAAGCTATTGGTGATGTCATCTTCTCCAGCAATGGTCCCCACGACATGACCATGTCCGGTGCCAGAAATCTATCGAGCTTTAAATATCATATGCTACCTTTTCCAATTATCTTGACCAATTCTAAAAACGTCCACAAATCGAATGAAGGTCACAGAAGAATATTTGAGTTCAACCCGTATGAATTTGGATCATGGGAGGAATATCTTAAAGCTTTTGTAAGGTTGGACTACTTGGGAACAAAGATGTTGAACGGCAAGCCATTCACAGGGCTATGCACAATTGGCTATGATGAGATGACCTTCATAGCAGGAACTTCTTCAAGCTTATTCAACAGTATTTTAGGCCACTTTTGGAAATATATGGCTAGATCAAAGAAACAAACATATGAGTCTATGAAAACCATTCTGAATGTCTTTGGCTTGACTTCCTGCGAAGATATCAATGCTAACAAGTACATGGCAGATTATGCTCTCATCTACCCAAACCCATTTCACGGATATGGCAATACAACTCTCTCAAGCACAGTTCGAAATTCCACAGATCTGTATCTTGTTGATGGTGGCGAAGATGAGAACATCCCTTTTCAGCCTTTCCATCAGAAAGCAAGACATGTTGACGTAGTCATTGCAATCGACTCAAGCTCTGATCTTGACAACTTCCCAAACGGAACAAACATAGGCATTACGTCAAGTCAGTACCAGAAATCCAAATCGTTTTTTGTGTATGACGAAAAACGTTATGCGGTGTTTCCCAATATACCATCTCCTGAAATATTCGTTGAAAACAAGCTTAATAAACGCCCTGTGTTCTTCGGCTGTCACATTCAGTCAGCTTACAAATATCTTGGCGAAGAATCAAAATACTCCAATAAGACCTCAGAAACCTGGCTACCCCCGCTAATTGTGTACATACCAAATACCGGGTATACAACAGATTCCAATAAGTCGACATTCAAGTTGAGCTATGAAGAGAATGAAATGGCAACGATGATCGAGAATGGGTACTCAGTGGGGACTTATGGAAACAACTCCTATGACCAGACCTATTTCCAGTGTATCGGGTGCGCCATCATTAAACGGGAGCTGGATACAACAGGTAGAAATATCCCTAAGACATGCCAAAAATGCTTTGAAAACTTCTGTTATAATTAAAGCTCACTGATCAGGCTTTGAATTTCGGTGGAATCTTTGACAGTCTAATAGTATATCTTTGGTTGTGGCCCGAGCCAGCATTTTCATGTTCGATCTCGTGTAGGTGATGCAATAACTCATGCTCGACATCTTCTGCATGTTGCACCATCACGTCGGGATCATTTTCCGCATGATACTGGATCCAGTGATGTTTTTCATATTCTTCCTCAAAATCATACTCGTGTCCTGGACCGTACCCAAAATCTGGAAACTCTCCGCCTTTGCTAGAGTATTCCATCCACTCATCAAAGGAAATCTCTCCGTCACCGTCTTTATCGATTAGTGACATCACTTGTTGAACAAGGTGATTCTTCATATCGTCTGTGATGACTTCGGTGTCATCGTGAGATCCTGTACCGTCTCCCCTTCCAACTACTTCCTCTCTCAACAACCCGTACATTCTCAGAATATCAAGTTTGCTGAGACGTTTAGCATTTCTTGTATCGTGGAGAATAAATACAGATTTAGCGTCCGCATGATCTAGGTCATGCTCTTGTTTCATATGCCATCTTTGCCATGATCCCTCAAATTCATCTGGAACTTTCTCTCTCAATTCTTGACTGGAGGTTCCTTCCTGATGTGCGATAGCAATCCAGGCCAAAAAAAGTATGCTGAAGATATTCATCATGAAATATAAAAAGTATTATTTCTGATCCGACATCTTTTTTTTGCGTCGCGTCGATTAATCACTATCCGTTAACTATTTCTTGCAATTTTGCGTGCAAGTCCCCCAAGTCGTAGCTGGTTTCATTGTCTTTACGCGGAGCGACTCCAATACACTCAATTCCCAGTTCCCTAATTCGTTCGGTGTCTACATCAATCTCTTTGGAGGGATTGAGGTGAACTAAATGTGTAACGAAGGAGGAGTAGGAAAGCGTTGTCTGACATTTCACATTTCGTCTCTCGCAGCTTGTCTTCATTGAATATACCAGGGCCTTGTGTACAGCTTCTATAAAACCAAGGGCATCTAATGACTGTGTTTCACGATCCAGTGTCCCGTTGAGTAGCAGTATTTTTTTCTTGTTGCTGTTCTCGAGTATAGCTTCTCCGACTCCTTGTAGAATAAGAACAGGTATGATAGAGGTCATCAAAGATCCTATGGAGTACACAATCACATCGCAATTTGACACGCATTGAAGAACACGAGATTGAGCCACAGGATATATTTCCTCACCATATGGAGAGATATAGAAAATTCTGTCTATCGGTGCTGGTAGCGGAGCCGTGTCATCTTTATCCACATGCAACTGAGACTTTTTGAGGTCTGGATGAATGTAACTTGGCACTGCAAACTCACTTTCATCTTCGCTATCAGAGTCTAGAGTATGATTAGGTTCGACTTGGCTGGAGACTCCGTATAAAATTGCCTGGCTACCTAATTTATCAGCTGGAGCTGTAAAATGCACATTATCCAAAAATGATGAATACGTGCGAGACGGAGAAGCTTGTCCTGAGGGGACTATTGGGGGTGGATGTATTAAAGAATTGGATCTCACAATAGGAAAAGAGGATCCTGATTGATTGCTGTCTTTATTAACCTGTGGTTTCGAAGGGTGTGAAATCTGTGACTGTCCTGTAATGATTGTACCATCTTTGAGTAGGGCACTTATGTGATACGTGAAATTTGTGTTGAGACACGGGATAACTTGGAGTCTGGAGGAAACTCTTGCAACGCGTAGAATTAATTCTACTGCGGAATCCAAAGATCCACAGAAGAGTCTTGCACCAGTGAGAAACAAATTGCCAATGCTAGCAAGTTCAAGTCTGAAATTCTTTGTGCTATTCCGTGACCGTTTCAGAATCTCCATGTGAACGTGGATCAGAAAACTTCTAATGAGCTCTTTACATGCCGGATCCACGTCTGACCACAAGTCGTGAGAGCCTTCCACTATTGATCCCCATTCCAACTTGGCATCCGTAGATTTGCTGGAGAGCCTGTGGGAGAGCAAGTTGCGGATTCCTTGGCTTTCGTTAGGGATAAGTCGCACTATTCTTGACCTGAGGTCTCCAACAGAGCAACCACCTAACACTCTTATAATCTCTGATGTAGAGCCACCATTATCTGAAACAGGCAAAATGTGCGAGACAGAGGCAATTTGTCCCCCAGTTCCTAATAGATCTTGGAAAACATCTAAGATTGTGTTCGTGGCCGTGCCCCCTGAAACTACAGCCACGTTCACCATTAGAAGGTTCTAATCAAATAATGTAAACTTTTTTTTGTGATTGTCAGCCATCAGGAAATTCTCAGATCTGGGAACAAATGTCAGCTCTCCCTAATTGAAAGTTTGAGCTTAGTAGATGCTGCTATCTCTTCAATAGTGCGTAGGCTCCACGTGTCACAGGCATTCAACTCCATATCACAAACACCTTTGCACCAGAGTTCTCTAACTCCATCTCTCCAAGGAACTGATTTTTAGTTTTCAGCAAATAATGTCTCCTCCTGCTATTGTATTCACCGATTGGGATGGCACAGTAACCCTTCAAGACTCTAATGACGTTTTGACCGACAACCTTGGTTTTGGTTACGAGAAGAGAAAGGTTTTGAATGACCGCATGCTAAATGAGACCCTTTCTTTCAGAGAGGGTTTCGACGAGATGCTCCGGTCGATTCCTGCAAACGGTCATTCTTTCCAAGAGTGCGTTGACTACTTACTTCAGAACATTGAGTTGGATCCTGGGTTTAAAGACTTTTATCATTGGTGCCACGAACAAGGAATTCCCCTTTACGTTATCAGCAGCGGCATGTCCCCAATCATTGAGGCTTTGTTGAAGAAGCTTCTCGGCCAGCAAGTGATGGACCACGTGACCATTATTTCCAATGGTGTGGAAATCAATGGCAATGATTGGCATATTGTTTATCGTGACGATACTCCATTCGGACATGACAAGGCCGCGTCCATCAAGCAGTGTCTTGAAAACTACGATCTTAGTAAGAGGCCATACCTATTCTACTGCGGTGATGGAGTTTCCGACCTGTCTGCTGCAAAGTCCTGCGATCTGTTATTTGCGAGAAGAGGGAAAGATCTAGTTACTTTCTGTATTAAGCAGAAGATCCACTTCACTCAATTCGACTCCTTTAAGGATATACTGAGCAATGTTCAGAAGATCGTTTCTGGTGAAAAGAAACTGGAGGATTGCTTTGAATAGAGTTGATAGATCATTAATACACAGAATTGCTGTCAATAAATATACATTGCTTGATGCTAGCTGATAAGAACCCACATCAAAAAGAACAGTATTAGTATCCCAAAGATCTTCACCATCAGCCACCTATTACTGGTTACGGTGTTGTAGTACTTCAGAAGTTCCCTCTGTGCTCCGCTGATGTTGAGACTAATGTCTTCAACGTTGTTGTCTATTCTTTGAATAACCTCGCCCTGCTCTTGAACCATTGTGGCTAATTGCTGGAACAAACCACCAACTTCATTAATCGTAGACTCAATTGCCTCCACTGCTCTATTTCTTTCCTGCAGGTATTGATTACTTTGTTCCTCAAGTAGCATGAGTTGCTGTGATTGATCTGGTATAGACAGATAGTCCTGACTTGGTACCGACACATCTGGATCTTGTTCCATCGAAGATAGGAAAGGATTGTCCGAAATTTGTGTTCCTTTCTTTCGCAAAGCGTATGGCAGCACTTCGTTGCTTTTGCCATTTACTCCCGTGTCTTTGAGCGATCCATTTACAGAGGCAAGTAGTTGTTCTTGGCGGGACTTTTTGGCTAGCTCATTGCGCTGTCTAGTTTGCAAAACCTCTTTAAATGTTTCGCTAACGTTTTTCACTTTCGTGTTCAACAACTGCACAACATTCTTAGTATATGTGTTAATTTGATTATCACCGGATGACTTGGCTACGCTCGATTGTTGAAGTTCTTTCAACGATCTTTCGATCTTAAATATGTCTTGCTTGACAACATATGTCAACTCAATCATATCGGTGGGTTTATCGTTAAATAGTTGTTTCTGCTTTGCAAGTGCTGCCAGCTTCGCTAAAGAACTGGTGACTCGTGCAATGTCTTTTGCGATAAGACCAGCCTTCTTGGTAAACTCGCTCCGCTGAGATTTTGTGGGACCATTATGCGTAGTCGCTGTGGAATTTTTGTTGTGATTTTGCTTATTGAAAGTTGCCACACACTGGAGAAACTCAAGAGTTCTATCTTGGACGTTAGGGGGATATACGTCCATATTATTACAACTCAAGATAATTTGATACCAAATAGTTTTTAATAACAGACGATTATTTTTGGACGGGCTGCAAACCAAATTTAAATAAAACCCTAATATCCTTCCCGGCCCTATAAACCCAATTTTATAAATCAACTTTCTGACCACAGTCGTCACAAAAAAAGAAGATCTTGCTGCGTGCATCCCCATGAGACCTGGCTGTAAATTTCTCAGAGCCACAACTGGCACATTGAACTCTTGACTTCACCGATCCCGAGGTAACAATGGAATCTGCAGTTTCCTGATCTTGATCCCCATTTATTGTTTCCTGAGATGCCTCTCTATCATGCATAGATACAGATTTTGCTGCTTGTGTATCGTTTCTAAGCGAGCTATCATTTTCATCTGTGGTTGAGATAATAGGCACATGCCTATTCTCTAACTTAGAAGAAGCCAAGATTTCTTGAAGCTTCACATCAATGGACCTCACTTTTGAGTCGGAGAGAGTTGCATCTGAGGCTGCTTCTGAATTAGATATCCTTGCAATTTCATCTGTTGATGGGAAGAAAGATCTATCCCTATTTGGGGAATACAATGCAGCTCTGGTGGCTAGGAATTCCGAGTGGTCGAAATCTTTCCTTCCTCGATCGTTTTCATCTCCGCCGTTTATGGTACTTCTATTCAAAGAATTGCTCTTGTTCAAGAAACTAGAAGACCGTGATCTATTGCGAACTTTGGATAATGACTTGCGGTCAAGTTTCGCACCGAGCTTCTTGAAATTTGCACGGAACGCTTTTCGCTCAGGATAAGCAAAATCTCTGCGAAATACTCTGATTATACCATCGTCATCCGTGGTAACAATAATAGAGGTGGAAGGATCGTCCAACTCATCATCCCCTTTCTTCACGATCGGATCCGGACTCATTCTAGCTTTAAGATCAAAAATGGGGTCATTTGAAAGTTCCAGCAACTTCAATGTTGCCCTGGGAGCAAAAATGGCAACGTTACAACGTGAATGATGGACATGGAATGCGCCATAATTTTTATTTTTGTGTCGACAGTTTTCGTCCTTGAATAATGATGTGAGATCCCACGTCAGCTTATGACTGCCCTTCATCGTCTCTGGTGATTTCAGGGCATTGAGATCCAGCGCCCATAGATAAGCCCACCCATCTTCCGAACCTGAAATTATGAACGAATGGTTTTCATTGACAGATGCTCGAATTGTAGAATGCTCATTATTGTACCCTTTGTATCTAACATTCAATATCTTTTCTCTGTAACTGAAGAGCCTCACTCGTGAGTCATTGGTTGTAACAACCAGTTTCACGTCGTCCTTGGTTTCGAAAGCATCTATCCCTGTTACTCTGGGCGCTACATTGTTGCGCTTGATCTGCAATTTGTCAATCACATCAAGATCCTTGACCGACAATATGACAAAACCCCCAACTTCTCCTCCGAGAAACAATTCTTCTGCGTTAGGTGAAAACTCCATGCACGTAATTCGCATTCGAATATTCGTCTTTAACACAACGTCCTTCTCAAGAATGGACCATAGCTTCACCGAGCCATCCCACTGACAACTCAAGAAGAAGCGATCGTCTTTCTTGTGAAAAAGGACTTGAGTTGCAAAGTTTTTCAATTTGAAAGCAGCCAGGCAATCATTCCTGTCAACATGCCAGAGCTTAATAGTACTATCCTGAGAGCACGATATTAAAAATCCATTTTCCGACCAATCAATGCTCAGAACAGTATCATCGTGATGAAACTCGCGGACCGGACGATGCATGAAAAGAGGCGCAAATGGAGTTCTACCCTGTTTGTATTTCTTTGATTTTTTCCCTGGACATGAGTTGCACCAATTGGAACTGCCCTCTGTGTTTTCAAAAGACTCCACTGAATCGTTGATTGTAGAGGAAGGGCCTATCGAAATCGAATCAGACTCTTCAAAGGGAAAATTAAGATGACGACTATTAAGACTCTTGTTTCTGGCAATCTCAGGTACGCCTCGGTCAAAGCTTGAACTTATAACCTTCCACACTCGTACCACACCATCATCGCCTCCTGACGCCATGTATTTCCCATCTTTACTAAAAGTAAGAATGAAGTTTGCATGATCATGTGTGGTCTTGCGAGCATAAGAAGAGGCCAGACTATGTTTTTTTGGTTTTTCCTTGATATGTGGTTCAGCATCTTCATCTATACTAGCAGATGTATCGTCTGCTATACTCAGATCATCTGAATTCTTATCATAGGGACGTAACTCCTGTGAAAGGAAAAACTTGGAAAAGCCTTTATTGGGACTTTTGGGACTGCGTCTGAAAAACTCCCGATACTTGAGCTCCCTTGCCAGTTGCTTCAAACTTTGATCCATGTGCTGCTTACTGCCGGTAGAAGGAGACAGCGTCGGTCTTTTTAGTGGAGTGCTGGTTTCAGAGATCAGTGGCTTCTCGGCCCGAATCCCCAATTCGACCCCGGGATCAAAATGGAGAGTGGCACTTGACATTTCGCTTGGATTGGCAGGTAAAGGATGAAGCACATTTGGACTCATGACCTTTCCCGAAACACCTTTGCTTTCTCCTGAGCGCACGATCTTCTATTTTTAACCCAAGTGCTTGCTATCCAATTTGGGTGTTGGATATGGAGAATCAAAAAAATAAGATTCTACTTGTGGTGTAATCTGTGAACTCCAACGTACCGAGCCTCTTTTTGGTAGTCAAACGCCTTATTAAAAGAAATTGATGGGAAAAAGGTTTCGGTCTTGGTACGAAACCCTTAAATTTAGCACTAGTGATAAACTACGCTAGGTAAAGGAAACATTCGAGTCGATCGACGCGTCGAAGTCTACGATGGCACTACAAGTGCAGAATTTTTTTCAACGATGATTTACAAAAAAATTCAAAATCAAGATGTCCCAGGCAGCGATAGAGACGCCCTCATCATGGGCTGATGCAGAAAATGATTTGCCATCAACTCAAGTGATTGAGAATCCTGACGGAACAAAGACCATCATTTCTTACAAAATCAACGATCAGGGCAAGAAAGTGAAAGTGACACAAAAAGTCAAACTGGTCACTGTCAAGGAAACGGTGGACCCAGCTATTGCTGCGAGAAGAAAATGGGCCAAGTATGGAGACGAGAAAGATAACCCTACTGTGGGGCCGGACGATAAAACTACGCAATTTGGAGAAGAAGTTCAACTGATATTGGGAACATCTTGGAAGGAAGATGCACAGAAAGAGGCCGAAAATAGAAAGAAGGAAATGGCCAAAAGTAAGCCACAAACCATCACCTGTAGAACGTGCCAAGGTGACCATTTCACGTCGAAATGTCCTTACAAGGATACGCTGGGAGCTACCGATGCTACGACCACTACCACACAGTCCTCCGCCACCGCCACGCCAGAGCCATCGATGGCAGCTGTTGCGGGTTCTGGTGGAGTGCGGTATGTGCCTCCTCATCTCAGAAAGCGTGCTGGCGGTGCTGCCCCAGAGGCTGAACGCAAGGAGCGTGACGATTCTACGACATTAAGAGTTACCAGTTTGAACGAGCAAGTCGATGAGATGATGTTACGTGAGGTGTTTGAAAGATACGGTATCATTAAGAGAGCTACTGTGCTCAGAGACAGAGAAACGAGAAGATCCAAGGGTATTGCTTTCGTGGAATTTGAAAATGTTAATGACGCTCAAAGAGCTTTGGAGGGTCTCAACGGTAGAGGTTTCATGAACTTGATTATGAAGGTGGATTGGTCAAAGCCAAGAAAAAACTAGTATATTAAAATTAGTGCAATAAATGTTGTATGATAATTGAGACAAGACCGTCGCTTTTGTAGGTTTCATTGTGTGTTCCCATATCCTGAACAATGTAATTGTAGCCCGTATATGGCAACTGGTCAAGCCACTTACAGAATTCTGTGGGCTGTCTTGTGCTGAGCAGTTCATCTTTGGTGCTGTGGGCTATAATTGTTTTTCTTAAGGAGTTAAACTTATCCCTAATCTCTCTTTTTTTATCGCCTGTCATCTTGTAGTGTAACATATTGCATTTTTCCGACCAGTCTTGCTCCGATGGGAAGGCAATCTGGACAAACTCTTGAAGGTAGCTAGGATATTCCTCGAGCATCTTCGAGATGTCGAAAATGCCGTCCAGAAACACGATAGAGTCAATGTCAGGGACTGGTAAAGTAAATTCAATATCATAGAAGCCCAAGAAGGTTTTATACTCTAATATCTGGGTGCACATAGTTGATCCGGCCGAATGACCTACGAGAGACACCTTGTGGATACCCAATTTATAAACAAAGTTCAATGCGTGTAAAACATCCAAGATATGGTGAGGATGGACAACTTCGGGAGACAACCTATAGTCGAGAACAAAAAATTGGATCTCAGTGAGCTGCTTTCCAGTTGTGTAAGGGCCATTATTCAACCGTGAGTCCAGCTTGTCAATAAGTGGTCCAAGCTCATTATAGGTGTGAGACTCTCCAACCCACGCCCCTCCATGGATGTATACAATTGGAGTATTATGTGCAATTTGTGAAGAAGGAACAATCAGTTTGTAGTGTTTCAAAAGCTGGCGAGGAGACTGCTCGTCGTACTTGTGTACCTTGGTGTATTCAACTACCATCCTTTAGATTCAAGGTTACCCTACTTTTCAGAACTCCTGTCAAGTTTTTTTCGGAAGGCGACTTGTAAGCAAAATTTTAATCCGTTTCGTGTTTACTAACTTTGATAGAGACTATGTCCACGGAATATTCGGATGTTCAGTTGTTTGTGAGGCCTATTGGTCCACATGTGACTCATGAGGAAGTTGAGGAATACTTTTCGCAGGTTGGACCGCTGAAAGAGCTTAGATTGATGCCGGGTTATGCCTTCGTCGAATACCCAAACCCAGAAACTGCTGAAAAAGCATTCAGTGAGTTTTTGGAAAAACCGTTTGCTGGCGAGCCACTTCAAATTGAATACGCCAAAAAGAAGCCTGAATATGCTAAAAAGGGTGAAAACAGAGTCAAAGTTTCAAATCTTCCTCCAACGACAGCTTGGCAAGATTTCAAAGATTTTATCAGAGAAGAGGTCCGTTTGACTCCGACATTTGTGAGAATCCCTCCAGAAGATCCTACCATATGCCATCTAGAGTTTGCTTCCAGAGAAGATCTCGAATCTGCTATCAGCCAGCTCAACGGTGTCAACTACAGAGACACTCAGTTAGTGGCTGAGGAGGACACCAGTCCATACATTGCTTCGGCATCTAGAACGATAGGGGCAAGAAGAGGTGGATACAGAGGCGGAAGAGGATTTTACAGAGGAGGAAGAGGCGGATACCCATCAAGAGGAAGAGGTGGTTTTGGTGGACCAAGAGACTACCCTCCTTACAGAGGTCCTCCAAGAGGAGACTACGGTGGATACCCTCCAAGAGGTGGATACGGACCTCCACCAGATGGACCTGTTGGAGGCTATGGTGCTCCTAGAGGACCATCTTATCGGGACTATGGTCCTCCACCCGTCGGTGGACCACCTGGCCCCGCTGGACCTGGCGGCTATAGAGGTGGCCGTGGCGGATACCCGCCCCGCGGAGGTTACAGAGAACCACGTGGAGGATACCGCGATTATGACAGAGGTTACAGAGATGGACCACCTGCACCAAGAGGAGAATACAGATCCAGAGAAGAGGGAGCTCCATACCCAGAGCAAGGTGAGAGAGAATATGCCAGAGAGAGATCTCCAGCACGGTATTGAACGCGAAATTCATAATGATTGTTAGTTTTTCATTTTGGTCAATTAGTTTTTTTTTCCCCTCCACAGACCCAGGCGGACTAGCAAGAGACGAAAAAGTATCAATTGTAACAATTCGTATTATCTCTTTGTAAATGCATCTGGATACAATCGGTCAAATTCCAAATGTGCCCTAGACGATTCTTTCTGCTGGCCAGATAGATACTACCAGAAACACTAGACAATCACCATGTACTCCTATAGACTGTATATTAATATTGTTACATCAAGTCATCAATGAGATCCGCGCTGTATGTCATCACTAAATCGCTCTGAAGGACGTTCTCAATATCTTTCAATGGAGATATCACGTCCAATTCGTGAAGTTTGTTAATTAATTTGTTAAGCTCGAGCGTTTCTTCCCTGGGTATAGTTTCTGACCCCTTGCATGTCAACACTAGTGTTGACGCAAGTAATGCATTCCTTTCCTGCGCCGATTTGAGACTGCATAAGAGTTGCTTTTGAGTCACCTCGTTCGTAAAAGTCAAAGTATCTATATAGTTGTTCTGCCATTGCACATAGTTCTCCAGCTTTCTCAGCTCATCATTTCTGCTACTTGACTGCTTGAGCTCTGATATACACTCAAGTAATTTCTCTTTCTCAAGCTGAAATTGTTTCACCATCTCGTCCATATTAAATTGTGACTCTTTATTTATGAGCACTTGATTCTCGATCTTGGACGTTGTCGTCGCAAACCTCAACGTGCTAAGGGTTTCATCATAGTCAATAGGCGACACGCATGCTATCATACTTGTTTTTGAATTTCCACCAATATTATCCTTCAACAGCCATGTCAGTATGGAATCTCTGTAAGGGACAACTGTTTTCTGATTTGGCTTTTCTGAGAGTATTGTTAAAACCCTACCCAAAGTAACCAGTGATTTGTTGATTCTGCTTCCTTCCTGTTGTCTGATCTTGTCTAAGCCGTCACTGGCGACAAATTTTTCTGATCCAGCAAGGTCAACTAGTTTGAGATTGGACTTGAGTTTAACCAGGGAGCCGGTAGCGGGATCAAACTTTTCTTGGGACACTGTTACTGTAAGAATGGAGTGAGATCTGGATGACTGTTTGTTCAAGTGAGTTTCTGCTGTCGTTCTATTCTCGAGACCTTTGTTCAAAAGCCTCATAGTTTCCTGAGAGTCACTCACATTGTACTCATTTAAATTCTCGATAAAAGCAACTCTCTCACTATTTTCCCGCACTCGTAATTTGTTGCCACGTCCAAGTAGGTCAAACACATTCTCTTGATAGATTTCGATGAAAGACACCTTTACTTGGATTTTAGAATCGACTTGCTGATTCAATCTCTTAAAAAGCTGTCTGCAAACCATGGGGATTAACCCGTCTTCCTCATCCGATCCCATCATTGTATATGTTTTTCCCGATCCTGTTTGACCATATGCTATAACGCAGCTATTGTAGCCATTCAGTGTGTTTTCAAGCATTTCTAAACCCACTTCAGTGAACACAGTGTTTTGATCTGCATATGGAACATTCGCTCTTCTATCATAAGACCACAGGCACTTACTGAACATGAACCTCTGAGCTTCTCTATACTTTCTCGCCTTGAGCAGATCACCCCCTGGCCTGAGGACTATTGACTTGTCAGTATCGATGTCCACAAGACATTCTGGAGATTTTTCTATTTCTCGCTCGAGTAAAGGCCTCACCCTAACTACTACTTTGATTGAGTGTTCATGTGGAGCTTCTGTTCCTCTTGATTCCCTTTTTAAAGCGGCATTCAACTTCACTGGTGACGCGTTCGTTCTTTTGTTGACCTTAATCATAGTCTGGCTTTTCAACAAGATATACAAGAATGTAAATAAACAGGGACTATCGACGCGTCAAGATTGGATTCGTCTGGAAATTAAATTTAGTGGCAAAATCAGTTAAGTTACATAGAAATCAATTGAGAAACACTAGTTTCTTGTAACTCCATCGTCCCAGTATGGATCAATTGACACCGGAACAGCAAAACAAACTGCAGAGCTTTAAAGAGTTTACATCTTACAATGAGAGCGATGAGCAAGAGAAAGTACTGAGACTGTTAACTGTATGCAATTGGGATCTTGAAGTTGCAGTCGCTCGTTATTTTGATAATGACTTCCCGACTTTGACAGATGAAAGGCCTCCATTTCCAGTTCCCAATGGAACAGATTCCTTGTTTGTCAGATCTTTTGCCAACATGGAGGCCGGTCCCTCCTCGATAAACGCATCTTCACGAGACTCCACTGCTCCTCGAGCTCTTGCTTTTGATGATCCATTTTTGGATCTCATTCCTAAGTTACCGAAGGCAATTCCAATTCACAACCGCTGGAAGCTGCAATTAGGAATAAATACAAATCATCAAGAACGAAAAAGACCTACATATGCATTACTACCACCTGTGATTTTCATTCTCATGTTGTTCCCAAAATTATTTTGGCTTGTGGGATATGGATTGAACAAATTGCTAGGTTCTGTCTTTCCCAATTTATTCAGAATTCTTGGCCTGAGAGAAAGCCCCACAGATTTTCCTTCGAAACCAATTTATACATCGAAGGAAGCTGTGGCGAACTATAACATCAAGGAGTATATCAACGATACATTGGGTGAAACCAGTGATCTTCCAATATTTGAAGGAAGCTTCAACGAAGCATTTGAGAAATCTAAATCTGAACTAAAGTGGTTGATGTGCATTCTTCTCAATTCAGAAAGAAATATCAGCACTCAGTTCGTGAAATCGTATCTCAATCACGAGAGTTTTATCAATTTTGTCACAAAAAACGATATAATTCTGTATGTGGGAGATGTGAGTTATCCTGAGCCTTTCGAAGTGGGTCAAACATATCAAGTTTATTCTGTTCCATATATCAACTTGATCGCCAACGTGTCTGCAACTGGTACTACGTTCCCATTAATGTCAATTGTTACCAGGCATCACAATTTTGAAACATGCACCAAAGAGTACGCGAAGAAGCTTGTCAAACGTCTGCAAAAGATCATAGATAAATATGAGCCACAACTAATTACACAGAGATATGACAGACAGGAGGCGGACCTTGCTCGATTATTAAGAAGACAACAGGATGAGGCATACGAACAGTCCTTGTTGAACGATAAAATCAAGCAGGAGGAGAAGAAGCAAAAAGAAGAGGAGCAACAAAGGGAGCTGGAAAAATTGAGACAAGAAGAAGAAGCATCAAAGTTAAAACAAAAGCAGGAACTGGTTTTCCTAAAAAATCACGTACAGTCATTATCTCAGATAGATGAGAAGAGTTGGGAGAAGGGTGATTATACCACAATACAATTAAGAAATCACGAGGGCCAGCGAACAGTGAAGAAATTCTACAAGGATCAGACTTTATATGATATCTTCCTGTTTGTGGAGTGCAAGAATTTCTTGCGCGTTCAATCTAAGGAACTTGCGGTTCCCGAGGAGAACGTCTTGGATCAATTAGAGGTGGAAGATGTGACTTTGGAAAACTATGAACATGAGTTTAGATTCGAACTTATATCACCAATGCCTCGCGTCAAATTTCATGCCGACCGAAACAAACTTTTAAAAGATGTTAGGGAACTGTGGCCGAATGGTTCACTGTTGATCGAGCGTATCGAAGATGAAGATGGATTCGACGAGGAAACTGACGACTAATGATTGAGTAATATATATTGTGCTATCGCTGTCTCTTGGACTCTGGGCCATCTGACTCCTTTAATTGATGAACGTTACCTGATACCACTCCTAAAATTATACTCCTTAATTTTTCATCTTTCTGTTCCTCAGTAAGGTCATCATTCATAATGCTTTCGATTTCTTTTCGTCTCTGAATCAGTTCATCGCTCAGATTTTCATCAGAATCCTTAGACAGATACATCTTCACTCTTTCACCATTTGGGAGTTCCAGGTTGCTTTGTGATGCTCCGATACCGGTTTTCATGGCAGGCAAGGTGCCTAGCTTCTCCAAAGACGACAAATATTCGATGAGTTCAGGATACTCATCCTCTTCCTCCTGATATTTAGCTGGAGTTAAGCCATCCTTGTTCTTGATCTTGAAATCAGCTTTGAGCTCTTCAATTAAGAACTTAGCAGCCTCAACAGTTTCTACGTGATGCAAAGGGGTATCGCCATCAGAGTCTTGAATATTGATATCTCCGCCTTGTGAGACAAGATATTTCAGGAGGTCTAAGTTACCATAACTTGCAGCAGCGTGCATGGGAGTGTAGCCATTGGGATCTTTCGAATTTGCAGTATAACTTCCTGACTCGATATACTCCCTAACCTTGTCTATTTTATTATCTGAGGCTGCAATCCATATGTTCGACATGTTCTGGTACAAATAGATTAATTTTCGTTTTTTTTTTTTCCTTGAGAGTTCGCAATGAGTAAAGAGCCAGATAAAACTTTAAATGCTTCGGATGCATCCTCAGATTTCAATTGGTGGATACGAACACTCCAGTATAAGACAGGCATAAATCTCACAGATCAAGAGAAAGTTGCGTACGAACAGGAGCGAAAGATAAAAACCGAAAAGGAACAATGTGCTAAATGTAACGAATACAAGGATTTCATGCTTCAATATTCTCCAACTGTCACATTCATGATTGACCAGATCCGGCGAGCAGGAGGTTACGTGGATCCGGCGAAAATCAACTGTGAAATCTGTACCGTTCCAAGATATGGTGGTTTTAATCCTGGTCTGGGAGTTCAACTTTGTGCCAACTACATCGATAACAAATGGGTTCTTAACGACACACTATCCCATGAGCTTGTCCACTGGTATGATAATACTAGATTCAAGGTGGATTGGGGAGATATCAGACATCATGCTTGCACCGAAATTCGAGCAGCGTCACTAAGTGGAGAGTGTGCCATTGTCACAGAATTCAAAAGAAGATTAGGGTTCATGAGATACGCAAAAGGGCACCAGGCTTGTGTTAAGCGAAAAGCAATACTGAGTGTTATTAATCATCCGAAGTGCAAAGACAAACAACATGCGGAAGAAGTTGTGGAAGAAGTTTTCAGAAGCTGTTTCAATGACACTAGACCCTTTGAGACTATATATAGATAGCAAGTGTAAATAGTGATACTGCTAGAACACCAAGTACATTGTGCACATAAGACTTGGCCCCAAAACTATACCAAACCAGAATATGCAATTGCCTAGAATCTTTCTATCCCTCATCAATTTGGTTTTGCTTAATTGCACCAAGGGTAGCTGACTCATCTGCAAAATGAGCAAATAGCCCCTTAGACGTTTAAATATGACAAACATTGCAAGTTCATGGACGACTGAACTGAGCAAGAAGGTAAAAATCGTCGCTCCCGTTTTGTTCAATTGGAGAGCGCTGATGGAAGAATGATACACGTGCCGAAGAAGAAACTTGTGGACAACAATATTCCAATCTCGAGCATATGCATTCCAATCGACCGAGTTCCACCAGTAGCCATAAAATTCTCTATCAGCAAAATAAGACAATTCTGCAATAGCATTCAAAATAAGCTCCCAAATGAGATAAAACACTAATAAATAGACGCCAAGGAAAGGTGGGATAAACTCAATAATGATCATCGGGTACATCTTCATTCTGTAGTAAATTGACTTTGTCTCTCTGAGCTCCAAGCATTTGACCACCATTGGGTATAAGTATGTCTCAGATACGGTGATCATCAAGAAAATAACACCAAAAATTCCTGCAATCTTGGTAAAAAGATATCCTTTCCTTATCCTCTCAGTTCTTGGGTAATCAATCCGATACACCAATGTAGGATACATGGTGTACAAGAAGAAGTTTCTAAATGATATATTGTCTGGGAATGGTTGTTCAGAAGACTGAACCTTTAGTTCAAACTTGCAAAATTCCACGGATCTAGTCAAAGGTATTCTAGTTTCATCAGCCAGGTCACCTTCGTGCTTTTTCAGGTACCCTTCAGAATATTGTAGTTCATCTTTGATTGACCAAAGATAGCCATTGAAGAATGCATATGAATGTATTTTCATTAACTGCACCAATGAGTGCAGCAGCAAGAAGATCTTTGCAATCCACGGGAAATTGAGGTACTCTGCCAAATATAAGAAAAATGTTAGAAAGAAGATCTCATAAAGTGATTGCATCACGAAACCAAGCCTGTTCCAGTTAATCACGTTCCTTTTCACCAGCATCTGAATGAAAACAGCAACGTACATCATTAAGTACATCAGCAAGTCCACCAAGGCAACACCTAAGAGATTGTCCAACATAATGTTAATGATTTTGAAGTTGGCAAGATATCCATATTTGACATGGTAGTTGAACACAACGTTGAGTCCACCAAAAAAGACACAAAACCAGAAGGCAACAAAAAGGCCATAAAATTTGGCGCCAAATCTCACTTCTTGGTCGAATATTGACTGTCTAGGTTTAAAAGTGAGGTCGTCCCATTTTGACCTAAAGGATCCATCTCTCCGAAACCTATAGGCCTTTCCTGGTGGAGCCTGAGAAGCTGCTGTTGCGGGAGGTTTTGGAATGGAGTGCTTTATCTCAATGGAACTGTCACCCTCATATTCAGCATCCTCTAGGATGGAACGTCGCTCTTTTCCTGAGTTCTTATCTATAATTTTGAGTCGCGCATTCGTGCTGGATTCCGTGGACTCCGGTCTTCTTAGTTCAGCAGGTCTGATCTCTTCTGGCTGCATTGTGGCTGAACACTGATCAAGCAATTGGCAAACTGAGAAAACAACAAACACACTCCCTAGGTTGAATGACTGGATGCTGGTTAATAATCCGATAAACTCCTTATCTTTTTTTTAGTAAGTTATAAAGAACCTCTTCGAATCTCTCACAAATGATATACAGCCAAGCAATATTTGCGGCTCAGGGGCGCAAACGATAAAGTTAAAAAAAATTTTGTCAAATTCTATTGAATTCAGAAGATCAACACTAGGTATACATAATGTCTCGTCCTGAGCAGATTGCACCTCCTGAAATATTCTATAATGATCGTGAATCAAGAAAATACACCGAATCTACAAGAGTGCAACACATCCAGGCTCAGATGACGTTGAGATCACTGGAATTACTGAACCTTGATCCTGAAAAAACACACTTCATACTTGATGTGGGATGTGGATCCGGTCTCTCGGGTGAGATTTTAACTGAAGAGAACCAAATATGGGTTGGAATGGATATTGCTCCAAGCATGCTTGCGACTGCTCTTGACAGAGAAGTTGAAGGAGACCTTTTTTTAAGTGATATGGGCTGTGGAGTTCCATTCAGAGCCGGTACATTCGACGCCGCTATATCTATCTCTGCTATTCAGTGGCTTTGTAATGCTGATAGCACAACAAGCGAGCCAAAAGTGCGATTAGCTCGCTTTTTTAGCACATTATATGCATCTTTGAAACGAGGAGGAAAGTTTGTTGGTCAATTTTATCCGGCAAACGAAAATCAGATTATACAAATCACTGGCGCAGCCAAAGTGGCGGGATTTCAATGTGGAGTTGTGGTGGATGACCCAGAATCCAAAAAGAACAAGAAGCATTATTTGGTTTTGCAAGCAGGACATAGCGATCGTCCATTGAATTTGGGCAATATGGAAGTCGAGTCTACCACACCAAAGAAAGAGAAGAAAATGAGCAAGAAGATGATGAAAGCCATGGAGACAAAGAGGGAATACATCCATAGGAAGAAAGAGTTAATGAAAAGACGAGGAAAAACGGTGGCGCAAGACTCGAAATTTACGGGAAGAAGACGGAAGCCTCGTTTCTGAACTACTGTAATATTTATTGCAAGATATATGATATGTCGCGACTGGAGTATTTTTTTTGAAAAATTTTCTAATTAAGTGCACTCAGGACATGTTTGTGACTCGAGCAATCCAGGGTCGCATTACCCGCTTTGGTGTCAGATATTCTGCTGTTAGCAAAAGAAAACGGATAGCGGTCCAGCTATTAAAAGATTTTCCCTCTATTGGGGTCAAAGGACAAATAGTGCAAGTGAAACCGAGCGTTATGATAAATCGACTACATCCGTATAACGGAGCAGTGTACATGCACTTGCCTGACTCTAAACCTAGAATTCCTGTGGTTGAGCCGAAGGAGGCGGACCTAATGTCCAAGCGTCCGGAACAACAGGGTACTGAGTCACAAACGTTGACCTTGGATGATCTGATATCTTTTGATTTGAATCAATTACTTGTCTCTGAGAGAGATGCAATCATTGCAAAGTTACCTCGTCGCGTCTTGTTCAGAGCCGAGAAGTCTAACAACAAATTGCGGAACCCGATCTCAGGAAGCAGAGTGCTCATGACCTTAAATAGAATGGTTACACAAGGTTTGCAACAAAATGAGGATCCAGACCAGGTGAATGCGTTTTTCGCGGATTCTCGCTTGAAGTTAGACATTTTGGATCAAGAAGAAAATCGTATAGATTACATTCACGAGGATGGCGTCTACTCTGCGCAGCTAACCGACTTGCGCGACGGTGGAAAACTGGTGCACAGGTTCACGATTGGTGTGAATGTTAACTAAGGTTATATTGTAAATAGATCGACATATATATAATCAACGTAGCGAAAAACAGGAAAAGGAAATTTATTTGATAGCTAATTTTATTTAATGGCTATAGGGTCCTCAAAGAACAAACCTGAGTCATCAACCAATGCAAAGAGGGCATCCAATTCACCAAGAAAACAAAATCAAAATGTCCCTACCGGAGAACAATATCATATTCTTGATTATTCGGTGAATATATTCAGTCCTGTTCCTGGATTTGAATCTTTACACCTAAATGACCTTTATTTCGAATCTAATCTAGAAGACGATGATGACGATAGAAATTTGGAAATTCTTATGGATTGTATAGAATTTGTGATGAAGATCAAGTTTGACTTCCTTTCCAAGCCAAAGCTGTCGTCGAAAACAAAGGCAAAGCTATCTGCCCTCAGATCATCTTACCCTGATGTTATCGCCCTCGACCAGTTATATGCAATACTACCGAACATGGAGACATTCGTTGATTCCCGTGTGGAAAAGTTGGCAATTATGGGGCGCTTAAAGCTCATTTCGCATCCTCAAGAGAACGTCCGCTATATTATTCTTACCGAACATTTGAGAAGCTTGATTGCGCAACATACAAAGTCGGATCAAATTAGCTCCCGTTTCATGAGCTTACTACAAGATTATCCTAATGTTGAGGCAATTCCCGCAACGCTACTCTCGAAACATGGCCTCAATCCAAGAATTTTGATAGATTCTGGTTTCCTAACCTTTTCGCCTATTAATGAATGGTTTACCTTGACTCTTCCAAATCTTGGACCTTTTTGGAGGTTGGTGAAGGCATCCAATATGGCCATCTATAAGATCATAAAGACGACAAAGTTTGAACAGATACTAGAAGACGATTTGAGAATGAAGTATGAGGCGAATCAGAGCAATTTCGTCAAGTACAACGGGCTGAACATGATCTGGAGTCTAAGTTTGATGACCGGAAGGGGGATAGTGGAATGCTTCAACTCACCTACAGGACGCGTATATAAGTTGACTGGAAAGAAAATGTAATTACGTCCAAAGAAAATTAAAAATATACACCTTTTAAAATTCTAACCACATCAATCACTGTCTTATCTTCTGTTTGCCCACTTGTCTTCTCTGTTTTCTTTCCAATTGCTTCTTTTCAAGCTTACGTTGTTCATCTGCATTCAGACCAGATTTTTGTTTCTTTTGGTCCTCAAGCTTTTTCGCTGCCAACTGCTCCTTCTTCAAATCTTCCTCTAATTTCTTCAACTTGGCAACTTCTGCTTCCCTGGTCTTCTTGCATCTACGCGTAAGCTCAGCTCTAAACGAGGCTTTGCTTACAACGTAGTCAATATAGTCATTCAATAAGAATTTCAGAAGCTCGTGAGCAGCTTCCAATTCTGCAGAAGACTTAGGAATTCTGAGCTGAAGCACTATTTTCTTGCTAGGAGTAGTATCGCTCACAGTCTCGGGCTTTTCGCTGCTCTGGTCAGTAACAGCAACGAACTTCAGAATCGTTTTGCACTTCTCCAGTACAGCATTAAATTTCTTGTGATGCAAGATTTCATTCATTTCTGGCACTTCATTCATAAAAACAAACTCTACAGGAAGCTTGTTAGATTCGGAGGTCTTGGTCAAAGAAAGGAAATAGTTATCCTTTCTAAGCTGGTTCATGTTATCCTTTGAGACAATGGCCCAGATAAAGTCATCATAATTAGAGCTGGCTTGACTATCAATTTGAAAAGTCATGTCGACGATATCCTGAGGAGGAGTGACAGTTCCAGTGAAAAAGTCAAAAACAAGCTCCAAAAACCACACAAAAACATTCTGTCTTGGTTGAAGCCTGAACTTAGCAGTCAATGATTCGATGTTGAGTCTTCCAGTGGCATAGAATGCATAATGTTCAGAATCATCTTTGGCCAACAATTTTGATCTTGTGACACCAACGTGGGAGAATTGTTCTTTTAGGAGATCCAGGTTTCTTTCCACGAAGTTGTTCACCAGCTTATCGTTGTACCTCGAGCCGATAAAGAAAGTCAACACGTAAGCTGCTATGAAGCCGACGGAAATCATCTCCAATTTCCAAGGATAGAGCTTGACTCTCTCAAGTAAACTCATTTCAGCCAATTCAGGCCAGCTATATTCAGAAAAGCTCTTGGACTCCTGTTCAGCAAAACAGGTTCCAACCATTGCAAGAATTGCCAAAGAAAACATATTCGATAAAGGACAAATACTTCAGATTGTTATCGATGTCCAACTTTTTTTTGGTTTTTGGAAAACTCGCCGCTACAAGATCGATCGATCTTCCACCTGCGACATAAAAATTGTCGTACCTTAATCGTGTATCTAAATGCGCTTGAACTATATACAATTATCCTACATCTTAATCTCCTTGACATCAAGCCTGCTGTTACGGATGTAGTAGTGTCTGTTTCTCGGTCTGTAGCTTGCAGGTCTGCGCAAAATATCTATTCTCATCACGTTCGGATTGAAAATAGGAACATTCACTTCGACACCCAAACCTGTGATTTTGTTTCTGAGTAGTATTGCAGAGGCAATGCCACTTCTCTTCACCATGATGATTGTACCATTGACTGGCTTTTGGTTTTTGTAGAAGACACTCACTATGTCGCCTGATCTTAATCTTTCAGGGTTTGAGCGGTCGATCAACTTTCTTTTCTCTCCGGAAGGATCTAACTTCTTGTATTGAGCCTCTCTAATGTAGTCCATAAGAAGCTGACCACCTCTGAGTTTCGGCAAAGGCTCGTAAACAGTCATTGATTGTTTTGCAACAGCTGAGAGTTAGAACAGAAAAAAAACTAAAAAAGCAATAAAATCAGTAACATACCATTTGACAGGGAAAACATCCTCACTGCAAATGACCTTGAGATCATTTGAGCTGGTTTCAAACGGAACACTCGAAACATGGTCGAAAGTCCTAGCTAGCTAGCTATCACGAAAAATCAAAAAGCTTGAAAATTTGTGGAAAATTACAAACACCGGGTAACTATTGTATCATTCGAGCTCAGACAAATCAACTTCTGAAGGCTCTTCCTCAACGACTTTCCTATTCACCTTCCAAAGATGGACGATGTTGTCATCTGCACAACTAGCCACAGTCCATGGGATCTCTTCGCTGAACTGGAAGTCGTTGATTCCACCTGTATGTCCACCATGCATCATAAGTAGCTCAGGAACACCATCTTCCATCTCATCTTGCAATTGTTCTTTACCGATCTTATTGATATCCCACAAGATTATGCGACGATCGGAAGAGGAAGAACCAACTATATTCTCGTGGAACGGATCCCACTCTAGGTTCGTAATAGATTTTGTATGTCCCATCATTATATGAAGAGGCTTGGAAACATCCCTCAAGTCATAGAGGTACACATTTCCATCTTCACCACCGGCAGAAAATAAGTACTTTGAGAATCTCGAGAAGCAAATAGTATTGAAGCTGGTCTTGTTGCTCAGAATGGTATCAATCGCTGGTTCTTTTGTTCTTTTGTCTTGGTAAATGAAGTGTTTGTCCTCAGACACAGAACCCAGCGAGTTGCCGCTGAAGGTGTGCCACCGAACATCATTGACAATGCTTGTATGGCTATTAAACACATTCATAGGCGTGATCTCTGCTCCCGAGCGAGTGATGTCCCACACGGCCACCGTTTGGTCGTCAGAACACGTAGCCAGCTCTCCCTCCACAATTGGGTTCCAGCTCAATCCATAGCCATTTTCGGTATGATGTACAAGTCTAGTTCTGTTTTCTTCGTTCATTTTAGAGTCCAAATGGTACACAAAAACGTCCCCCTTACCATTGATTGTGGAAATAACTCTAGAATTTTGCGGCATAGCGCGCACTCTATTGATTTCTGATTCCTGGTCCAGTTTTTTGGAGATCCGGAGTCTAGAGTTGATTTGCTGTAGCTCCTCGGGGCTGATTTCGGGTCCATTTTCCCAAATTGAAGCAGGTATTTGAGTGGACGCTATTTTCAAATAGTTGACATCTTCTCCAGAAGTATGGGTAGTCAAAAGGAGGTTTCTAGTTTTGGAAATCTTTGTGTCCTTCGTTTTGTTCTCGAATGTGCCGCCCGGGATCCACTGTATGGATAATGAAGGCCATGTCAACGCGGTCTCACTGATGAAATCGTACATGTAACGACAGTTCTTTCGCCAAAGCTTGTATTCTTCTAGAATCGTCAATTCTTCACTCTTCTCTTCATCTTGTGATTGATGCTCATCATCAGAAGATTCGATCGGCAAGTCTCCAAAGCTGACTTGTTTAGAAGACATCGTGCGGATTAAAAAAAAAAGTTTAATCTAAATTTCATGGATCAGTACTATGAGCTTCAGCAGGTAGTACGAGAATATAACGAAAGTACATTTTTCAATAACATTGAACTGGATAGCAAAGAGCTTCAGATTGTTTTGACAACTTTAGAATACGAACACTACACTGTAAAAGTTTGTGAGGAGGGGTGGTATACAAACAAAAGTGCAGAATACTTTCCTACGTTTGAGAGCCTTGCAAACCGAATTAGTCCTCAATTTCAACGGCAATGGCTTATCAGAGTAAATGAGAAACTTCACGCCATCTGATATTAATACATTTTCCTATACAAATATTAAATCCTGCCAGAGTTAAATAGAACATTGATGTGCTCAGCCAAAAATTCATCAGTGTAGAACTCAGATTTCCTCACAAGTTCTTCGTCCAAAATGCCATCAGTGCCAAACGTGAAAGAATCACTGGACAGAATTTTCAAAAACTCAGTGTTCTTGTCCAAAACTTCCTGCAAGAAGTCAACCGGATTATCACTCAATTTTTTGTAAAAGTCGTACTTCAACTTGGAATAATTGAGGAGTTGGAAGTTCAGCTTCAAGCTTTCGTTAACCTTACTCAAATCGCTCATCAATTGTTTGTTTAATACACTTTGATTGATCATTTCACTGATTTCTGCAAGCTGCAGGGAACCAGGTTTATAGGATGGATCCACAAATCTAGAGTTCACCTTGAGATCAATCACCAAATCTCCCAGGGTCGTTTCTTTGAGAGTATTGATACTGTA